GTTTTCTTTAAATTAAGTAAATTGTTTTCATATATTAACAATAAATTTATTACATGTGAATGTGTGGAAACTAATTCCTATTTTGATAGAATTGAACAGTGTTGCCATTGCGAATAATACCCAGGAAATTGTCAAAGCATTCTGGCAATGGTGGAAAAAAACAGAGACGTGCGTCGTGTACGCTGTGTACGCTTCATAACGGATCCTCGCTTGATTAATTTTGTCCTCAATTGTCAAGTTAATCCGATCAGCAGAGATACCCGTAAGTGCGTTGATCGTTAGCAACATTCAAAAACTAGAAGTGCTTTAAACTACTGTAGAGATCAAATACCTTGTGTAACGTAAAATGTAACAAGTATAGCACGTAACAAACAATAGTACCGAATAAAATTCCTCCCCGTGACCACGGCTGCTGCAAAGCGTCCAAAACGTCGGGCCGAAGTTAAAAATCATTTTCAAATAAGTTTAACTAATATATCGCGTTTTAAACCGTTAAAGTGTTTTATTTAAATGTGTACTACTCGCGTAAACTATAGACAGTATCCCGTTTATTTTATTATCTATCTATTATTGATTTTTATGTTTAATTTAGTAGTTTTAAGTTTACTGTACATATGTTAAAGGGGCAATAAGATGTATTGAATTTGTATTTGAACTTTAATAATTAACAATAGAGGAATTCATCTTGCATACATATTTTTTGGTTTCTTGAACCGTTGTCGCAGCAACGGAAGCCCTTAAAGAGGAAAAATCTTCTCTCCTATTGGTCGCAGCTTTTACAGCCTAAAGCATTTCGATATCCTTGAATGAAGTTGTACATTCGATATCAACGAATTTGATAAGTTTTATTGAAAAATTACAATTTAATTTGACTTTAATAACTGCTTAGGCAATCTAGATTCTTTGAGTAAGGATAATTCAGAAGAATAACAAAACGTTAACATAATTGCAATCTGTGTAATACAAATAAAATGCAACGAGGCAAATAATTAATTGTTTAAATAAGGAAAATTATTTCTCTCAATAGATTTATTATTATTTATAGTCTGTATTCACTTTTAGTAAGCAGTAATTAGACAGACGTTTGTCTAATTGTAACAATGTTTCGCTAATAATCAACCGGTCCATATTTCTAATAAAATAATGTCCAAAACATGTTCGATTTCGGTGGAAAGTCTGGATGGGTGGTGGGGAATATCGAAATTCCGTCTGGACGTCACGGACCACCGTCCACAGATAAAAAACCAAAGACCACAGATGAAAAAGCCGTGAAGTTCAATAGTGTTTTGTTATCAAGCTCAGGTTTCCCGAATATATAAAGCCAAAATTAGTCAATAGACGTATCTTGTTTAGATGTTATATGGGTAGAGTATTTCACCCCTACTATAAGTTAACTACATTCTTATCTGTATCAAAAATATAGAAGAACAGTTTCTATGTGTAGATTTACTGTTTTCTGTAGATATTAGATATGCATGCTTATGCATCTTATCGCGAAATATTTTTGAAGCTTTATAAATATAGTTATGCAACAAGAAAAAAAGAATGATCTGTAATTACTACGCATTTTATGAGTTAAATTGTTTGCGTTATTTCTAGACTTATATAAAATAAATAATTCAACAATTCATCGAAGAAATACCTTTTTATATAAATAATTATATATTACGACATAAGTAATGTAAATTGATAATATTGTTATTTAAAGATTAGTTGATATAGTTTATGAAATTATAAAAATTCTTGCACGTGGTCTATAAGTTTCTTATAGTTGACGTGCCTGGAAGAGACCGCTTATAGCGATAAGGTATAAGATTCAATGTGTATGTTTTGTGTCCCAAAATAAATATATAATATTAACTAAAATTAATTTTATCTTGAATTAAACTTTTATCTTTAACGGTTAAAACAGTCATATGTAGTCGCCGCCTCGATGACTTAGTGGTTCAAGGCGAGCAATCTGAGTTCGAGTCCGAACTAGTTAAATAATATTAAAAATGGGTGAACTAATTTATTTTGCATTTTAAACCACAAAAAAAAATATCTTTTTAAACGTATAATAGGTACTCGCGCAAACTACAGATAATACTTAGTGTAACAGTCATACAATGTGCTGGTTTCTTTCTTTACTGTTAATTTTTTTTTTCTTGATTACGAATCAAAGAAGAAGAATATATACTAAATACTGTCTATAGTTTACGCGAGTAGTACACATTTAAATAAAACACTTGAACGGTTTAAAACGCCATATATTAGTAAAACTTATTTGAAAATGATTTTAACTTCGGCCCGACGTTTCGGATGCTTTGCAGCAGCCGTGGTCACGGGGAGGCTCAAAACGGTCATTTTCAAATAAGTTTAACTAATATGTCGCGTTTTAATCCGTTAAAGTGTTTTATTTAAATTCGCAAATACTTGAAACACAAATTTCAACACCTCAGCATAAAAATAAATTGCGCCGCAATTAACTGTAATGATGTTTAGCAAGATTGATTAATGGTTATTAATAGTGGTCATTACGATCTATTTCTAGTAAGAGCCAGTTTGTTGTTATGGCAGCTGTTCTAAAAATAGCGTGAAGCTAACGTTTGCTTTACTTGGAAGATTCGAACCGTTAGCATTGGGAACCGGACGGTGGCGCCACCGCCGTCGCCGCTCCGGGGTATGTCGACCCTTCTTTTACTTTTTACCTGACTCGAGTTCTGGTGAATCATATACTTCATTTGTGGTATCTTGGATACCGCCTAGATTGGCTCCTTATAATGGCATCGATGTATGGCTCATAGCGATCTGTGGGTTCGTTCCCCATCGGTTCCCGCATTTTTCTGAAATATGGTGGACTTCGTCTAGAAATCTTAATATTAAATGACTGGTAAGAATCACTGTCCACAGGTGTAAAAACAGTCAAGCTTAATCGCGTTTGTGTTAATGCAGTCTTTGTGTTCAAGACCAAAATGTCGACGTTTAGATGTTTATAGGATTGCGATATTTAACCCACCGTCAAGTGAATCTTACGCGTGTGTCTTCTCGAACCAAAATGGGATTGACAGCGCATCTCGTTAGGATGTTTTATGTCCATTTTACCTACCCCATGCTTCTCTGTTGCCTCATAATAATTCGGATACTAGATTGCGTGCAGGTCACTTACCCTTGAAATTGCAAGACATTTCTGGGTCAGCCCATGTAGTGCTTGGGGTTCAGCCTACACACCACCTGTTACGGCCTATGTGATCTGATATCAAACCGTTATATTACTCCACTGTTCTAGTCCAATTTTTTGTTAGACTTGTTTATAAACATACTTTTTGGGTGAAGTCGAAAGTATCCAGTAGATCTAATAGAGATAAAGTAATGTATTCATAGAGTATACATTACGGTAGCCTGTAGTGAACGCAAGCAGCAATATCTATATCTATATTTAAATACTGTCTATAGTTTACGCGAGTAGTACACATTTAAATAAAACACAAAACGGTTTAAAACGCGATGTATTAGTTAAACTTATTTGGAAATGATTTTTAACCGACGTTTCGGATGCTTTGCAGCAGCCGTGGTCACGGGGAGACGAAGTTAAAAATCATTTCCAAATAAATAAATTCCGTACGGGTCGAGCTATATAAAACGATTTAAGGTAAAATAAAAAATATTCCGTTAAGAAGGATTAACTGGAAAAAGAGTTTTCCAAAATGTCATAGAGTTTTTGACACAGCCTTAATGTCAGTTTGAGCATTCAGACAGCTTGTCTTCTTGTCAAGCGCTCAAACGGCGAATGGAAAAATTATATGTGCTTTTAATATGTAGGTAAAGGAAAATAAAGTCGTGAATTCGTATATACAAAATTACCGGTGAAATAATAAACTATGACGGACGATCAAGTAAGTTAACTTTTTAATATTTTCAGTGAATTGGGAGTAAGCTACTCGTTCTATATTTTAAACTAGCTGTGCCAACGACTTCGTGCGCGTAAAAGAAAGAAAGAAAAAATATTTAATGCCACAAAATACTTGATACTAGACTGATAACCTAAAGTTTTGTAAAATTTTGTGACACGTCGGGATGTAGACTCCGCTGAATGCTGCACGAAGGGGATCACACAGCGTTGTTTTTCATTCCGTATCGTAGTCATCATCTGTTTGAATTACCAGCTGTGTCAGCGACTTCGTCCGCGAGAATCGTCATTTTGGGCATCCAAATTCCCTTCATCTTTAAAAACTGTTACCCACGACGGCGGTCGCGGCCCTTCCCGACGTTCTTGCAAGATAATCTTAAAAGATTGACATAGTATAGCGTCGCGGACTTTTTTTTACATCATTCTCTCAAACATATTTTTTGTGTATCTTGAACCGTTTATGCAGCGTACGCGTCGGAAACGCATAACGATGAATGATTTTCCCAATTTTTGACACATTTTATAGCGCGATGTTTAATAGCATATAACCTTCCTAAATAAATGTTCTCGCCAACACGAGAGTTTTTCAATATGTACCAGTAGTTTCTGACATTAGCGTGTTAAAACAAACAAACTCTTCAACTTTATTTATTAATATAGATAAGAATTAATTTTGAAGTTATTGAGATATTTTGTGTATCTACCAAATTGCATTGATTACGCGGCCATTTTGCAAAGCTTCTTAGATATTAGAATGCCATATCTCATATATAATTCGTAAGTTTATTGATAGTGGGGGAAATACATTCATGGGTTTCATAGGTAAAACAATTCAACCACGCGCTGTCGGCCTATTTTGGCCTATTTTTCATTCGCAAATCCATACCGAACCGAAACGCGATTAAACGTGACGGCTTTATCAGCTGTGGACGGTGGTTCGACGCCCGGGCGAAATTTTCGACGTGTATATCAACTATTTAACATCCGGATTTCCAGACGAAGTCCACATGACCCTGTGGGGATCCACGACCTTCTGATTGTCAGCCATACAAATACAAAACCCGTTAAAAACAGTTAAATACATTTCTTATTATCTTCTTAGTCCAGTACCATGGCATGCCCTGATGAAAATAGCACACATCTGACACCAAAGAAAGAACTATCTATGAGATCACTGATATTATGGAATATTAATAAAGTGGTTGAAATGAATTCGGCAATCGATTTAAAGGTATTTTTTATTTATATTTCGTTACTTAATTCCGTCTTAGTTTCGTTTTAGCTAGAGGTCCAAGCTTCGAATCTCGGTAAACATTAATAAATAGTTTGACCACAGAAGTCTAAATTGCTTGTCTGTATATGGAATCAATACATACCTGCGTTGAATTATATTAAGAAGCTGTTTTTATTTGAAAATAAGATGCAAACATTTTAATAAAACATATTTAACAGTTTAAAACGCGAAACGTGTGTTATTTTTTGTATCTAGTGTGTGTGGATGAAATTATTTGATTTGATTTGAAAGTACTCTTTAAAACTAGGAAGCGTTGAGATCAGCCTGCAAACACTTGGAGAAAGAATCGTATGATGTTCAGGCGTTGATGTCGCAAGGACCTGCAGAACAGCATCTCGCGTGTGCTGTACTGGCTTGGCAGCGTCTGGGACACAAGACAGTCGATAGCTTGTGCAAGTGACTATACCAAAGTTTATTGGAATTTATGTTTATTTTTTCTATGTTTGACGACCTCGTTCGTCCAATGATAGTAATGTGACTAATTAATCTGGCAGTGGGTTCGATTCCCACCAGGACCAAATGTTCCGTAAAACTATACATAATATTTTTTTGTGAAACATGCTGAAAATATTAATATTTATATCGGTATATTAAACGTTAATAGGGGTAATGGAATACGCAACATAATCGACAAATAAAACACACATAACGGCTTGAAACACGAAATGTATGTAAGCAGGGTGTAAAGAATGCTAGCTCAATGTTTGCTACGCTAGCGCCATCTATTATAGAATGTTTATACTAGAATTCGTAAATTATAACACATTTTTAAAATAACTTTTTAAACTCATTATTTATTTGTTTCCACAATTATACAGTACCTATGCACAAAAATCTATACTTTTATTTTATATTCGGTTTTACCACTTCGAATTGCAACATAATAGTCAGGTACAATGTGCTGAATGAATTCTATAACAACAATTATACAATTAATAAAAAGGTCATTAAACTCTTATAACATAATGGAGTGCATTAAAGAAACAAGTGCGCTTTTGTGCCTGACTCTGCGCCTGGTGAGATTGCATGGGCAATTAACAACTTGGCTATAAGGAAAATGAAGTGGTCAAGTCGAGTTTTACGTTCGAGTTAGAGTTATTCCTTTTAAGCCTTCGTTGGGGTGGAGATACAACTTTTTGTCACTATTATTACCTACTACATCACAATATCTACGGTAAGAAATAAATATTAAATTTGAACATACCTCTCGGGTATATTTAAATAAAACACATTTAACGGTCGGTAAAGTGCCGTGACTGCAAAGCAAAAAAAAAAACGTCGGGTCGTAGTAAAATAAATTAAAATTACCAGTTTTAAACCGTTAGAAATGTTTTATAATATTTAGCCGTCTACAACTCGCGTAAACTATAAATATCTATTAAACTTGATTAATGATGTTACTTATTAATATAAACCCAGGGAAAATATATTTTTTATCACCTTATTGCACATACAGGGACAAATAAAAATAAGTTATTTATGCTAGGATTTGTAAAACTAAATAGCGATTCGTCCGGTATAGGACCACGTAAATATTCTTGGTTTTTTTTTCAACAGGCAATTTTAAATTGATAATTTTTTAATTTATAAATTTGAAACGAAAATGCATTTTGAAGAAAACGTTATTGTCTAATCGTCTTATTCTACTTTACGTGATAAATGTTACCAAGTTAACTCATAATTTTCTATTACACATTGGAATAAAATTTCAAAACTCATGCGGGTCTAGACTAGACTGAATTAAAAGGAATTCATGAATGATGTTTAATCGATTCAAATTCTAGTGCGTACTGAGTCATCTGCAATTTTAAATTATGCATCGGTTATAGTGTGTTGTTCTAGATTTGTCAATATTAGTAAAAAACTTATTCTTATTTTATTTATTAAAGATAAAACGAGGAAGATACATTTTTTATTAAACATTTACGTTATAAATAACTGGGTTCAATCCCCACCATGTCCATCATGTTTATAATTGACTAGTAGTGCCCGCGACTTCGTCTGCTTGGAATAGTTTGGGCATAGTAATTTTTTTTTTGCAAACTACCTCTTTATAGACTTTAGCTGTTATCCACGACGTCCTCCGCGTCCCGTCGTCAAAATTCATTCCAAACTTTTAAAACTATAATATTTGCAGGTCTAAGTTTTGTTTCTCGTCTGTGGTTTACGCAACTGTGACGCCTTAAAACCTTCTTGAAGGTTTTTAGAGCGAATTATCTTTCTTTATGTTTAACTTTTCGGTTATGTGTAAACACAATCAGTCAAAACGTCAGGTCGTGGTTAAAAAGGAAATCACGTATTTAATGCGCATTTTAAGCTGTCGAAACAGTTTTATTTAAGAAGCGCGATTTTTCAGATTCGTTGAGAGAAATCAGTTTGGGGCGTCTTCAAGTAAAAAGGAAAGCACGCATTTTCTTAGCACAAAGGAAGGGATTGGATCGGCGTCCTGCAGCAAAAATGTTTTTGGCACTTCCTCACTAATCGGTCCAGTGGTGAGACTGCCAGTGGAAACGAAAATCGTGATGCACATGGAAAACCCTTGCTCACGTCACCAACCGAAAAAAACACAAAAGAAGAATGACGTAAAGACCAAAATCGAAGTATGTTCTTGTTTATTTGTCGTGTTAACACTGGTTCTGAAAAATAACGCTTTCATTTTGTACCAATTTAGAATATTAAATTTAATGATTCAACAGTATGTACATAGCAATTTATTATAGTCCCGAGTATTAAATTGAAACAATTTTAAAGGTTTAAAACGCGAAATGTATTACTAGTTGAACTTATTTATAATTTCTGTTAACTACAGCCCGACGTTTCGAATGCAGCAGTCGTGGTCAGGGGGCGAAAAGTCGGGCCAAAGTTAACATTAATTGGAAATAAGTTTGACTAATACATTTCGCGTTTTAAACCGTTAAAAATGTTTATTTAAATGTGTACTTATCGGGCACTTTACATGAACTGAGGTGTCTTATGAACTTAAGGGGAAATAAACAATGTCATATATCAAAATTTCAACGCTAAGCCTTAATAACTTTCAGTTTTCAAATTTCGTATTACAGTGGGGCATAGGGCAAACGCATTTGTGTGTCCGTTTCCCAGATGGATTTCATTAGAAGCAAAATTGATGAAATGGCTAGCTATACACGTTAAAATAATAAACATATTTGCCTTTAAAATACAATGTCATCGATTCCCAGTAGGCATGTTTATTTGATATTCTCGTTATCAAATGTTAAAATAATAAAGTATTTTTGGATATCACTCCATTTTTAGCACCTATTTGTCACGTCCTAAATTTGTTTCAGCGTCAATAAGCTATATTACATCTTGAAGAGATTTTATTGAACAATCTTACTACTTACTTATTAAATATTATTATATATTACGCAGTTCACGCGAGTAGTGTAGAGTAAAATTTAAACATTTTTACCGGTTTAAAATGCGAAAGATTTATTAACTTATTTACTTTTTTTCGCGTTGAAGCAGTCGTGGCCACTGAGGAACGTGATGCCTTTCGCGCTTTAAACCGGTTAAAAGTGTTTTATTCGAATATATAGGCGACGTAAATATATTTCGCGTTTAAAACCGTTAAAAAAGTTTCATTTCAATAATACAAATCTGTTACCTTTTAGGCGTGCTGTATGGACTCCGCGTGTATTAAAAGACTTACAGAGCTAGACACGGCGACAGGAGAACTAAGAAAGAGGGCAGCGAGACTTGCCAAGAGAGAAGCAGAGAGAGTAGAACTATTGGAGCGAGCCGAGACCGCTTGGAAGGATCTAGAAGTCGGGTATCAAAGAAGATTAACACTGGCTGAGGAAAAGGAGGAAGATTTAACCAAACAGGTCTTACGTAAATAAAGTAGCCACCACAAGTTAATATTCTTACTCGCTGAATAATTTAAATAATAATAAGGGAAAAGAGATGAGGGAAGAAAATCCGTTTTCTTTGCTTGCCAGTTTTAAATGCATTTTTGTCCCGGGTTCGAACCCAAGGTGGAGATCCTTACAGAATAAACACTACTGTCTATAGTTTACGCGAGTAGTACACATTTAAATAAAACACTTTAACGGTTTAAAACGCGATGTATTAGTTAAACTTATTTGGAAATGATTTCTAACTTCGGCCCGACGTTTCGGCTGCTGCGAAGCGTTTTATTTAAACAATTATGAAATATCACTTGTAAATTAATTTTAGGGGAACAAAAGAAAGACAACAGAGGGGTTACAAATTATCTTTACTTAATCAATTACATAATTTAAATGAAAATAACCTTCATAAACACTTTGTCTGAAACATTTTTAGCGTAAGGAGACACGTAAAGAAGTCTTGTTTGTTTCTGTATTACACAATTTTGTTGGTGAACATATATAGTACTCATTATATAGAATATTTGGTTCTTTATCTTATTTTATGTATTTATCTAAATAATGTGTACCTATAGGTTACTAGCATCCCGCCCGGCTTTGCTCGGGTGTCAAATAAACATTTTAAAAGTTATAAATTTTACACACAACAGTCCTAAACCTTTTTTTATATTATAGGTTAAATAAAAGAGTAAATTTACGAAGAAAATTCGAATATGAAGTATATAAAATCATTAAAAGCATGTTTGGAGGTTGGTGGGGACCACGAGGCATTTTCAAGATAACATTACATTTTGTTTGAATTTGTTTACTGGTCTCTTCTTCGAATGGAATGTTAAATTAGATAAAATAGAGAGAAAAAATTATGTGATGGTAATTAATTTTAAGGAACACTTATTGTGCCATAACTATAACAGCTAGACAAGCTGTCGCGACATTTTTTGTACATACGTTCTGCAAAATCGTTGATTTTATTTTGTTTCATAATGATCCATAGTTTTGGAAGCGCACGCAACTTTATAGACGTTTTTTTGTATATATTTCACTACTTGAGTTTTTTTTTTATTAAATATAACCCGTTAGGAAACCTTTAATATTATTCTTCACGCATTGTGTAAATTAAAGATAAAAAAAAATAAAATGGGCAATCTATTAACAATCAAAACATTTGACGATACAGACGGACACGGGGGATTTTTAATTTATATAATGGTAGCATGTGAAAAACAATAAATAATTTAAAAGTTAAATTCTGTACCTGCATCTTCTATTATCTCTTAAGCTGCAAAGACATGGAACCACTTAACGTAAGTGTTAAGGTTGGCGTTACATTGCGCGATAAGTGCGTGTATCAATGGCTAAAGAAATTCGACGACGTATAGGACTCCGTAGCTCCATTGGTAGGGCACGCTGTGGATGCCAGTTCTTGTCTTATTTTTTTTCAATCTAGCCACATGCTTCATGTATATAAAAATTTAAAAAATATTAAAATTTTGCAAACATTTAAACTGAGTCAAAAACTTGTCACATCACGGTGAGATGTCATTTTTTAAATAAGCTGTTAATATAATCCCAATATTTTAATAAGCTAATATAATCTCATTATTAATAGCAAACTCACAATGACTTTGCCTCAAACATCTCATGGTGAGGTGACAAATTTTTTATTCTGTTTAACATGAAGATGTCGTGTTTGTTTGTTCATTAATTTTACTATGCAGGTAGTTGTAATTATCTCCAAGTACACATTATAAAGATCATTCCGCTATCTCTTTATGTATTTAGGCGTTACGATGTTTCAACAAACATTTAACATAGATAAAACACTTTAACAGTTTAAAACGCGATATATATTAGTTGAACTTATTTGAAAATTGATGCTGTCCGGAACGTCTGGTCGTGGTTAAAATATTTTAAAATAAGTTTAACTCATATATATCGCGTTTCAAACCATAAAGTGTGGTTATTTAAATTGTGTACTACTCGCGTAAACTATAAACAGTATTGAAACATTAAACTGTTTAAAACGCGTAAAATAATTAACTGCAACCGAAACTTTCGATCGTGTCTACAGCTGTGTAAAATATTTAAAAAAACAATTTTAGATTAAAACACTTTTACAATACGGGCAAGACTCGAACCGCCCAACCATAGGGTGTGCTGTTGCTATAACCAATTGAGCTGTCTGCCGACTCACGCGCAATAGCGCTTATAAATCGCGCCTTAGTTATTATATTCATAGTTGCGTACCTATTCAATTGAAGCAAATTAAAATGTATATTAATATTAAACATTGATATTTTTCGCGTTTTAATCAGGCAATATTGATCAACCACTATCTTAAGCTTAAGGTAGAATGATATTTCAGATTAAAAAACTAATTGAAGATCGTAATGCATACAAGAACGCTACGAATGTACTAGTGCAGAAGTTGAAGGAGAGAGGGGCAACAGTAGAGAGGGAGAGAGAGCATCTAACTCAGCTGGAGAAGGAAGTATGCAATAAGGCTTGCGAAAGATTGCGCCTGAGTGAACAAGCAGCGCAAGGAGATGCCGCTGTTGCCGAGCTACAGTGTCGGTCTACGCAACTGGATAGAGATCTACTGGTAAATAGCCATAATATAGGCTGCTAGAGGCATAGCGGCCTAATAACAGCGAAATAAAAAAGGCGGAAAATAAAAATGCACAGTTAATTTAGACGTAAATGAATTTGTATTTTAATATTATTTGTGTAAGGATTAACCAATTTCGGTCACTGTGCTCTTGTAGGTTGACATTTTTAGACTATAAAAATATATATAACTCAAATCATAAAATTTCAGTTAGGCTACTATGCCTCTAGTGGCCTCATATACAGCAAGTTATATTTTTGACTAGCTGTGTCAACTACTCCGTCCGCGTTGAATGGGCATCATATTTATTTTTTAAAACAACCTCCTCACCTTTACCAATTATAGATGTTATTGTTTACACAACACGTCGATCGCGTGCCGTTATTTTGCAAGTTAATCTATACTAATATATAAAGCTGAAGTGTCTGTTTGAACGCGCTAATCTCGAGAACTACGGGTTGGAATAGAAAAATTATTTTGTATTTTGAAAATTATTCATCATTATGGGTTTCCGAGGCGTACGCTCCAAAAACGCTCTAAAAGAGATGCTACAATAACTTGCAAGAACGACGGGAAGGGACGCGACCGACGTCGTGGCTAACAGCTTTATAAAGATGAAAGTGTTGTAAAAATGTGGATGCCCAAAATATATATTCCTAGCGGACAAAGTAATAAAAAATAAATGGTTATAAAACATTGCGCTGAGGAAAGTGAGCCTTCCTCTTTATATAAGTTTCATTCAATTCGAACCAATCGTCCCTGAGATTAGCGCCTTCAAAGAAAGAAACTCTTCTAAAATATCAGATGATTCCAATCTTTCTTACGCCTTCTTTCTTTCCTTTTTACGCCTTCTTTCTTTAATTTTTACGCCTTCTTTCTTTCCTTTTTACGCCGCTAGTAATAAGATAATTAAACTGCGTCCACAGCGCGTTACATGCTGTCCCTCCACCAATTAAGCTACTGTATTGTGAAGGTCTCGTTGGTCTAATGATAGCATTGTATCGCTTATAAATATATTATACATATATAATCAACGGGCATTAGGTTTGATCCCCATCGGGCCCAACATTATTTTTTATTTTTTTTATAATCTTTCTGAAACATGTAAGAGTTCGTCTGAAAATAAAAATGGATGGTATTAGATAACGAAATGCAGACCACCGTCCACAGATGCAAAAGCCGTGAAGTTTAATCGCGTTTAGGTTTTAGTATGTGGATTTCCAAATATCCAAAGTCGACAGGGCATCTTGTTTAGTTGTTATATGGGCTGGGATGTTTCACCTGCCATCGAGTGAACTCCCACGCTTTTCCTCCCATCATAAAAAACTATAAGTAACTCTGGTTCTGTACATGCACCGCTGTCTACTCCCCACATTAGGGCAAGTCTGAATTGTGGTGTGGTCTTTGTTACTAAGCTGATTGAAATTCAGTACAGAGAAGAGCAAGCTCGGCGCAAAGTGATAGCCCTGGACAACGAAGTGGATTCAATCCGTGGCCTGACTCTCGAAGCGGAGAGAGCTATGCGTTCTGAACTATCGGCATTGAAGGAACAAATCACAGAAGTGTCTAAGCAATTGTTGGGCGAAGAAGCGACTAATAAAGCCGTTAAAACTGAAGTAAACCATTTTTTTTTTAAATTTATTATTTTGCGAATCCGTTTCACATTTGTGTGGAGTAGACTGAGCTTAAATAAAACGCGAACGGTGTCAAACGTGAAATATGCTAGTTAATCTTATTTACAAAACTTTACAACGACCGCTGCTTTGACAAAGCATCCGAAACGTCGGGCCGTAGCTAAAATAATTTGTATTTGCACAAGTTCAACTAATATATTTTGCGTTTTAAATCGTTAACTCGCGTAAACTAAAGACAACATTCAAACAGGATTTCTTTGTTGTTTTCACAGATCTTGTGCCTAAGCTAAACTAAATGAAAATTTCTCGGGAGTACTCTGGGTAACCTACAAGCTGAATGGTTGAATGTGTTGTCTAGCCTTGCCTTAAGCGCGGAGAGGTCATGGGTTCGAATCCCAGTGAAACAAATTGTTTCGCTCGGTCAAGGCAACGTGAGACTTGTGTAGTCTGATCAACTACTTACTAATAACCATAGCCATTGTTCTCATTTTTAACTATTCATACTACCATTAGGTCGAAGAGTTGAGACAAGAGAAGATGAATATAATAGAAGACTTAGACGGCTGTAAGGAGTTGTGCGACGGCAGAATCCAGAAGAGAGTGGACGAGTTGAAGGACAAGAAGGATGAGTTGAACGAGCTGAAGAACAGGGTCATAGACTGTCAGTGCAAGTTACCTCTTGATGCTGCTGTGGAGGTCAAGAGGACGCCGTCCCTCGCCGCGCTTTGCCACTGTGCTCTAGAAGACAAAGTTTTGGTAAGACTGTGAGCACACTTATTGTAGTTTACGTGAGTAGTAGGTAGACAGAGACAGAATAGTGTCTGTAGTTTACGCCAGTTGTACATTTAATAACAGTTTTAAAGGTTTAAAACGCCAAATATATTAGTAAAACTTATTCCTTATTTAGTATTTCCCCATGACCACGGCTGCTGCAAAGAAACATCGGGCCGTAGTTAAAATAATTTGTAAATAAGTTTCAATATTATATTTCGCGTTTTAAATCGTTAAAGCGTTTAGTTTAAAGGTGTAGGTACTACTCGCGTAAACTACAGACAGTATTTAACTAACATATTTGGCGTTTTAAACCGTTTTATTTAAATACGATACGACGTTTCGGGTGCTTTACAGCAGTCGTGTGATTCCCGTAAGGCGCTAGTTTGAGTGACCTTGTGTACAGTGTGATTGTCGTAATTAATCACCATTACACAATAGCGATAGCCGAACAGCTCGAATAGCTTTAATTACTTAATTTAAATGAAATATTAAGTCAGTACTAAGTCGCGTGTGTCTGTCTTATGTACGAACAAAAGACGTCCGTTGCAGGGCCGGGTTTTGTAGCATTTCATTGTTTTAAAAACAAAGTGTATATGTAACAAGTAAACCCAGAAGGTCCCAGAAATTATAACTTGTTTGAACGAGAAAATATTTGTAAAATTATTTCGTTTGTTCAATTATTTTGTAATGGCGAGTCTCGTCGGGTGAGAAATGTTTCTCAAAAAGCTATCACAGTATTTTTTTAACATGTTAAAAATAAACCAGCGGTAATATTAAAATACAAACTACCTAACTACTACTGATTTACCGAAATTCCAAAGCTGAAATAGGTCAATAGTGCATCTGGTTTATTGGTTCCGTTTTTCATAAATTGGACCCTTACTTATCTATCTCTTGCAAACATTGAAAATGAGGAAAATCTAAGAAAAACACTTTAACGGTTTAAAACGCGATATATTAGTTAAACTTATTTGAAAATGATTTTTAACTTCGGCCCGACGTTTCGGATGCTTTGCAGCAGCCGTGGTCACGGATATATCGCGTTTTAAACCGTTAAAGTGTTTTATTTAAATGTGTACTACTCGCGTAAACTATAGACAGTATTTAATGAGGAAAATCATTTTTCTTCCAGGACTCTTGCTCATGCGTCTCACTAAGAAGCCAGTTGCTGTCCAATCTGCTGTCTGATCTATTCAGTGGTCTCCAATCGGAGTTAGGGGGAACCGGGATGCAGATGCCGTGCCAATTGCTCAAGTGTCTGGAAGATAGGCATAACTGGGACCGAGCTAGTATGGTCAAGTCGAATCTGCGTAATTTCTTCTCGCAACTACTGATTGGAGAACTGGACATCGCTATCGCTACGTCAATAGAAAAATACCATGCTAAGGTGTTTTACTATTTGCGTCCCACAGCTGGACATTACCCACTTAGTTCCAGGCGTTTGGCGATAATCGTCTGTAGATTATTTAATTAAAACATTTTAACCGTTTAATACGAGAAATATATTAGTTAAACATACTTTGTACACGGGTCGGTTGCCGTGGTAAAAATAATTTTCAAATAAGTTTAACTTATAATATGTTTCACGTTTTAAACGTTAAGTGTATTATTTAAATGTAGGTAAGTAATATAATAAAAAAATAAATGAGTTTTAAGAGTAGGTACAGAAAGTTCGTTATGTTAAGTACCGTCTGTAGTTTACGGGAGTACACATAATATAACTTAACAGCTTAAAACACCTAATATATTAGTTAATTTATTTTTTTGATGTTTTGGATGCTCTGAAGCAGCCGTGGTCACAGGGATCAAAAGAAATTGCAAATAAGTTAACTAATATAATTCGCGTTTTATAACGTTCAAAGTGTCTTATTCTTATTCATGTCGACAACTGAGGCCGAAGGGTTAAGGTGCTCTGCCAGGCACGGTGACAACTGGCTGCTATACAAACGATTTGTAAAATCTAAATACCAAATTAACTTACCTTAGATTCGAATCCTGGATTTCTTAATCTGCCTGCTTAATCAGGCAGTTGTAATATTACGTCTATTTAAATTGATTTATGAATAGTGGGTTGGAGCCAGCTGTGCTGACCAATTGAGAGCTGTATCTGGACCATGCGAAGAAGATAACGAAGGTTGGCAAGAAAGGGCTATAGAACGCCGAGCGCAGAAGCTAGCCACGCAGTTAGCTGAGCAATTGTTCAAGGAGAGAGCTGATATGATCACCCAGAAGGCCAAAGATGTGATGAATGCTGGACCACCCCCCTGTGAATGCAAGCCGCAACAAAGTAAGCCATCACAAAATACCAGATAAACAGCTGATGATATTTTTGAACTTGATGCGCCCGTGTCCTTATTTGTAGATTTAACAGTATGCTGTTGTAGTACCAATGCTGACTGACCATCCACCATTACCCTCGCCAACGTATATACGGCTCGGTTACCGTTGTCGGTAATTATTCGACTCTTCCGAGTAAAACAGAAGGGATGTGTCATTTTTTTGACTAAAATAATTCTTCCATTCTGTATGTTTAAGAGGGCTCGACGTATATTTTATCCCTATTATTGCCTAGTAACGATACGGAACCCTTTGTGCAACAGACTGACTTGCCCTTGATGGGTTTTTTTAATAATAAATATGTCCTCCTCTATCAGAAAAAGTCATTCGTAACTACAGGACTTTGGCCCAATGGAAATACGGAAGACGCAAGATATTTAAGTCTTTGATCGACATTTATCGTGCTGAATTATCATTATCATTAGTATTATTAAAATCGACGACAAGAATTACTCACCGGTATTGTTGACTGTTATATTTATCATAATTATTTAAACACAAAAAAATTACCAATATATCAAATCATATGGGCAACGTATATTGTATTGTAAATAACACTTTGTTGAATATCGTATGAGAATTGTTCTTTATCTTTTTGCTAAATGGCCGAACGTGTTGCTTAATACTTTGATGAGGTCCCTGGTTTGAATCCCGGCGAAACACTAAACTGTTCCGGTCTACTTACCTGTAAAAATAGCGACCAGTGAAACGGACATATGAATGTATTCGCCCAATGCCCAACGGGGGAAGTAGTATTTTTTTTTTCTTCCAAAGAGTAAAAACGGTCTGTCTGTAACGATCGTGAATCGCGATAGGTGGAGTGTTAAAATTTTGTGTAATTGCATATTATCCAAAAGGGATGTTAATGATTTTTGAGAAATTTATCGATTATTATAAATAGATTATAATTTAAACCTTTAAAAAGCCCTAAAATACTATATCAATGATTTTCGGGCTGTTCGGAGCGTTACGAGACGTGAGCGAGAAGAGGTTCTCGGTGTTTTGCCATCACGAGCTGACGGCATCATCAGGAGATGTTAGATCCTCGATTGCTCTAAGAATTATGACAATCCTCTTGCTCACGTCGAACAGCCCGAAAAACAATGATATACTGAACGATGGCCGTGAAAGCCCTACACAATTTATTTCCCTATTTTTAAATCGCCTGGAGACATCGTATTGTTGCGATCCAATGACGTCACGGCTTGAGATCGAGTAAACTCGTAGTGAAGTAACATTTTTTTTAATGTGTTCTAAGTTTTATAGGTGCAGCGGAGTGTGAAACTAATAAAAATAAACCAAAATAGTTATTATTTACGATCCTCGTTCGGAAAAATATTTTTTAAATATCGATAAAAGTAGATAAAATCGAGGAAGACTTGCGATATTATGTATTTGTTGCATTCAAATTATATTCACTTTTGATTATTTGTTTTTTGATTGACAGTCAACATCCATATTCTATTGAAAAACGCAGTTTTTCCTCGATATCAATAAATGGTAACAGGCGCTTGTAATATTTACAAAATACTTGACGATTACAATATGATACTTGTAATTATACTGTCGTTTACCTAGTCAATAGTAAGGAACACTTCGTAAGAAACTCGTTTGAAATTTCAGATGCAGCTGTGTATCCTTGCTTAATAAAAACACCAAATGCCCCAAACCCTACACGAAGAAGTCACGATGGAAGCCAATTGTATTTAAAACGCACGATCCAAGATGTTACCAATATTAAATCCCAAATAGAGGATCTTAAGAAGGTATTGGTGCTGTTATGACGTCATTGTTCGTTATAGGTATGTGATAGGTTGATTAAACCCGTTTAAACAAAGGCTGGTCACAGATCTCCTCATACATAAAAGTTTGACATTAGGGACACCCTCCATTTTCAGTCCACCCGTGACCACACTGCTGCAAAGCATCCCGTAGCTAAAATAATTTGTAAATAAACTTTACTAATACATTTCGCGTTTTAAACCGTTTTATGTGTTTTATCCGAGAACAAGTTTAAAATAGTAGTACAGACCCACACAGTTTTATCATTGACTAATAATTATCGATAACATTTAAGTACATCGATAAAATGACTCGCATACTAAATTACGTTCATCACACTACTCGTAAAATGACTTGCATTGCATTAAAATACCTTTGTACGCATAAGATATGTGTTTTTTACAGGAATCAATAAAGAGAGAAGATTTGAAACAAATGGAAGATAAACTCGCTAGAATCATCCAACGGGTTGCGGTAGGAAGTAATGCTTATACTCATAAGAATAATTTAAAATTGAATACTACATATACATACATATCATGTCTACTAAACTAACTAATATTATATAGCTGAAGAGTTTGTTTGTTTCTTTAAACGCGCTGAGGTAGCTTAGGAATTACTGGTTCGAAGAAAAATGTGTATGAAAGAACGATTCGTGACATAGTTGATGCCCATTATAGCAAAAGACAGTTCTTTCCTACGCATGTTTATTTAAAAACCAATATAATCTTGTGTATTAAAAAACTGGGATAAATTAGGGATGGGATGGGATGTCCGCGTAGAATAGTAATTTTAGGCATTTAAATTTATTTTTGCTAACCTTTTCATCTTTATAAACTTAAGCAGCTACCCACGATGTCGGTAGCGTCGTTTCCCATCGTTCTTGCAAGTTAATCTTAAAAGACATAGTGTCGCGGACTTTTTTTTAGGTCATTTAAAGAGGAATCATTCTTTCATACATATTTTTTGGGTGTCTTAGAACGTTTTCGCAGCGTACGCATCTGAAACCCACAGAGATGAAAAATTTTCCCCATTTAGTTCACAATTCCTGCTGTATTTTTGCTTCTATTGATCACAGCGCGATGTTTTATAACTTCCTCCGCCTTCCTCGATAAATAAATTCAATTCGAACTCGTAGTTCCTGGGAATAGCGCGTTCAAACCAACAAACTCTTCAGCTTTATATATTAGTATAGACTTAAACAGCTTCTGACATAGATATATTATTTAAAGTATAGTATTATTTATGTACTTTTCAGAAACTAAAGAATAAAAAACCTATAGTCAAAAATGAGACATGTGACACAAATGATATAACAAATGTTGCCAATGAATGCAAAATCAAACCAAACACATATAAGAGAACAAAAATTGAATTACCGAAAAAATGTAGCAAAGTTCAGAACAATCAAAGTGGACGTATTGAAAAATATTCAAATAAGCTGTATCATAAGAAGAAAGAACAATCTTTAGCAGTTAATTTATGTCTATGTGCTGATCAAAAAAAAGCTCCGGCTTCACATTGTTTCGGTAGTCGTTTGACAAAATCATCAATAAGACCGACGTTGTGCACTGACCTATCTAATCAGATGTCTAAGGTGAAGTTGTCAAAACCTCTGTTACCATTACAGTTATCACGTCACACAAATTTTGGAAGAATGCTTGAAAATAAACTGTGTCCCAGCAACTGTATTTGTCTTCACAAAATACCATCTAACACATCATTGGACAGATTACTGGATGTATTAAAAAATTGGAAATGTAATCTGGATGAATGTAGGAATACAAGTAACTTCGACGTAAACCAAGAAAAATCTATTTTGAATAACTTTATTAAAGATTTCGAAAACAAACAATCTATAAATGAACAGTTATCAAATATACCAATATCGTCTAAATCAGCAATCAACAATGACGTTGAAAGAATAAATAACCAAAACGCTAAAGATTGTTTACCTTTACCAAAACCATCTGAATATATGGGTACCGTCATTCTGGATAAGAGTAATGAAAATTTTTGCAAATGTAACTCAGGCTTTGAAATTAATAAAAGTATAAAATCAGGATCACCGGAAAATACTTCACGAAAATTTGCACATACGAATTTAGATGATAATCTAAAAAGTAAAGAATCTGATAAAGACAATAACATGTTTACGACCAAATCTCAAATATATTCAGTAAAACTACCAAGTAACGAAAATGATTGTGTGCACACAAAACAACAGATCGGTATTCAGAAAGACTCTTTTATGGATAAACTTGTTAAAGATTCGAAGTTGTTTTCTTACTCCGGTGAATATGATATAAAATTTTTAGGTGCAACGTTGGCAAATATACACAAAGTTAAAGAAAATATGGAACAAAGTGTTGAAGCAAATAAAGTGCCAAAGAAACAAGAAAATGAAAAATCTTTAAACCAATTGTTTGATACTAATATCGATGAGCGTGAAAATAATGAATCAAACATGAATACATCAACCAAATCTTGCGTTTGTTGCAAGAAAGGAGATTCAAGTGATCTTGAATACAACACATTTGATTTACTGGAAAACTATTTAAAAGAGAAAACAAATGAGTTTAAAAAAATGTCTTGCAATTCATCTTGTATTCAACCAAAAGACGAGGAGAAAATTTATTCTACAATATTAAAAAAAGTAAAAGAACTTATTGTTGTGAATACAGAACCCTTGAGTTGTAAATGTTGCAAGGGTAACAAAGAAGACGGTAATTGGTCTCGCGTGTATGGTCTACTTCGTGAATATTTGCAAATGAAAATTCAACGTATTAAATGTTCTTGCCTTAAAACTGAAGACATGAAGAACGATGATCTGATTCTACCAAACGTTTTAGAGGAAGTCACCAATTTAATTAATAATGATTTTCAACGGTTAAAAAAATTGTGCGTGTGTGACACAAAGCAAACTGCAAAAAAAAATTCATTGCATAAATTTAACGAAAGTGAAGGCGATTTTTTAGATAATGATTCCGGCAAATCCACGAAGCCAAGCATAACTGTCAAATGTTCTAAAGCAATTTCACCTTTAGTGTTACCACCTTTAGATATAGTTGATGAATCCTGTAGTGCTTTCCCTTTATCAATAGACAATAGTCCTATTAATGTAGCAATGGTTGAAAAAGTTACTTCTTGCAAATTAAACACATTCTATGTCACTGATTGTGAATGCCGCTATACATTTACGGAACCTGTAAGTGAAGAATGTGCCAACAAATACCCGGGTACTATTTATCGTAGTAGTTCATCAGATACAAAAACCTCTACAACTTCCAAAGGTGTGTCCAACGAAGGAAAATATATTGGCTATACTTTGAATTGTACGTGCGAGCGTTACTTAGGTTGTGTATGCACCAAGTCACTGGTAGAAACGAATGATGAGAAAATTAATTTTATTTGGAATTCGATTACTAACAATATTCAACCGCAAAAACTATCTTACATAATGCGAGCTATACCTCCTAATTCAAAATCTGTTCAAAGTATATTTCCTGACAATTATTACAACTTCCATGTTACTAATTCACCAGCACCAGACAATAAGGAAGAGGTAAGTTTCGATGTCACTGAGATAGAGAAAAAAACTGTCAGCAATTTTGATAATATTTGCTACACTCAGACAAGTTTAAAAGATGCAGAAGGAATTATTCTCAAAGAATCTCAACAGGCGCTCAGTAAAACTAGCAACAAAACTAGCATGGATGATATTTTATGTTGCGAGGAAACGTGTTCTTCCAGTCACCAAAGTTTTGTGACAATACCTAATGACCACGACCATGATATTATAACCAGTAAGAACACCCTTTATAATTCACTTTACTTGCCAGCTGTTGAGGATGGTACAGCATCCTATAAAAGCGATGTATTTGATAATAGTGAGACGTCAGTGTCTAAATCCTTGTCGCAAAGTTGTGACTGTAATATGGTACCGATTTGCCATGTAAAAATGCTCGTTGAAAACATTGAATATAATTTGAAATATTCAAAGTGTACTTGCGATTCAATGAGTTCACAAGTTTGTCCTGTTCATTCGAAAAATTATGACGTTCCAACGAAAGAATAATGTTGATAAACTATAATTTACTTCTAAAAATGATTATAATAACTTTATGAAAATCGTAATTATTAAAAGTCTTCAATAAATTGTTAAAATGTTAATACTATACATACATTTGAAATAAATGTTTAAAAATTATAACCGATGTTGTCTTTCATTGTAAAAGAAAATTCAAATTGTAATCCAAAGTTTTGTTCGTAATATGTGCATGTATTAGTAACAACTAAAAATAGTATCAATGAGGTTTTTTTTTTGATGGAAGGTGAAATGCCAAAGCCACACCTCAACAAGATACGCCGTCGACTTATTTTAGTTATGGACATTTAGAAATCCAATAAAAGGAATTTCGATAATCCTATATATTTATACAAAAATCAAGTCGTCTATTCGCAATCAAACTAGAATCCGCTAGTTCAAATATTTAGTAAACTCGGGAGTAAACGAAACTACCGAACAATATTCTTCTTCTGTCTGACTGAAGTGAGACGGAAGAAGAATATTGATTGACCGGCCTGTACATAGAATCGTTTAGTGCAATGGACGCGATCTAAAGATTAAAACTTAATGTTAGAAAGCAATTCAATATTCATAATAGTATATTTATAATTCGTATTTTTTAACTATTTGAAACCTGACTTCAAAGTTGCTACTAAGGAAATTTCCATTACATATTTACGGTATATTGCATTACTCTATAACGGCGATGGCTTCAGCTCAGTCGTTAAATGGCTAGGTTATCGATAAGGTTATCGATAGTCCAGGGTTCGAATCTCAAAAGAAAATTGCGAAAAATGAGTTCGTTACATATCCTGTGGGAATTTCATTTATAGGATTACTAAAATTATTACATTAATTTGCTGTTATTTCAACTTATATACTTGTTGGAGAGGTAATTTTTAAGTAGTAGGATTCGAGAGTTCTGGCTCACTCGTCGGGGCCCGTCGCTGGGGGACCCCCCCCTAGCTGGCTGGGGTCCTCAAATCGCGATCGCAGTGGAATCGCTGGGGGACCCCCCCCCTGGCTGGCTGGGGTCTCAAATCGCGATCGCTGTGGATTCGCTGGGGGACCCCCCCTCTGAAATGTAGCACGGCGCCGCCTAGCGTCTATTTGGGAAGTATTGATATCAGCGCCATCTATTGACAGTTTTCGAAAAACTATCTACCTTACCGAGCTGTGGCTCACAACTCAGGAACCCCAACTGACACGGTTATCTCCTTTTTAAAGATTTATAAACCGCATATTGCAAGGAAACAATATCGCGTTTCAGGATAATCTAAATAAAATAATTAAAGATTGTGTACACATTTATTACTTCATAATATTTTCAAAAACACCGACTTTTACTTGTATATCATTCCATTCCCGATTATGTTCATCAAAAAACATTATATAATCGTCAAGACTCTTTCCATGAACTTTAAAAAATATATAAAACAAACAGTACTCCCCACATACTGATGACCAATCGTCTTGCAAAACTCTTTTATTGTAGTTCCACATAGTACAGTTACGGTTCAGGAACAATCTGTGTGAACCTGAAGGTGCTCGGCCGAAAGAGTCAAAGTATTCACCGTGTCTGCTTTTATCTACGTGTATTGCTACCCAATGGGAACCTGGCTGTGTATCTGGGTCCAGATTGCTTATTAAATAAATAGGTAATTCCATATGAATGGGTAATCTGTTCGCGGCAAAAACATTGTTATGTAATACTGGATTTATTTTTGATAAGCAGTCCTGAAGCTGTAAGGTATTCATTTTTAAATTCCGTAGCTCTACAGTTCCGGATTGATCATAAAGTAATGGTGTGATTACGGAAATGCTATCCATTTATATAACATAAATGTAATAATAATAACACAGTTTGCAAACATCAATACTTTATTAAAAGTCTTATTATACTTAATCTAATACATTTGAGTCTTAACTGCTATAGTCTACGATTACATTACGATTTTTATCAATTTCAATTACATTATCAAACTCAGCATATACAATACAATTTATAGTTTCCGAAAGCGAGGATTCAAAACGAACTTCCAATCTCACACTACCATTTCTTATGAGGTTCCAGTGACTGGCGGAACTAGCTGATAAATCAGCAGTTAAATCAAAAGCCAGAAGACAGTAACCTTTAGAATATTGATCTCTAGATATACCATTCCCTTCGTTAAGAAAATGAATACCCGTTCCTGAGAACAGAGTATGATAAGCCGTCGTAAAAATGTTGTTCTCGAACGACGGCTGTAACGCCTTCGAAGGTATTTGCTGGCCATCCACGTATAAACAAAATGAACTGAGGTCGTAGTTTTCAAAATTAAATGGGTTCTTTGTGAGACAGCCGTTAAAAGCTGTGTTATTTACAAAACCAACTATACATCGTTTTGGTAATTGTCCCAAAAATAAAAGCAAATAAATAAGTAATTACACTTACTTGTCATTAATGTTATTTGTTTGATAAACTAACGAGACATCTTTTATTCCTTGGGATATATAAGAAGGCAGGAGCTCTTTAGAAAACAGTTGAAATATTTCGTGTGTGAATAAGGTTTCTGTTTTAAATAATTTTGGATAGGAAGAAATGGAGGTAAGTTTCACTCGTATTCCTTAAAAAGTTAATAAAGTTCTTTAATTGTTTTGCTAATATTTGAAACTAATTTTAAAGTTTTTTCTAGCCTTCTAATCTCGAAGAAAACACTTTCAAGCAATATTATTACCCCATGCTACTATCTGATGATGAAACTAGTAACGAATTAATAATCGAGAGGAAAGCTGTGAAAAGAAAATCTACCCAAGATGAAAATTTTGATGAAATTTTCAATTTTTCGAGCCCAAGTAAGAAAAAGCCAACAGAGTGTTCATCGGTTTCACGGGCTCAACCTAATGGATGTGTTGCATTTATAACAACTAATCAAAATGATATATTAACAGCCACTTACTTACTTAAAATCGAATTGTATGACTTGAAAGCAATATCAAATATACCTAAAAATCAGCAATGGAAACATGCTAAAATAAGGACTAAATATTATGCCAAAGATACAAGCTCTCATTTAAATACGGTAAAACAAGTTATATATAACATAAGTAAGGAAATATCATCGTTGGATTCTTGTAAAAAAACAGTTTTCAACAACAACTGGAATTGTTAACTGATATTGATCAAATCGCTTTTATTAAAGCGGTGATAAAATAAGAGGTGGCATATCTCAGTGCAGCAACAGATATGCTAAATCTAATAATAAATATTTAGAAAATTTTGACATGAACATTATTCATTACAGAAATTTAAAACAATATTTAAAAATGGGTATTAAACTAATCAAAATTCATAGGATATTAAAGTTTCGTCGAAGTCCCTTGAAAGTTGAAAAATACATTGATTTAAACACTAATTTAAGAAGCGTTGTGGTTTCCGATAGGTTTAGATCAATCAAACGTACCGTCTTTACTCAAAAACTAAATAAAACTTGTTTGTCTTATGATGAAATTTGTAATTTAGTAGTTGTAAGGAATTGTAAATAATAGATAAGTAATGATTGTTTGTAAATTGTTTAGACATAAATTTGTTAACGATAAAAAAATATATAGAGATCTAACAAAGAGTTTAATTTATTTCCTTTTAAACTTCTGATTAAGCATGTCGTGCAAAATGTTTCACTTTACACATCCTTTTACTGCTATAGTTGCAGGCCCGAGTGGTTGCGGTAAAACAAATTTTGTTACAAATTTTATTCAAAATATGAAACATCTTTGCAATAAAAATTTCGCCCAAATTACATGGTGCTTTGATGAAATGCAACCGATATATAACTTAGAAAATGTCAATTACTGTCAAGGTATTCCAGATTTGAACATGTTTGATGGTAGGGAGCCAAATCTAGTAATATTAGATGACCTTATGAGAGAAACTGATGGTAGGATTGTAGATATATTCACCAAAGGAAGTCATCACAGGAACTTAAGTGTTTTTTATATTACGCAAAATTTATTTCATCAAGGAAAAGGACAAAGAGATATTTCGTTGAACTCAAGTTACATCATCTATTTTAAAAATCCCAGAGATAAAACACAGATTAGGTACTTGGCACGTCAGGTATCTCCAGAAAATCCTAAGTTTATTGAAGAAGCCTACAGGGATGCCACTAAAGAAGCTTATGGGTACTTGATGATTGATTTAAAACAAAATACCGCTGATTTATGTCGAATAAAAACAAATATATTCTCTTTATCACATGAGTTTTGTCATGTGTACGTGCCAACGAAGGGGTTTAAATATGCTAAGAACCAGGAAATTCCCGTCATTTACAAATAATGCATCGAAGTTTAAGCACGCATAAAGATTTGATCTCGGCTCTTCATAAATTAAAACCAAAGTATAGAATAGCACTTTTAAAATCCTGTGACAAAGAAGAAATAAATTGTATTTGTGAATGTATTTATAACGTGTTGCAAGGAAAAATACCCATTGAGCATAAAGATAAGAAAAAATTAAGTAAATATAAATCTGTTCTTCGTAAGATAGTTCGCAAATGCTCGGATAAAGTACGGAAAAATATCATAATTCAAAAAGGTGGTGCATTTTTACCGATAATACTTGGTTCTATTTTGAGTGCATTGCTTGGAATTATAGTAAAATAAATTACAAGATGGAACATGCTAAGAGAATGGTTCTCATTGAACCACATTTAATAGAAAAAATAAATAGTTGCAATACATCAGACAATCCAACTTCTCGATTGGATGCAGAAATGAAAAAAATATTAAGTAGCAAACTTGATGATAGAAAAAAATGTATTTTGTATTTACAAGTTCTTCAAAGATACTTACATTTTAATGAAGAAAATCGTCGCCCCATTGAAGTGCCAGTAATTTTTCAAAATGATAATATTACAAAAGTAGATATAAAGGATGAAACACAAGATCCTGCTCCAGTGTTACAAATACCGGAGAAAGAAACACAGGATACAGCACCTACAAAATATCCTATTTACAATCAAAGTCAAATTTTAAGTTTGATTCCAAAAAGTTACTGCAAAAAGGGTGAATCAATTTTAAATATATTATCACTAAGTAAGAACAAAGTGAATTGGAATGAAGATAATGGTTTAGTGATGATAGATGGAAAAACAATTCCGGGTAGTAATATTGTGGATTTAATTAATGATTTGCTAAGACCTTTGAAAAATAATAACCCGATTGGTTGGGAGGACTTTGCGACTGCTTTGAAAGACTTAAAAATTCCACTCACGTATTTGGGAAATGCACAACGCATTGATTTCATAAAAAATCTAACGTTAAAAGATTTAGACGAGTTGTCAACCGACGAGGAATATTCTACTCCTACTACAACTAAAATAAGTCGTAAGAAATTTTCCTGGGAGAAATGGAATCCATACTAAACACAAATAATTTAAATTCTATAAATGAAATATATTATGATCCATCTCACCCAGCAGGATTTAGTAGTGTAGATACATTAACAAAAGCAATGAAAGGTAAAATGACAAAAGCTGATGTTAAGGGCTGGCTGCAGTCTCAAGAAACTTATACTCTTCATAAACCGATACAAAAACGATTTCCACGAAACAAATATATTTTATCAAACTTTAATGAACTTTGGCAAGCAGATTTAAGCGATATGAGAACTTATTCCAAACACAATGATGGCTATAATTACATACTTTGTGTTATTGATGTATTTTCTAAGTATGCATATGCAAGACCTATGAAAAATAAAAATTCTGAAACTATTAAAAATTGTTTTGAGTCTATATTTGAAGAAGCAAATGCTACTCCTACTCATCTACAATCTGACAAGGGCACAGAGTTCGTTTCAAAGTATGTACGCAAATATTTAAACACTAGGAATATTAATTACTATACAACAAACAACCCCGATATCAAAGCAAGTATTGTGGAGAGGTTTCAAAGGACACTAAAAACAAAAATGTGGCGTTACTTTACCCACAAGAACACCTACAGATATATTGATATTTTACAGGATTTATTGTACGCTTATAATAACAGTTATCACACCAGTATAAAAATGTGTCCGAGAGACGTTAACTCTAGTAATATTAAAACTGTTTGGGACAACTTATACGGGAAGTCAATAGATGTATTAACTGCTAAAGTACCGAAATTTAATATAGGTGATTACGTTAGAATAACTAAATATAAACATGTATTCGCAAAAGGTTATGAATCGAATTGGAGTGATGAAATATTTGTTGTGTCATCTGTAGTTCACCGGTCACCATGGATTGTATATACATTGAGAGATTTACAAAACGAACCAATCGAAGGCACGTTTTATGAGAAAGAATTACAAAAGGTGTCATATAACCCCACTTTAAGTTTTAAAATTGATAAAATAATACGCTCTCGTGGATCAGGGGACAGAAAAGAAGTGTTTGTCAAGTGGAAAGGATATCCACATAAATTTAATAGTTGGATTTTGGCTTCGTCGATAAATACATTTTAAATATGAAAGAAAGTTTTTATCTAACTTTGCTTAGTAATAGTTCTAAGGAATATTTTCCGGATAATTTAACTACTCGCTTTTCAACTAAATTACCAAAATCAATAGTACTTGAAGGAACATGGCATGTGGGAATTGTCGAGTTTCAATATCCTTGTACTATGTATACAGTTCAAGAACACGAAAATATTGTTTATATTACAAAGATAGTAAAGATGCCAAATGAATCTGAATCTTCAATAGTACATTACAAAGCACACATTCCTGCTACAAATTATGACAACATTAATCACATTGTAAGTGCATTAAATAATATAAAAGAAAATATCAGGTTTCGATATGATGACCTGTCAAAACTTGTTAATGTTACTATCATAGATGAAAACATAAAAAGGTTATCGTTATCGCCTCAATTATCTCTACAACTTGGCTATGAACCCTACAGAAATTTAGTTGAAAAAGGCATAGGAAAATGTCCGGCTAATTTGCATTTAGGACTTCCTCCACAATTATTTGTTTACTGCGATATTATCGAACCACAAATAGTTGGTGACGTCATGACTCCTTTATTAAGAGTAATACCGCTTGATCCATCAAAATATATATATGGAGCAAACAAAATGCATATATTCACACCACCTCATTATTTACCAGTAATGAGAAGAGAGTTTGACACAATCGAAATAGATATAAGATCAAGTACCGGACAAGCAATACCATTTCAGTTTGGAACAGTGTGTGTGAAACTTCATTTTAAAAAAATATAATAATGTATAATCAAAACTTTCTTTGTCCATATCAACATTATTACTCACATCAAGCTGGATCAGGAATCGGTGTCATATACAAAGGTGTTCCATATCAGCGCGGTCACGGTATTGGAAGCTTTTTAGGAGGATTATTTAGGACGGTCTTGCCATTGCTATCTAGTGGAGCTCGTGTTGTTGGCAAAGAGGCCTTAAATGCAGGTGTCGGTTTATTATCTGATTTGGTTAGTTCTCGTCCAATGGAGGAATCTATAAAAACAAGATTAAAAGAGGTGGGAACTAATTTAAAAAGAAAAGCTGATGCTAAAATCGATCGCATCAACATGTCTGGCTCTGGCTATATAACAAAGAGAAAAAGGCGATCTGCAGTCATTTCACCAACAACTTCTAAAGTGAAAGCTTCCAAGCCATTAAAGTGCGATAAATTACAAATGAAAGATATATTTACAAAATAATTTAAAATGTCATTTTTACACAGCCATTCTTGTGAGTGCATAAAGTCAGAATTAGATTTATTTGCCTTACCTTCAACTCAAACAAGTATTGAAAGTGGAATATGGATTCATTATAAACCAATTTCATCTCTTGCCGACGATGGGCCGATAGAATTTCAAGTACCAGGCGCTGGGGACGATTACATTGATTTATCACATACGATGATACACATAAAAGCTAAAATTATTAACCAGGATCTATCCAAATTGATATCATCAACTATGGTGGCTCCTGTCAATAACTGGATGCATTCGCTATTTAATCAATTGGATGTTTATTTGAATCAAAAACTTGTCTCACCCCCAAACAATACATATGCGTATCGCTCCTATATAGAAACTTTATTGAACTATGGTCCTGCGGCTAAGGAATCCCATTTAACATGCGGCCTTTGGTATGAAGATACTTGCGGAAAAATGAATTCAACTGATAATGATAACAAGGGTTTTGTTAAGAGACAGGCCTTTGTATCAGAGAGCAAAGAAGTGGAAATGATTGGACATTTACACGGTGATTTGTTTAATCAAGAAAAGTTTTTAATAAATGGAGTTGAAATGTCAATAAAATTAGTCAGATCTAGAGAAACGTTTAATTTAATGGCCGCTTCTAATGATCTAAAATTGAAAATATGTATCACAGACGCTTCACTTATTATTCGTAGAGCTCGAATAAATCCAACAGTTTTACTTGCACACCAAAAAGTCTTGTCAACTACAACGGCTAAATACCCCATAACCCGAGCAGAAGTAAAAGTTCTAACAATACCAGCAGGAGTTCAGGGAAAGAGTCTCGATAATATATTTCTAGGTCAAGTACCAAAAAGATGTATAGTTGGTTTTGTAAATAACACAGCTTTTAACGGCTGTCTCACAAAGAACCCATTTAATTTTGAAAACTACGACCTCAGTTCATTTTGTTTATACGTGGATGGCCAGCAAATACCTTCGAAGGCGTTACAGCCGTCGTTCGAGAACAACATTTTTACGACGGCTTATCATACTCTGTTCTCAGGAACGGGTATTCATTTTCTTAACGAAGGGAATGGTATATCTAGAGATCAATATTCTAAAGGTTACTGTCTTCTGGCTTTTGATTTAACTGCTGATTTATCAGCTAGTTCCGCCAGTCACTGGAACCTCATAAGAAATGGTAGTGTGAGATTGGAAGTTCGTTTTGAATCCTCGCTTTCGGAAACTATAAATTGTATTGTATATGCTGAGTTTGATAATGTAATTGAAATTGATAAAAATCGTAATGTAATCGTAGACTATAGCAGTTAAGACTCAAATGTATTAGATTAAGTATAATAAGACTTTTAATAAAGTATTGATGTTTGCAAACTGTGTTATTATTATTACATTTATGTTATATAAATGGATAGCATTTCCGTAATCACACCATTACTTTATGATCAATCCGGAACTGTAGAGCTACGGAATTTAAAAATGAATACCTTACAGCTTCAGGACTGCTTATCAAAAATAAATCCAGTATTACATAACAATGTTTTTGCCGCGAACAGATTACCCATTCATATGGAATTACCTATTTATTTAATAAGCAATCTGGACCCAGATACACAGCCAGGTTCCCATTGGGTAGCAATACACGTAGATAAAAGCAGACACGGTGAATACTTTGACTCTTTCGGCCGAGCACCTTCAGGTTCACACAGATTGTTCCTGAACCGTAACTGTACTATGTGGAACTACAATAAAAGAGTTTTGCAAGACGATTGGTCATCAGTATGTGGGGAGTACTGTTTGTTTTATATATTTTTTAAAGTTCATGGAAAGAGTCTTGACGATTATATAATGTTTTTTGATGAACATAATCGGGAATGGAATGATATACAAGTAAAAGTCGGTGTTTTTGAAAATATTATGAAGTAATAAATGTGTACACAATCTTTAATTATTTTATTTAGATTATCCTGAAACGCGATATTGTTTCCTTGCAATATGCGGTTTATAAATCTTTAAAAAGGAGATAACCGTGTCAGTTGGGGTTCCTGAGTTGTGAGCCACAGCTCGGTAAGGTAGATAGTTTTTCGAAAACTGTCAATAGATGGCGCTGATATCAATACTTCCCAAATAGACGCTAGGCGGCGCCGTGCTACATTTCAGAGGGGGGGGTCCCCCAGCGAATCCACAGCGATCGCGATTTGAGACCCCAGCCAGCCAGGGGGGGGGGTCCCCCAGCGATTCCACTGCGATCGCGATTCGAGGACCCCAGCCAGCTAGGGGGGGGGGGGCCCCCAGCGACGGGCCCCGACGAGTGAGCCAGAACTCTCGAATCCTAACTACTTTTTTATAATTAAACATTTATTCAGACCGCTGTATATATAGTTAAGGAAGTAATTTATTTTACTTTTTTCTCTTTATATATCTCATTATAATTTACCAATACTATATATTGTATGAAAATAAAGTACATACTTTATTTTAATACAATATAATCAAGTTGTAGATTGTTAAAAACCGGACTGTTATCTTCGCTGAAGTAGGTTGCAGAAAATAATACGATATGTAACATAAACAAGTTTTAATTTAAACTATCTACGGTTAAGTTGACAGTTGTGTAAAGAATTACGTCTATCACAAAATTGAAAATCAATGGTTTTTGAAAAATTGAAAATCAGTGGTATTTAAAGCGTTACGAGTCTACAATCTTTCTTTGTGATATAAAATATGACACTATACTTACGAAAGCACATCGTAATCTTGTTTTATTGTGCTAAATTGATTAATAAAATTATATCTCTACTCGATATCGTTCGTTTGTGGGCGAATTATTATCTAGTGTACTTCGACGCATCAAACAAAGAATTATAGTATTAATCGGTGCGTTTTTACGTCTAGTAGTGTGTAACATAATGGATTCTAAGCTTAGAAATGTGGACGAAATAAAAAGGAGCAATCCAAATGTTATATCTAGAATTTTCATTTGTTGGGTGTGTCCAATATTCTTCAAAGGTAACAGGAGGGACATCGAAGAAAGTGATTTAATTGTTCCGAACAAGAACTACGATTCTGATCGGCTTGGGTCGAAATTGGAAAGGTAAATATTGTTTTAATTTATTAGAAGTGTATCACTAGAATCGGAGAGTCATTGGTGTTTTTTTTAATTAATATTTTTAGTTCCACACTTTATACCACTTTACGACTGCGTTTGTTGAAGAAGTCGTGGATATTAACCTTATAATTCAGTGATAACGAGACAAAACAATGAGATTAATATTTACTTATTCTTTAGACTGAATTAGTTATTCTTAGTTTTGTTAAGAATTTTTTGTAAAAACAAAACATTTTTAAATAAGCTTAAACGCTCGATACATTATAACGGTTTAAAACAAAAAATATATTAGTTAACTTATTTTAAATTAAATTCAACAATGAACCTACGTCTCAGTTGCTTCGCAGTAACCGTGATCTTTGCGAGACTGTTTAGTTACTAAAAACAACGTACAAATATCCTATATTTGAATATATACCACTTCTTTAAAGTACAAACAATATTTAACTATAATTTTTACAATAGTTTAATATCTAAACAAAGCACTTTGACGGTTTAAATTTATTATTAATAAATAAATGGTAAAAATGATTACGGGTCTCTCCGTGACCATGGCTGCTGCAAAGCTGAAACGACAGGCTGTAGTTAGAATAATTTTCGAATAAGTTTAACTAATACATAGCGCGTTTTGAACCGTTAAAATTTTTATTTCAATGTGAACTACGCGCGTAAACTACAGACAGCATAGTTAATGCCTTCAAAGCGAAACATAGTTTATTTCGTAATATTGTTAATAACCTTACTTAATTTATTTTAGTGCAAGTATGTGTGTGCTGAATTTTTTAACAGCATTCCTTATCATAACAAATTAGGCAATAAAACAGAAGTAGCGATGTAAATTCTGTAAGAATCATACTAGAATTATGAACTGATAAAAAATGGACTTTGATTGCGTGTGTCATGATGAAAGACTTTTTAATAGTCACGGCTTAGATTGATAATTGGTCTCCGCGCTACGCCGTAGACTAATCTATACTTATATTGAAAGCTGAAGAGTTTGTTTGTTTGACCGCGCTAATCTCAGGAACTACTGGATCGAATTGAAAAAATCTTTGTTGGGTAGAGCATTTATCAAGGAAAGTTGAAGGCTATAAAACAACGCGCCGCCACTAATAGGAGCTTAGACACAGCGGGAAATGTGGAAAAAACAGAAACAAAAATCATTTAGTTTAGGGACTTGAACCGGCATATACAGCGTTTTGTGCCTTTGCTCTATCCAACCGAGTCAACCATATCAAAACTGTACCACAGTTAGTTGGAACAGCAGCACGAAAACCTGTGTATCTCAGTAACAAATTCCACCAGTGTCGTGAATTTTTATCATTCGAAATAAACTTGTAATTTAAATAAAACACTTTAACGGTTAAACTTATTTGAATATTATTTTTAACTACCGCTCGACGTTTCGGATGCTTTGCAGCAGCCGTGGTCACGGGGAGACTCGTAATAAACTCGTAAAAGATGGAGGGTGGTTCTGATGTCAAAGTAAAAACTGCTACGCAAGCGCCATCTGTTCCGTCGAAATTGGTGTTCGGCGAAAAAGGCCGGGTCCTTGCAGAATTTACTAACAAAACCGTTAGTGTTTTATTTAAATGTGTAGTTTATATAATATTATCACGAGCAATAACAAGTGAAAAAGATTTGTTTTCAAACTCAAAAATGACTCATTACTTTGTTTTCTATGTAGGAGCTGGTTGAAGGAGGTGGAGAGAGCTGGCAAAAGAGGCAAGGAGCCGTCTCTATGGCGTGTTTTGTTACGCACGTATTGGCTGGACTACTCTCCGGGAGCAATTCTGCTCCTCATAAATACGATAGCTAGGTGCGTATTGTTGGAATTCCCTGAAGCAGAGGTTATTACTTCGTATTCGAAGCGAGAGTGAAAACGTGATGCGAGAAAACTCTTGAAGATTATCTGGTCACGTTTACACTTTGTCGTAAAATGAGATTTTTAATTTCATCGGATTTCAAACTATGTATAAATGTATAAATCTTATCTTGTATCTATACTAATATATAAAGCTGAAGAGTTTGTTTCAACGCGCTAATCATAGGAACTACGGGTTCGAATTCAAAATTTATTATTTTGTGTTGATTAGAGCATTTATCGAGGAAGGCCATCATAAAACATCGCACTGTATGTACGAGCGAGGATATAGCGAGAAATGAAAAAAAAATTGGGAAAATTATTCATCATTATGGGTTCCCGAGGCGTACCGCTGCAAAAACGGTTCATGATACCCAAAAAATATGAATGAAAGAATGATTCCTCTTTAAATGATCTAAAAAAAGGTCCGGGACGCTACATGTCTATCTCTTAAAATTAACTTGCAAGAACGAAGAAACGTGACGTCGAATTTCGATGCCCAAAATAAATATTCTTAGCGGACGAAGTCACTGGCACAGCTAGTAGTTAGTATATGCTATTGAAGATTAGACTTGACGGGTTCGTCAGGAAGCTATCAAGTCTTGTAATAATCAATCGTGGGTTCGATACTCATCGGGTCCAACATGTTGCTAATCAATTTATAATTTTTCTGAAACATGTCGGAAATTAGAATTTTAAATACGTTTCTTAAACTCATTTTGGTTTCAGTATGTGAATTTCCGAATATCCAAAGCCAAGATAGGTCAACAGTGCACCTTGTATGTATTGCATCATGTATGCATATTAACAAAAGATGACAATATAATTAGATGTGCATATTAAGAAAAGATGTCGTACAAGCAGTCTTAATTTTAATTTGTGGATTTAATTCTAGTTAATCATATTTAATTTTTTTTTTAGATATTATTAATTTCTACTTCTTAAATATCTATCTCGGTATTTTTATAGTGTTTATGCGCTAGATTATTTAACGGCATTCCTTAAAACAAATTATATCATTAATATCTTTTATTCGACAGGACAATTCAACCAATTTTATTCACCGAACTCCTCACTTACTGGTCTGTGAACGCATCACTGACGCAAAGCGAAGCGGCATATTATGCCCTAGGAATGCTGGTATGCAATTTCGTTGGATTCCTGGCACAGCATCACAACACACTGTTCGTGAATCGGTTCAGTTTGAAATTAAAAGTTGCGTTCTCAGCCGTCATATATAGGAAGGTAAGACTTTAAAATAGAACAGACTAATATTGTAAAGATGAGACTTTGTTTGTTTGAAAGCGCTAATCTCAGGAAGAGGCCCAAAACAAGAAAGAATGATTCGTCTTTAGATGATTTAAAAAAATGTCTTTAAGACAGTTACAGCTATGATTTGTAACGACAAAATTTGACGCTTAAAATAACTATTCTATGCGGACGAAGGCAATGGCACAGCTAGTTTATTTATGAGTAACGCAAGATTGAAATGTAATTGAAGAGACTGCTTTAGAAAAAAAATTATTGAAGCAGTAGCAGTGTGTCAAATCCTGTTAGTATTGTCTTTTTTGGAAATAGTTGTATGTCGAAACAAGACCAAAATTAAACCCCGTGAATTAAATCAGATGATAGTCTGTTTTTATTAAAATTTATTAAACAATAATACTCCTGTAATTAACTAACTAGAAAACAAACATGTAATTAAAACATAAGTTTATCTCTCCCTAATACAATCGGCAAAAAAAACAAATTAAAATGTTCACATTAAGATATTTAAAATTAAAATTGTATATCTCTACAACAAAATATCTTAATATATGTTACAGTTTCTAATTGAGAATTATTTTTAATTATTACACACTTCACAGGGAAATGTCAATTTTCAATAGTGTCCGAGGCCAACGATGAACACCAATACATTGCTTTTTGCATTCATTATTGAGATAAAACACTTTTAACAATTTAAAACCAGAGAAATGTACGTTAACTTATTTACAATTTATTTTATCTACGGCCTGACGTTTCAAATGCTTTGAGCAGCATGTATCCCTATTGTTTCAAAATATTTTGCGTTTTAAACCAAAAAAGCGTCTTATTTAAATACATACTACTCGCTACAGATAATATGTAATTTAATACTGTAACTTGCTGTTAAAACCTATAAATATATTGTCTATAAACTGTATAATGTTTCCGCGACCGTCGTAATTTGGATATCGTCCTCGACATTGTCACGAATGGATGACGTCACCAAAAGATGTCGCATGCCTCGACTAAGCTGCCTTCGCTTTAAAGACTATTGTCATTTTGTGCCATGAAATTACCTACAAGTTTCCCCGTTTACAGGTGCTCCGCATGAGCCAGCTCTCCCTGGGTGAAGTTGCGGCTGGAAAACTTGTGAATCTCTTATCGAACGATATTGCGCGATTTGATCAAGCTTTGATGTTTCTCCATTACATATGGCTGGTTCCACTTCAAGTTGCTATTGTGTTATTCTTTCTGTACAACATAGCGGGTTACGCGCCGTTGGTCGGTCTTTTCGCTGTTATATTGTTGATCTTGCCCATACAAGGTAATATGAATTTTATCTTTTTTTTAATAAGAGAGGAGGACAGAAGCTTGGTGGGAGGTGAAATACCCCAGTCTATATATGATGCGCTGTCGTCCTATTTTGGCTTTGGATATTCGGAAATCTACAGACTATAACCGAAACGCGATTAAATTTCACTTTTCCATGTGGGCGGTGGTTCGTGGCGGCGGGCGGAATTTCGATATTCCTATTGCCTATTTAATATTCAGATTTCCAGAAGGAGTGCATCAGAAAAAATATAAATTAAATTTTATTGTCTTTATCCTATCTAATAAAAGTTATCTCTTATAACTATTATCTATAAGAACATTTTTATATTGAGCTATATTAACTGAATGTAATAAGTACAAGTGGTAAGGGTGAGTTGAGTTTTTGTTATAGTCTGTAGCGCTGGTTTTAAAACTGGCTATTAGAAGAAAAAAAAAATAACTGGTAGACAAAAATAATAGATTTTTAATTACGAATAAACAAAGACGATTAAGAACTAATGATCTAAGTTAAATAAAACACTTTAATTGTTTAAGATAAAAAAATATATTCTTTTATCTGCGACCCGACTTATTTTGCTTTGCCATTGTGAGGGAGGTAACGTCGGGTCCTTGTCAATTTAGTTGATGGACCTTCTCACATTATATATGTATAAATATTTTATGTTTTAGCGACATTAACAAAATACACAGCGACTATACGAAGAGTTGCAGCGCCAAGAACTGATAAGAGAATTAAATTGATGAGCGAAATTATAAATGGAATTCAGGTAACTTAAAAAATATTTCTTTTTTTTTATTAATTCAGTTATCAATAAACTTAAAAAATAATAATGTAGCATCATATCATTGTTATTCGGACTGTTCGGTCGACGGTCTCGGCATCATCAGGGGATGTCAGCTCCTCGATTGCTCGAAGAATTTTCGAAGCCTTACACAATTTAAGTTTGTAACATTATGTAACATTTTTATTACAGGTAATCAAAATGTACGCATGGGAAAAATCATTCCTGAAGATAGTAACGGCGGCGAGAGAATACGAGGTCTGGGCTCTGAAAAGGTCACTCTTCGTTCGCAGCGTTTTTATTGGGTTCATGATGTTTGCTGAACGTACCACTCTCTTTATTACTTCTCTAACCATTGTTTTGACGGGGAATTTGTTTTCAGCGACCGTGGTAAGTTTAACTTTTGTTTAGCATATACGAAACATTCACATGAACATGCAGATACACATGAACATGCACATGCACATACACATACACATACACATACACATACACATACACATACACATACACATAGAGAGATATACACATGCATATGCATCTGAGTCTTTTTCGCTGTTTGGCTCTATTTTGTTTCCTTTCATTACAGATCTATCCGATAAAGTTGTTTTTGAACTTAGTACAAATGAATTTGACATTCATCTTGCCGCTTGCTATAGCAAGTTTATCGGAACTCGGCGTGTCTTTAGAGAGAATTAAAAATATCCTTGTAATGGGTAAGTTTTTCGTCATTTAAGATATTTGTTTTTAATGATAAGTGCAAAGGCTTCTCTTTTGGCGATTTCTTCCAGGCAACCTTTGTATAATGAAAAGTAAAAAACAAAATAACAATAAATTATTTAAAGCCAACGAGAATGAGAGAGAAAACGGAATATGTTGTAAATTACAGTGATATCAAATATTGACACAACAGAAAACCTGCACGTTCCCATGATATATCTTATTTAATTTTACACAAGGGTTGCCTGGAAGAGATCGCTCTAAAGCTAAGGCCGCCCATTGCACTCCATAACTTGTAAGAATAATGTATCGTTTTAACTTGTGTTGTTAAGAATATTTTTTAAGAAAATATATTGTGTACTTTGTGTATGTGTGTGTTGCAATAAATAATTAAATAAATAAATAATAAATAAAACGTTAACACACTAAAAAGTAAAAACTTAAGGTTAAATTTAGATCTTACAAAGATGTAACTTTATAAATAATAAAAGTATAAGCCAATTAAATCAGGACTGAGCAATACTTTCAACAAAATATTGATCGACTTTGGCTTTCAAGGACCTTTATTGAATTACTTATGTAATTTCTTCTTGACTTCTTTTATCATCAGTGATATCTCACACTAAAAATGTCGATCATTGAACCTGGCTGAACATTTACGTCATTATCATTTATTTATACTTTAATTATAAAGCTGAAGAGTTTGTTTGTTTAAACGCGCTAACCTCAGGAACTATTGTTTCGAATTGAAAATATCTTTGTATGTTCAACATACATCACAAGAACTGTTTGTCGAAATACTTTATATATGGCAAAAGTATGATAAGTGGGTAAAACATCGGCAGTGACGTAAACACGGAGCGATATGGTCGCGGGTTTGAGTCCTCCACAACAGTGTTTAAATACAAAACTATACAATTACGGTTTTTCTATAGACGAAAGAGAAGACCTCGCACTCCTTGCAAGGGGCAGGAAGTCAGTAGTACATACAGAAATTAATGGAAAGCAAGGGACTGGAAATTCGCTAGTTGTGAGACAAAATTCAACTTATGAAAAAAGACAATCTTTATGTAAGTAAACGCTCTTCTATTTCTCATTTCGTAGTCTTTTATAAACGCCGTATTGTGACAGCGTAATGCGTTAGATCCTATACTGTCTGTAGTTTACGCGAGTAGTACACATTTAAATAAAACACTTTTACGGTTTAAAACGCGATGTATATTAATTAAACTTATTTGAAAATTGCAAAGCATCGTCGCGCCGTAGTTAAAAATACGTTTAAACGTTAATGTGTTTTATTTAAATGTGTTAGATCTTATATACCAGCACGACTTATGCGCAAGCGACGGACTACCTACAGTCAAAATGTTCGCTCGTATTTAACGTTTAAAAAAATTGAATAAAATACTTTAATGGTTGATGTAACGTGATATATTAAATTTGTTTACAAGTAACTTTTAACTACAGCCCGATGTCTCGGATGCTTTGCATTTGTAAATAAGTTTAACTAATATATTTCAATGTTTAAAACCGTTATTTAACTACTCGCGTAAGCAGCGGGCAGTGTTTAGAATGATTCGAAATAACTAGCGGCGGTGGACAAAGCGTTTGTATTTATACTTATGTATCGAAAAAGCTGCGAGGTTATCGATTTTAAGTCTGTGAATTTCGAATTATCCAAAATAGATCAGCGTCTTTTTAGCGCAGTTTAGGCCTACCCTATCCTCCTTTATCTTAAAAAAATAACTAACAACAACTTTCTCTGTAATAGTATCAAACAATTCGCGAACTGAAGGCTACATTGTGGAGTTGGACAATGTCTCAGCCACTTGGAACAAAAGCGACGACCCAACCGCGCTTACTTTGAAAAACATTTCGGTGCGCCTGCGCAGAAATAAACTTTGCGCCGTTATTGGACCCGTTGGCGCCGGAAAGGTAAAATATGATTTTTTAAGATGCCTTCTCTAGCTCGGGAAGTTCGAAGCAATTAAAATTAACTCGGAAATTTAATAAATCATTATTTAGGCGTTTTCGTGCGTTATGTACACGCAATGTAATTATTAACTAATTGTCTGTAGTGCACGTGGCTAAGTATAGCTGAGTACGCTTTGCACTGTCTTGAGTTATATATATATAATGAAAAATCATGATAAAACAATTGGACAAACACATTTATAAAGACACTAAATGTCAATTATACAAATAAAGAAGATGTTTGTGCAATGGCGGCCTTATTGCCTATGGAGATTTCTTCCAGGCAACCTTTGCACGGAGAGAAATAACAAAATTACATATATATTTTACATGTTGCACATTGTCTGGAAATCTGAATTTTAAATCGATGGTAGGAATAACGAAATTCCGCCCGGATCACAAATCATCGGCCAGTTAAAAAAATCAATTTTAATCGCATTTCGGTTTCAGCCTGTAGATTTCCAAACATCCTAAGCCAATATAGCTCAACAGCGCATCCTTTATATGGCTTCACCTTCAATCACTTAAGTGGAGGCCATACTCACCTGTCGTCTCTATAAAAAAAAACCCTTATTGTAGCTAAATAGTTAACATGTTAAGATTGCATTAATGAAGAGGTCTTGGTTTCGAATCCCGGTGAAACAATAGATTTTCGTTCAGGCAGGGCACAGAAGTCCTATCAAATACTTGCTTGTAAATAAAATTCCTTGCAATTTTGGCTCTGGGTAGTTCGGAAAGGTCGTAGAGATGTTTTAATTGTATTTAATCTTTTATTTTAGTCCTCCCTCCTCCAAGTATTACTTCGTGAGCTGCCTTTAATGAGTGGTAACTTCAAGCTAAACGGAACCATATCCTACGCCTCCCAAGAAGCCTGGCTGTTCCCTTCGTCGGTCCGGGAGAATATAATATTCGGTTTGCCATATGATAAAAGCAAATACAACGAGGTGAGCATAAATACTGTCTGTACTTTACACGAGCAGTATACATTTAAATAAAACCATTTTGACGGTTTAAAACGTGAAATATTAGTTTAACGTATTTACAAATTATTTAAACTATGGCCCGATGTTTCGGAAGCTTCGTAGCAGCCGTGATCATGAGACGTAATTAAAGTGATTTGTAAATATGTTTAACTAATACATTTCGCGTTTTAAACTGTTAAAATCTTTAATTATATGTGATCATAGCTTTTGGTTGTTATATTCTGGAGATTCTAAGCGCTTAATGTTTTAATTGCGGTAGGTTTGCAGGGTATGTTGTTTGCTGCCGGATTTTAAGCAATTTCCATACGCTGACTTAACTCTAGTCGGGGAGCGCGGTGTTCAATTATCCGGAGGGCAGAGAGCCAGGATCAATTTGGCAAGGGCGATCTACAGAGAGGTCTGTACGATTCGGTTTTTATGCAAAGCGGTATTAGAGAAATAATTTTCCCCATTTTTTTTAATTATAGAGGAGGACAGATATGGAATTTTTTATTTTATTTATTGGATAAGGACTGTCGACATTTTATCACAATTACAGTAGCTTAAACTTAAAATATGCAAAAAAAAACAAAACAAAATCGTGTAAAACACTTATAGACAGAGACAACATGCTAGGGAAAGACAAAGTGAGGACTAAGTTGTACAAGAAGGAAGACATTGAAAAGGTTATAACTAAGATATAATTAAGCTTCACGGCTTTTTCATCTGTGGACGGTGGTTCGTGACCCGACGGAATTTCTATAGTCCCACCACCCATTTAACATCCAGGTGACCAGACGAAGTCGAGCAAGTTTCGGAAATATTAGAAATTTAAAAAAAAATAGAAACATACTGTCTATGGTTTACGCGAGCAGTACACATTTAAATAAAACACTTTAACGGTTTAAAACGCGATATATTAGTTAAATTTATTTGAACATGATTTTTAACTTCGTTCGATCTCCCCGTGACCACGGCAGCTGCAAAGCATCCGTAACGTCGGGCCAAAGTTAAAAATCAATTCCAAATAAGTTTAACTAATATATCGCGTTTTAAACCGTTAAAGTGTTTTATTTAAATAGAAACATGTTGGACCTAGTGGGGATCGTACGTATCGTTACATTACTACCATTAGATCAACGAGTCCGTCGATATCATGCGCCACGCTGGTTTACTAGCGCGAAGTCATCACCAATTTAGTGTACGGAGTCGTAAAAGCCAGGTTGCAGGTTGCTGGAGCAGCGTAGTGGGTCTGAGCGCTAAAACTCTAATCTAATAAGAGAGACTCTAATCTGTGTAACACTAGAATGGGCGAACGCTTTTGTAGTTTTGATGTTTGCTAGGATGTATCTCTTTAACTCTTTAACGGCTTAACCGATGTTGATAAATATTGGTGTCCATACAGCTGCTACCTATAGGTAATACATGTTATATAATAAAGAAAAAATAAATGGGAAATTGTTGTTCTACATACTGACGTCTGTCCAATTATTTCCTTTCTTTATTTCAATTATGAGTGAATTAATATTAACTTAATATCTGATAAATAAATAATTAATTTATTAATGAGTACAAATCTTACAATTAAAAAAATAAATGGGTACCATTTTAACTTTGTGCTAAAAGGCTGAGATTACTTTTTCAAAGCCTGGAGAGGTTCCTTCTTATTCGATTACATTTTTTTATTTGTTTTGTATATAATGTGCTATAAATAAATATGTAACGTCTACAGTTAAGCTACTTTGAGCTTATTCTTATTTTGTTTCAGGCGGATATTTACTTATTGGACGATCCGTTGTCCGCGGTGGACGCAAACGTCGGTCGGAAACTCTTTGAAGATTGTATCAGAGGATATCTCAGCAACAAGACTTGTATCCTGGTTACTCACCAAATACACTTCATCAAAGCCGCCGATGTTATCGTCGTCCTAAATAATGTATGGTTATTGTCGCTTTAATTTGAAATTAGCTAGTAGAAGCTAGCCAGTGACTTTGTCCGCTAAGAATATTCATTTTGGTCGTCGGTCGCGTCCCTTCTCGACGCTCTTACAAGTTTATCTTAAAAGATAGAGCAACAGCACGGAAAGCTGACGATGCCGGTTCAAGTCCTGCCCGAGTCGAAAATTTTTTCAATTTATTTTCGTTTTTTAAATTAGATAGTAAGTAATTAAGACAATATGTATTGGGGACATTTTTTATATCATTTAAAGAGGAATCATTCTCTATTACATATTTTTGGGGTGTCTCGAACCGTTTTCGTAGTATTCGCATGGGAAGCTCACAATTATAAATAATTTCCCCCGATTTTTTGATATTTCCCACCGTTTTTTCTGTTAGTCGTAGCACGATGTTTTATAGCCTAAAGCCTAAAGACTTGCTCGATAAATGCTCTAACTAGCAGAAAAGATTTTTCCAATTCGAATCAATCGTTCCCGAGATTAGCGCGTTCAAACAAACAGCTTTCAGCTTTATATATTAGTATAGATATAGATTTTGTATATGATAAATCTCTTGCAGGGTTCTGTAGAAAATATTGGCACGTTAGATGATTTACTGAAATCGGAAAAAGAGTTTTCCACTTTGCTAACATCGTTGGAGGACAAGAGCACAGATGAGGACAATAACGAGAATGTAAGCAAGGCGGTTTGTTTTTATGACTCATTTGACAATTGACAAACTCGCTGTTTAAGAGAAGAGACTTGTGTAATAATTATTTTTTATCTGTGTACACGAATTATTGTTCTCCGGTAAATGACAGCATTACTGAGAACAGTAAATTAGGCATGTGTTACCACACCACAGTGGATATGCGAACTCAGAAAAAGGTATCTCGACATAAACCACTTAAACGGTTTCGAACGAAATATATTAGTAAACCTTACTTATAATTTGTTTTCACACTTTACTTAACGGTTTAAACGCGATATTTATTACTTAATTTAATAACATTTTAACTACAGCCGATGTTCCGGGTGCTTTGCAGCGGCTGTGGACGCGTGTTCGCGTTTTAAACCGTTAAAAGTGTTTTATTTAAATGTGTATTACTAACGTAGCCTTCAGACAGAACTTCATTTTAGAATATCAAAAATGCACAATGTTGATATTCAAGTTTTCACTGGTAGTGCAACCTGTATTTTTTTTTTAATTTTAGGTAACTAAAGCGCCTAGTTTCATACGAGGTGTCTCAAGAGTCTCAGTTCGGAGCGAGGACGCAGTGAGAATAGAGAAGGAGCAAATTTTAGAAGCCGAGGAAAGAGCGAAAGGAAATTTAAAATGGAAGGTCGTGTCCAAATATTTACAAAGCGTGCAATCGTGGACATGGGTGGGACTCACCTTGCTGTTTTTACTGCTGACTCAAGTAGGAGTCTCTTTCAGTGACTACTGGGTCAGCTATTGGTAAGGTGACATATATACGTGTGTATATACTCCTCGTCCTTGTATTAACATTATATATCTTTCAGGACAAATCAGGTAGACGAATATGAACAAAACCTACCTCCCGGTGTGGAATCAGGTAATAGTTGAAGATCAGATAAGTCACTTTAAACGGGTTTAAACGCGAAACACAACTCTAAAATTCATTCGGTTATTACTTACATTTCACATTTAAACCAAGAAAAAGCCCTATTAAATTATTGTTTTTTTTCTGTTAAATTATTGTATCTGGATTCGAACATAGGACCTCTCGCGCTGCATGCAGACTTAGACAATATATTTGACCAAACAAAGCGAGTGAACCATGTCTGTTATGTGTTGTTTGATTCGTCTTAAGGTACATATAATTATGTAAATTTGCAAACACGCCGTTGGTCTAAAGGTTAGTACGCTTGATTTCTGATCACGAAGTCCTGTGTTCGAATCCCAGATCTGGTGAAACGTTTCTAATATATTTGGAATTATCCTAAGATAAGATCCTAAAATCTCTCGTCGGTCAATAGTAGCATGTATAGCTAAAAATCAACCCCCAGCCATGTTCTAATCAATGTGCATTGTGTTGAGACGTTACATGGCTATTATGAATCATGAAGTGAGCCGTATGTTTGTCTGTCCTTCTGTACATAAACATATTGTAAAACCCTCCTTAAAATGTAAAGCATGGGGCATCACTGAAAATCCGCGTTGTGCTTGCAAGGTACAAACTTACAAGGTACAACAAAAACTGAGTGGTGTCGCTCCACATACATTTATTATTAAAACATTTTAACGGTTAAAAACGCGATATATATTAGTTAAACTTGTTTGAAAATTATTTTTAACTACGGCCCGACGTGTCCGATGCTTTGTCTCACCGTGACCACGGCTGCTGCAAAGCATCCTAAACGTAAAATATATCGCGTTTTAAACCGTTAAACTGTTTTGTTCAAATGTGTACTACTCGCGTAAACGTCTGCAGCGATGACGTTTATTATTATTTATGTCATTGTATTTTTGTGTATTATTTTTTAGGGGTTTGGATTAATTGATTTGATTTGAATATCCTGCGCGAGAGTGCAATGGTTTGAAGATTAAGTTAAAACGTTATGTGTTACTTCCAGATACTGGCTTGGACGTCGTAATGGGCTTCCTAACTACGGGCCAATATCTTTTAATTAGTGGATTCGCTATTGTATACATACTGATTATGACGCACACGAGAATATTTACCTTTGTTGTAACAACGATGCGTGCTTCGATCAATCTGCATAATGATATGTTTAATAATTTAATCAGAGCCCTGATGAGATTCTTCGATACAAATCCTTCTGGTAAGTTTTAAATATTCAATTGAATCCCTTCAATTGAATCAGAGAAATGAAACAGGGACTGTGTGAGTGTGAAAGCCCGTTTCCCTCTCGTGAGGCATGGGGCGAACACATTTCTATGTCCGTTCCACTGATCCTTTCTTTTAACGGGCAAGAAGTTGATCAGACTTCTGTGCCCTGCTCGACGGAAACAATTTTTTTTCCCTGGGTTTCGAACCGAGGACCTCTCGCGCCTAACACAATGCTGGGCAATACGTTTAACCATTTGTCTACAGAGTCGGGCAAACACTGTAAAATTTGACGGGTTCGTTGGTTTAGTGGTAGCAACGTATGGCTAATAAACAACGGCTCATATTTTTAACGGTTCAAAACGCGATATATTAGTGAAACTTATTTGAAAATTATCTTAATCACGGCCCGACGTAAACGGACACACGTAACCAGACGGAAATTTATACTTTTTCCGAAACATGTTCAACTTCGTCTGGAAATCTAGATATAAAATGTACGGTGAGAATATGGAGATTCCGTCCGGGTCGCGAACCACCGTCTACAGACGATAAAGCCGTGACGTTGAATCTCGTTTCGATTTCACTCTGTGGATTTCCGAATCCAGAGCCAAAATAGGTCGGCAACACACATGTTAAGGTGATGATACGATATTTCACCTACCATCAACTGAGCCCTTGCTTGTCGGTCCTCTTCTATCTAAAAATCTTGTTTGTTGAACTATGAATACTAACTCTCATTCTCTTCTTCAGGTAGAGTTTTGAATAGATTCTCGAAGGACATGGGTGCTATGGACGAAACGTTACCGCGAAGTTTCTTAGAGACTATACAAATGTATATGTTCGCGCTAAGTGTACTCACGCTCAACGCTATAGCGCTTCCATGGACGCTGATACCCACTTCTGTGCTGCTGATTGTCTTCTTCTTCCTCTTCCGATGGTATTTGCGAGCAGCTCAAGCTGTCAAAAGATTGGAGAGCACTAGTACGTGTTTTTGTTTGCCCTTTTTAGAGTCTATTAGATCGGAGCTCAAGAGATGGCCGAGTGGTTTGCTTTGGGAGAGGCGTACGACCAACAGTGGGCCCAAACGGGCTGATAATGATGTGTTAGAATCTATATAGAGTCAGACTAAGTCGTCTGTCTGTCCTTCAGATTAATGATCAGGTTGTTTCTTCACGAAGGCTAGCTGACATAATCGTATCACAGTTTAACTCATTTTCTAATTCAAAATTATTTTTTATTTATTTCTGTGTACATGCGTAGCTTAATAGATACGTGGTGTTGTTTCTGGGTTCGAGTCCCGGGAAAGCAATATTTTCTTTCGAACAGGCATATTTAACTACTTACTACTACTAACATTTTTGGTTGAACTACCTACCTGTAAATAAAATCGATCAGTAAGACAGATGTATGGTCGCCCTAAGGCTAATAGGTGGAAACAGGAATACTTCTACTGTGAATTTCTTTTTTTTACAGCTAAAAGCCCAGTATTTAGTATGATAAGCTCCACAATTTCTGGTTTAGCGACAATAAGAAGTTCGGATTCACAAAATCGATTGCTGAAAATGTTTGATCAAGCGCAGGTATGTGTTGAATTTTTTTAATATATAGGACAGACAAGCATGGTAGTTCACTTGATGGTAGGTGAAATACTCCACCCTCATCTAAACATGTGCGCTGTCGGCCTATTTTGGCTCTAGATTCGGAAACTCACAGACTGCAACTGAAACGCGATTAGTTCGCGACTTTTTCATCTGTGGACGGCGGTTTATGACCCGAACGGAATTCCGATATTTTTGGAGCACTTAATGGTAGCCCCAGCCATATAACATCAAAATAGATGCGCTATCGACCTATTTTTGATATTGAGAAATCCACAGATTAAAACCGAAATGCAATTAAACTTGATTGCTTTATCATCTATGGTTCTTCATTTAAAATCCAGAATTACAGACGAAGTCTTACAGCTTTTAGATCAATTAAATTAATATTGAACATTAAATATACCTTTAAATAAAATCACACTTAATAGAATAAGAAACAATGTCCACCTCTTTGGTCGTCGAACATCTTTTAAATTGACGCATAAAACATTAATTTTTTTCAGGATACAAACTCGAGCGCATTTTTCTCGTTCCTGGGCGGAGCTTCTGCGTTTGGTTTTTACCTGGACACTATTGGTTTAATATACCTCGGAACAGTCATTGCGATTTTTCTGTTCATAGATCTCGGTTCGTTTTAACTTATAAATGTCCTACATGAGAACACACACAAGGTCCTCTCTCGCTTAGTAGAGAGTTTTAGGAGCGACTATCGCCACTAAATCACTGATGATCACCGGGACCGACGGCTTAAGTGCTCTCTGTGATGATCTCCTACTTCCAAATTCTGGAATAACGTATTAGTAAATTCCTAATACCCGAATAACATTTTTTTTGCACACAAGTGCACTAGACTAGACTGATGATAGTTAGCTTTTTTCCATTTTAACTAATTTTATAAATCTGAAGAAATCTGACATTTTTGGGTTAGTGGAACCATTTATCGAGGAAGGTTGTAAGCTATAGCTTATTTATAACAATACGCAAAGAAACAAAGGGAAATGTGGAAATACCGGGGGGAAATACTTATCTTTGAGGATTTCCGCTGCGTGTGCTGTGAAAGAGGTTCAAGGGAACCAAATAATGTGTATGAAAGAATGATTCTTCTTGAAATGATCTAAAAAACTAAAAAAATATTAGCGACAGTATGTCTTTTAAGAACGACAGGACGAGGACGATGTAATGTGTATCAGTAGTATAATTGACAAAACTAAGGAGGTTCTTTGGAAAATAAATAAGTTGTCTGATGCGCAAAATAACTATTCCGCGCGGAAAAAGTCGTGGACATAGCTAGTTATAATAAACTTAGGTATAAAATAGAAAACCTTTTTGTCTCTTGATTCGTTCTATACCTTTACATTTGGTTACAAAAGGTGACACTATTCTGGTGGGCAGCGTTGGTCTTGCTGTCAGTCAGTCGATGTCAATGACGTTGATATTACAAATGGCTGCCAGGATTACAGCTGACTTGTTGGCACAAATGACTTCGGTAGAAAGAGTACTTGAATACACCAATCTATCTTGTGAAGACAACATGGAAGAAGGGCGTAAGTTTATTGTTAATTTTGACGGACGTTAGTGATGGTAGCAATGTATGGGTAATATTCAACGGGTCGTGGATTTGACCTAAGCCAGATCTACTCATCTGCCCAACTTTTACAAGTATTGTCTGTTACCGCAATTTATACTCATGACATTTTAACGGTTTAAAACGCGAAACTGACAAGCATTCGAAACGTCGGGACGTAATTGAAGTGATTATCAAACATATTTCGCGTATTCGACTGTTGTTTGCTCAGTCAATGATACGATGAATTATGAACTATTTCAGCTACTCAACCACCAGAACAATGGCCCACTGATGGGAAACTTGAATTTGAAAACGTTTACCTAAAGTATGGAGAGGAGGATCCGCCGGTTCTGAAAGATCTCAACTTCGAAATAAGTGGTGGATGGAAGGTAGGTACATTTATTTTAACTAGAAGATAGACCTAAAGCGGAAGAGGAATCATTCTTCATACATAATTTTTGGGTTCTTGAACCGTTTTTGCAGCGATGCGTACGTGAAAACCCGTATTGATCAATAATTCCAATTTTTTTTCACATTTCTCGCTGTATCTTCGCCCCTGTTCATTATAGTCACAGCGCATGTCCTACAGCCTTTCTCAATAAATGTTCTAACCAACAAAAAAATGTTTTTTCAATTCGAACCAATAGCTCCAGAGATTTATAAAAGTTTTAATTATTAGTATATATTTTTAGCTCATTCGATTCTCGTATTATTGGTTAATTATCTTTTAAGGTCGGAGTAGTTGGAAGAACCGGTGCTGGTAAATCATCACTTATAGCTGCTTTATTCCGGCTTACAAACATCGAAGGGAAAATAAAAATAGATGGGATAGACACCCGTGGAATAGCGAAAACTGTGAGTTTATTTAGATTTTTAAATTACTCGAACTCCTAATGAAATTCAAGATTTTATACAAAACTAGCTGGGCCAGACTTCGTCCGCATAGAATAGTTTTTTAAGCTGTACCCACGACGTCGGTTGCGTCCCTTCCCGTCGTTCTTACAAGTTAATCTTAAAAGATAGACATATAGCGTCGCAGACTTTTTTTTAGATCATGTAAAGAGGAATCATTCTTTCATACATAATTTTTGGGTATCTTCTACGGTTTTTGCAGCGTACGCCTCGGAAATCGGATGAAAATTTTCCCCCGTTATATTCACATTTCCCGTTGTATCTTCACTTCTATTAGTCACAGCGGTCACCTTCCTCGATAAATGCTCTAATCCATACAAATTATTAGTTGTTTCACATCAATTCAAACTAGTAGTTCTTGAGATTAGCGCGTTCAAACACACTTTTCAGCTTTATATATTAGTATAGATTTATAAGATCCAATCCTAGGGTCTTAGTACTACCGGTACTTACAAGATATATACTTAAAGATAAAATGAAAATTGAATTATATCCTATTTTCCATAATTGGGGCATATAAAGATTCTGTGTTCGTTTCAATGCTTCGTGTTATAGACTTCTGTGACCTGACAAATGTTGTCCCGGTTTTCGAACCCCGTGTAAAAAGCGTCAATATAAAATACAATTATGATAAAGACGAAGCAGAAAGGTCGTAATTGAGAACCGTTTCTCAATTACGACGGTCGGATAGCTCTTAAAAGGTCTAGGCTTTGCAAAATGACAGTTACAAAGAATTATATGCGCCTGAGTTACGTACTTAATTGGCATTTTATTTTCGATCAATATAAAGTTATATATCGTTTCGTAAAAAATTATTTCCATATAAAATGGGCGGTCTCATTTGAAACATGTTTTCCATTGCAGATGTTGCGTTCAAAGATATCAATAATACCTCAAGAACCGGTGTTGTTTTCCGCATCGCTGAGGTACAACTTAGATCCTTTCGATTCATACAGCGATGACGAAATTTGGAAAGCCCTAGAGCTGGTGAGTTTAATATCTAATCTATTACTTTTAGTAACAAATTAAAATTGCTAAAAAGCGTTAAAATTAGATTTATTAATATAAAATTACATCTCTAATATAAAATACTGTCTATAGTTTACGCGAGTAGTACACATTTAAATAAAACACTTTAACGGTTTAAAACGCGATATATTAGTTACACTTATTTGAAAATGATTTTTAACTTCGGCCCGACGTTTCGGATGCTTTGCAGCAGCCGTGGTCACGGGGTCATTTTCAAATAAGTTTAACTAATAAATCGCGTTTTAAAATGTTAAAGCGTTTTATTTAAATCTCTAATATATTTAAAAAATATACTAGAGATGTGCATTTCTAATGAGATGCGAAACTAAAAGTTACAACTATAACAATTTATAACAGTTTAAAACGTGAAATGTATTAATGATCATTCAGCGCCATCTGGGGTATTTCACATACCAAGTAAAATCCCAGTTGTCTTGTCTGTCCTCCTCTATTATTAAAAAAGATGTAAGAGCCCTTTCTTTCCAAATAACTTTTATAGGTAGAGCTGAAGGACGCAGTTCCGGCGCTAGATTTCAAAGTGTCTGAAGGCGGGTCTAACTTTTCGGTCGGCCAGCGGCAGCTGGTGTGTTTGGCCAGAGCCATTTTGCGGTCGAACAAGATTCTAATTATGGACGAAGCTACTGCCAATGTTGATCCTCAGTAAGATGTCTCTATTAATTTGCTTAATTTTAACTAGTAATTTTAACGGTTTAAACCGGGGAATATATTTAGGTAATATTTGTTAGAAGTCCCTTCTTTATTAAGTTTGCGTTTGAAACTGTTCAAACTATTCCTCCTTTATGCGTAATATAGTGTCATAAATAAATTTGTATGTTGATAACAAATACTTGCTTCTGTCGAGTCATATCTAATCTTTATTTAATATCTAATTATATATTTATAATTGATAAATAAATGTAACATTGTAAGGCAATAAAGTGGCTTTAAGGGTGTCAGGACAATAATCTGTAATAATTTCGATTCCTGCTTATTTGACTTTTATTTCGAGGAATCAGCGACATTGGCGCAAATTTGTAAATAATTTAAAGACTTTGAAACAGAAATAAAAATCAGAGGATTTTTATTTTCAATTTTTATTTTATAAGTATGATTTTTCATATTTTTTTATCTTTCAGAACGGACGACCTTATTCAAAAGACAATCAGACGCACTTTTGCCTCCTGTACAGTGTTAACGATAGCTCATCGATTGAACACAATAATGGATTCTGACCGGGTTTTGGTCATGGACAAGGGGGAAGTAGCGGAATTTGACCACCCTTACATTCTGTTGAACAACCCACAAAGCCATTTTAGCTTCATGGTTAACGAAACAGGCGAGAGCATGCGAAAAGTGCTATTTGAAATTGCGAAAAGCAAATATTTCAATAACACAGATGTTATACAAACGGCTTCACTATAGTTTAAGTCTCAAACAAAGCAAATTTAACTGTTTGAAACTCGAAATAGATATTTCCCCCTATTTTAAACATAATAAATGGTGGGCATCCCTAATGGCAAAGTAAAAACGGATACGCTAGCGCCCTCTGTTTCCCGTTGCAAAAACTGAGTCTACAGAACTTATATATAATGACTTGAATATGATGACTTTATTTCGTGCTTTAAACCGTCAAAAATGTTTTATTGAAATGTGTAAATACGGTAAATATGGAACAATAATATTGGAGATTCTTATTTAGTAGATAAGTTAGGAAAAATTTACGTAATTTTAAGAGAACTGTATTATGTATATAGATAATTAATTTTTGTTGCACAATGCACCAAGTACAATTAATGTTTGTAGTGTAAAAGATTTATGTATGTAAAAGTTTATTAAAAAAATTAAATGTGTTTTCCCTTTTTTCTTCATATATTAGATACATAAGAAACTGAGAAACATAAAATTACTTTAAGGGTCAGCTTACACCAAATCACCAAGCGACATGGCGCGCACTATTTTACAAAATTATTTACATTACAAAATTTATTTTACAAAAAATACACGTTTCATCGCTAGAATTTAACCACTATTGCACTTGCAATGTTTAATGTGTATTTTTATTAGATCCACAATGTTATACCAAAATTTAAATTCAATTACAATGAAAAAAAATATGCTTGCACGGGACTAAAACCGGAAACCACAGCATTCCATGCTGCTTCTCTAACCGATCGTGTCTCGCTCGTAATTGAATTTCCTCAACCTATCTCTCGCACAATGGAATTTCAACCTTAACACTTACGCATTCAGATTTAATTTGATATGCTTCTTAACTTAATAATATAAGATGAAATTACAGAGTGTAATGTTTGTAAGGTTTATTATTTTTCACACTTTCACCTAACAATATAAAAATTAAAAATATATTTAGGTTGTCGCTACCGACTTCAAGAAGCGCTTTAGCAACTCGTCTGCGAAGTACTAAATTATAAGCCTCGCTAAGCGTCCTCGCATCTCGGTGTGAGCTTACCCTTATGTAAAAATAGGAACTTTTTCAATGAAGTGTGAAAAAAAATCTATAACATTATAGGTGAATTTAATTTCTTATGACACAGAAATGTAAGTGTATCACTAATCGATTTTATTCACAAGCCATTGTCATATATGCCCTATATAATACCAACCCAGGACCACTGGAGTGATAAAAATCATTTAAGGCTGTCAGTTTAAAGAAAAGAGTCGGCGTGTGTTTGTGAAAAGTTCAGATATTGTTGTCAAAAATTGACCTGTCAACGCCATATAATATTGTAAACAGAAAAACGTTAGTATCAAATTTAAAATGTAACTCAAGCAATATTAAAATAAAACGTACAATGCCAGTATTAAATCTTTGATAATTACAATATATAAACTATGGGATGCTCCTGCACCGAATTGAGTAAGGAAGACAACTTTTTCGCAAAATCCGAGGTCATTCTTTCAAACCCCCATGTGTTGTATATATCTCTGGCTCTAGTGATGATCATTTTGTATCTTTTGTGGTCATTGTATCAATGCGAGATGTGCTGTTAGTAACTAGAAATAAAAAAATAAGACTGAAAATAGCTCTAATCAAGAAAGCAAAAAGACGACAATGCCTTCGGTACCCAATCCATAAACCCATTTCCATAATGAGTTGCTGCGGCGACTGTTGTGACGAGTGCGAGGATTTGGGGGCGTTCTACAATGACCCCAGGGTCCAGGGGCTGTTCGTGGGGCTCATCCTCATCATTATGTACCTGAGTTATAAGATCTACCGCTGCCATCATCCGCGACGACCTCTTCTGTGTTATTGAACAGGTAAGAAGCTAAATATTTTTAACGGTTTAAAACGCTCTATATTTGTCTACAACCTGACGTCGCGGATACGTGCAGTAGTCGTCAAGGAGGGATGTGAAACGTTGGGTCGTAATTATAAATAAGGTAACCAATATATTTTGCGTTTTAGACCTTTCAAAGTGATTTTTGGTGTACTACTAGCGTTAACACATATCGTTATAAATTGTAAAATAACAGTTGGCTTTTAAGAGGGCCCGATATCAGTAATAATAAGGTAATTAAGTAAATTATTTAATAAAAAATTATTTAAATAAAAAAAGTGCCATTAAAATAAGATATTTGCCGTAACGCGACGTAACGAAGCGGTGTACTCTTCTGTTTAGAATTGACGGTATTAAAGTTACAGTAATGTGCTGTATGGCTCATATTAGGAAAGGTTATTACACGTTTTTCAATAAAACATACACCTAATTTATAAGTTGTTTATTAATCGTATACGCATTTAAATAGTTTCAAATCTTACGTTTTCATGAAGAATGGCAATTAAATCCACTAAGAACACTTTATAAAATAAAATAATTTATTTAGATATTTGTCCTTACACTATTCGCGATAACCAGCAATGAAAACAATTGTGAAATTATATTTAGATGTTTTACCCGACTGCGGCGGCCCAAAGAAGGGTAATGATTTCACTGTAGCGCTTAAAATACTGAGCGGATTTTAACTAGATGACAAGCAATAGTAGCGCGGTTTTTAAAATTTTGTAAAGAATGTTGTAATACGAAATATATTGTTTAATAGAAACATAGAGTCGAAGTTAAGAATAAATAAAATAATTTGCGATTTAAACCGTCAAAGGTGGTTTATTTATTATGTACAGTATATGTATTAGCATTAGCGTAAACTACAATGCAGAGAAAATAAAAACGACTATATACTCTTAATTGTATATCTTTGTTACTTGGATTTTTGATTGTCGTAATGAAGCATGGTTCTCGACGTTTCTCTATCACGATTGGATGACAACAGGTGCTCATTCCTAGACTAAGTCAAGACTGGTCACTAAACGTCGAGAACCATTTTTCAATTACGACAGCCTAGAAAGCTCAAATCCAAGTAGTTACTACTTGGGTTTAAATACATTTTTTTCATAAATTCTACAAATAAATAAATGAATACTGTACTGTTTGTAGCTTACGCGAGTAGTACACATTTAAATAAAACACTTTTAACTGTTCAAAACGCAGTTTGAAGCGTTTGGCCGTTATGAATTATAAAGTAATAAATTGTAAATAAGTTAATACATTTCGCGTTTCAAACCGGTACAAGTGTTTTATACAAATTAATAATTTTGCTATTAAAGAGAAAGTTCTTGCAAGGGACTATTAAAGATTAATAAGCTATTCAAAATGCACTTAACACCGTCGGGTTCTAGAAACTTCACTACATGCTCATGACTGGTTTGACGCTAAAGATCACAGTATTTTTGTGATGAGTATATCACTGCCGTCGGCTAACTTCATCTTTCCTCTTTCAGCTCGTTCTGGAAGTAGCACTCCTTCGCGATCTCGAAGAGCTGTGCACTGGTTTTCTCGCCAGTCTCCCTGACCATGCTGCTGAAGTGGCTATTCTGGTCGGAGAGTAGGTTGTACGGGTGATCGAACTCGGCCACTTCACCAGCGCTCATCACCAGAACCCGGTCCGAATCCATGATCGTGTTGAGTCTGTGCGCGATCGTGAGGACGGTGCAGTCAGCGAACTTCTTACGAATAGTTTGCTGGATAAAATTGTCCGTTCTATAGAAACGAAAAAGAATAAGTAACTGTTAATATCACACGTTATTTCAAATCTACACTAATACTAGCTGTGTCGGCGACTTCGTCCGCGAGAATCGTTATTTTGGGCATTCAAATTCGTTTTTGCAAACCACTTCACCTTTATAAACTTAATCTTGCAAGTTAATCTTAAACGATAGATATATCGCTTATTTTAGTCACAGGGCGATGCATTAGTTTGTTTGAACGCGATTATCTCAAGAAATACAGGTTCGAATTGAAAAATTATTTCGTATTTATTAGATCATTCATTAGAGGAAGGTTTTAGACTAAAACAATACGCTACGGCTAATAAAAGCAAAAAAAAATGGGAAAAACCGAGAAAATTATTCCACTCTAACGGTTTCTGTATCTGTAATGTATGAGATAAGATGATGTCCATCTTATAGCATTAAATTGCAAGAACAACGGGATAACAGCTATAATTAAAGGAGCTTTAAAAAACCAAATGTTGATGGCCTAAATAACTACTATTCTACGCGGACGAAATCGCTGGCACAGCTTACTATTGTAGAGAGAGTTTTTTTTTGATAAATTAAAAACGGTCTGCATTCCGATAATGCAGGGAGAAGTGAAAACTAAAATATGTCGTGCAATTTTTATCATTTTGAATGGTTTGGGAATTACTTTGCTCGTTTTGCACTTATTGCTTTAAAATATAATTAGTATAAAATTACTGTCATTTATATATTCATTGACGGCGGGGGGGACCCTTCGGAATTTCGATATTTTCATTTAATACGCAGAATTCAGATTTCAACATAGGAAAGTTTAAAAATTAGAAATTGTTAAGAAAAATGTGAATTATATAATTAATTATTAATCTTTTTATTTTTGTTTATACTACTTAAAAAGAATATTTCCACTTACTGAGGATCGACGTTGGCTGTAGCCTCGTCCATGATCAGGATCTTGTTCGATCTTAGCACAGCACGGGCTAAGCACATCAACTGCCTCTGACCAACTGAGAAGTTGGCTCCACCTTCTGTCACTTTGAAGTCCAACGACGGTATGCTGGATTTCAAGTCTACCTGTTATAGACAAACGTGATTAAGTAAGTAAAATTGTGACACGGGCAGGATTTGAACCGACATCCACAGCGCTCCGTGCCGTTGCTCTAATCAATTGAGCTACCGTACAGTGCCGTTGGTATGAGCAAAGGCACGGAACGCTGTAAATGCCGGTTCAAGTCCTGTCGTGTCTTTTTTTTTTAATGTAAAAAGTTCCTCCTACCATCATTACTACATGCCAATTTTTCCAAACTATTGATACATTCTATTATTTCCATCTTAACATGTCTTACGCTTTTCAGCTTAAGGAAATCATAGAAGATGAAATTACAGAGTTTACAGCGTGAAAACTTTTTTTCAGACGTTATTATTCCACATGATGGCATTGTATAAATTAAAAATGCCGGTTCAATTTCTGCACATGTCGGATTTCTTTTAGTCTAAAATCGATTTTAATTATATAATACATAAAGCCATCTTGTGCAAACATGTGAAAAATATTAAAGTTTTTAAGCCATTACTTATGTTTATGCTTTATAGATTACTTTAAGCTGTATTTATCGTGCGCCGCATTCGCTGTAATAAAATAAATTTCAGTCCGGTTTTCAGCATTCCGAATGTTAATTAACCTAGTTTTTGAAGTTAAAATCCATACCTGTTCCAGAGCTCGCCATAATTCGTCGTCGCTGTATACATTAAACGGGTCCAAGTTATATCGTATAGTTGCTGAGAACAGCACTGGTTCTTGGGGGATGATCGAAATTTTTGAGCGCAAATTCTGAAAACATTTCATGCATTTTCGTTTATGATAGAGGTGGACAAACGGGCATCACTCGATGGTATGTGATATAACCCAGCCATATAACTTTTAAACAGATGAGAGAGATTTTGGCTTTGGATATTCAGTAACCCACAGACTGAAACAAAACGGGATTATCAGAGGTCGACGGTGGTTGGTGACCCGGACGGATATGCAATATGCCCACCACCCATGTAATATCCAAATTTACAGACGAAAAAATATAAATTGATTTATTTTTGTTTCGATCCAGTGGTGATTACCGACCCGTTGGCTATTAGCCATACTTTGCTACCATTACCAACGAGGTAAATAAATCTACGTATATAAAATTTAGTGAGACACAAGTATTAAAAAATCGACTGTAACATGACACAACACGACACAATTTATTATAGTCCATTAACTTCTTTAATAATTTTATTAAATTTAAAACCATTTTAAACTCGTATTATATTATTTTCATCTACGACTTCGTTTTGAACGTCTTAGATTAGGCACGGGTAAAGAAATACGTCACAAGTAGTAAATTTCGCGTTATAAGCAGTTAATAGGGTTTCTATTAATGTGTACTACTCGCGTGAACTATTATACACAATATTAGAACTGCATTTGCAAGGCCAAGGCAAGAATTTAATTGAGGAAGTTGAATATTGATTAGTAATTAACACTATTTGTTTTATAAGAACCGATATAAACTTAGCACGTTTAATATAAGTTAACTGATATGTTTCACGTTTTAATCCGGTAGAAATGCCCAATAACCATAATAATTTCACGTAGCGAATCTACTTATTAACCATATAAGTTTTGCTTTACCTATATAAATAAATAAGTTAATGTTGTACATAGCAGTGCTACTGTCAACTGTCAATTTGTATACATATCTTGATAAATTATTACGTGGTTGACACTCTCATCGATGTTTGATGATTGGTATCTAGATATTAAATGGGGTGAATGGAATATAATTTAAATAAAACTCGTTTAACGGTTTAAAACTAAAAATAAAAGCGTAAAAATGTTACCTTCTATCGTGAAAAACGTTGTGTTTCTTTGTTATATATGTCTTATCAAAACCTATATATTATATCTTATGTACAACATATACCTGTCTCGCCAATAACGATGTGTCGACGCCATCAATCAAAATGTTCCCTTCGATGTACGCAAATCTGAACAACGCTGATATAAGCGAAGACTTCCCGGCTCCAGTCCGCCCCACAATCCCGACCTGCCAAGAGCAACAATCAATACAGTTACCCAAGCTCGTTAATTTAGTGGTAGCAAGGTTGGTTACAAATCCTAGGTTCGATTTCCATCAGGTCTTTGTAAAAGTTAAACTTAAAAATCATTTATACGCCAAAAACGCTTCATAGTAAATTAAAATCAAGGTTTTGCGGAACAATTGCTAGTATTGTTTTTGTTGTATATAGCATGTTCCTTAACTATTTAATTAAACAACAATTATTGTTTCATGTTTAATTCTCAGAACTAGTGCATATGCAATTATATGAAAATCGGTCAAGCCGTTTCGGAGGCGTATGGTAAGTAAATATACCTTTTTTTAACTAGGTAAGTGACTTATTATTGATGTTGACCCAAATTCGGTTAATGCATGTTTTTATCAACGTTTTAAAATTATACAATTTGTTTATGTCTGTATTCTATACACATCAACAATATTTTTTTTTTTTTACTTTTACAAAGGTCCTTACGTATGTTTAAAATGTTTATTCTTGCAAAGTTGCAATACAGTAATATTTTGCATTAAAATTTAAAATATAAATAAAAATCGAAAGAACTGGTGGAAAATAAAAAGTTATATACAAACTTTTTTATACGAAAAATTGTTTTTAAATTAAAAAGTTTTGCATGCATTATTTATACTCTATCCTTAGATATCGTCTATGTATATATGTCTATAATTACAATTGTATAGTCATTATAAACTTTTTGTAATAATTTTACCTTCCAACCGCTTTCAACAACTATGTTCAAATTCTTCAAGACAGGGGCTTCATCGACGGCGTATCGCATGTTCACATTTTGGAAAACGATTCTTCCATGGGACGGCCAGGTTGGAGGCACCACGAGTTCTGTAACCAAAGATATGTTAAATGCTGTCTGACGTGTATGCGAATAGTACACATTTACATAAAACACTTTAACGGTTTAAAACGCAATATAGCCGTGGTTACCGTCAACACCGTTACCGTCAAAACGTCAGGCCGTTAAAATAATTTAATATATATCGGGTTTAAAGCCGTTAAAGTGTTTTATTTAAATCAAAGGTACGTTAGCATTACGCATTTACCGGTATTATTTTATTAATTTGGTAAAAAGCTTCATAAATAATACCGTATGTTACCAATATTCTTTTTTATGATAGAGGACAGACTATAATAGAATAATGCTCCGTTGACATTGAAACTGCACAGCCTGGAAACGCGATAGACGGACTTTTCATCTGTGAACGGTGGTTCTTGACCCGGGCAGATTTTCAGACCAACATGTTTAAGAAAAACTATAAATGGATTTAATTTAAAAATCGAAAATAAATTGAAAAAAATTTCGACTCGGGCAGGACTTGAACCTGCATCGACAGCTTTCCGGGCTGTAGGTCTCCTGCCCGAGTCGAAAAAAAAAATTTTTTTTTCAATTTATTTTCCATTTTTAAATTATATAGTACCTTCATGTGCAATAACATGTGAAAAATATTAATGTTTTTAAACATATAAATGGATTTGATAAATGTTAGAGCTCACGGGATCAACCTCGGGACCCGTTGTTTATTAGGATTTGCATTTTTAATTTGATATATTGCACCAAAATTGACTCAGAATTCAAAAATACTACTTTTATTTCTTTTTCCTTTACACCTACCAAATAATATAAAGTACATTTTAATTTATTTATAGCAACTTATTGATTTGAGATTGAAATAAGTCCTCTGGAATTTTTCCTTCGTTAGGAGGTAGAAAAGTTTTAATTGAATATTGATAAAACGTGGGGTATTAGCGTGCCACGTGTTCAGTGTCCATCTATATACTAATATATAAAGCTGAAGAGTTTGTTTGTTTGTTTGAAGGCGCTAATCGCAGGGACGACGAGATCGAATTTGTTTAGAAAATTCTTTTTGTTTTTGGTTAGAGCATTTATCGAGAAAGGCGGAACTGTGAACAAAACAGGGGGAATGTTTCATCTCTGTGAGATTTAAATGCGTACGCTGCGAAAACGGTTCAAGACTCCCAAAAAATGTGTATGAAATGAAGATTCTTCTTACATGATCCATAAAATGTCTCTGACAGTATATGTCTATCTTTTAACTTGCAAGAACGACGTGACCCGAACGACGGGTCGCGAGCGACGGGACCCGACCGATGTCGTGGGCAGCTTATATTTATAATGATGTAGACGTTTGCAAAAACAAATGTGGATGCGTAGCTAGCAGCTAGTCTACAATAAAATAAAACCGTAATCCTTCGTCGTAATCGTTTGTATTTTAGAAAAAGATTACTTCCTTGTTGGTCTCGTGGTATATTTCACAGATTGTGTATTCCGTGGACACAACTACGGCCACAGTTCGAATCCCTAGCCAGCCGACATTAGTATACGGTATTTGGATCAAGGTTGAATCATAGCATTGCTAGTCGAAATTCTTGAATCGGCTATAAAGTCCCACTGGCCCAGCCGTGGGACATTAAAGGTTTATACGCTGAATACATTTTTAATTTTCTCTGTCTTACTTCATTTAATATAAGTTATGTATGAGTATGTGAAAATATGGAGATTTCGTACAAGTCCCGAACCACCGTCCACAGTCGAAAAAGCCGTGACGCTATCCAGTTTCAGCCTATGGAACATGCAAAGCCAAAAATATAGGTTGACAGTGCACCTTGTTCAGATGCTATAGCCTGGAGTATTTTATCTACCACCAAGTATACTCCATGCTGTCTGTCCTACTCTATCATTAAATTTAAAATATAAAAAAAATGTTTCCTTTAATAAAAGTTATGTAAGTCACAGAAACGAATGTCAAAACTAAACAACGCGAAATACTAAATTGTGCGTTCGAGTTTGTAATCGTTTGTTTGTCCTGTATGTGTCAGATGTTCAAATTAAATTACAATATAGCTGAAATTCCGCTTCCGTGTCGTTTGTCTGACAGAAAAACCGAAAAAACGCAACTTCACTCTAGTTTTAGTGATAAAAGGCTGTGTTAATGTGTTTCAATAAAACACAATAACCGTTTAAAATGAGATTTATATTAGTTACAATTATTTGAAAATTGAGACGGGAAGGCTCCGCGTGACCACGGCTGCTGCAAAGCATCCGAAACGTCGGATCGTAGTTAAAATCATTATGAAATAAGTTTAACTAATATATCGCGTTTTAAACCGTTAAAGTGTTTTATTTAAATGTGTACTAGTCGCGTAAACAGACAGTATATAAAAAGGGTGTGTGTAAAAAGTTAAAAAAGTACTTACGTGCTTCGAAGAGGTTGGGTTCTGTATCGATTCGTGTATACTCTAACACTCTTTCAACGCTTGTCAACTGCGCTAAGAAGTCCACCAACATTCTGGCACCATGCTGCAACATGGCTGTAAGCATATTGCTCTGCGTCACAGCCAGACCCACGCTGCCGACCGCTATAAGACTGCCTACAATAAAATATTAAATATACTAACATTAGTACAAGAGTCCAATAATTAGAAAATAGATTTAAGATAAAAAAAAAAAAAAACAATTTTAACAGCGCGGATTGTTATAGATGTTCGAAGCTTATATTTGCCACGGTAGCTAAGTTCGCATCCCGGCCGTGTCATAAATTTTTGAAAATATATTTTTGCTGAAAATTGCCTAAGTGGAAATATGATCTTATAATCCTACAATAACCCAATTCAAAAAAGGGCTTAAGTTAACGTACTGAATATTGAAATAAAACTCTTCTAACGGTTTAAAATTTTTATATTAGTTTACTTATTTTTAACTACGACGCGACGTTTCGGATGCTTTGCATTAGCCGTGGTCATGGGGTTTAAAATGAAGTTAACTAATATATTTTGTACTGTAAACGATTCAGGCATTTCATGCTACAATTAGTACCTAATATTTTATCGCCATACGTGAAATATGAAGCGATAATATGAGCAAATAAATTAATCTCTCGTCTAAAATAGTGTTATGAGAAGAGACAATAAGTGGTCTTGGGTTCGAAGACCCAGGGAGCATAAATTTCGTCATACTATAATTTGTAATAAAAAAGTTTCTGCACAATGATACAATACGTAATTTTCAGCACCTTTTAACCGTTTTAAACGCGGAATATATTGCATACAGAAATAATTCGTAAGTAGGTTTCGAAAGCCACTGCTGTGTCGTCGAGTTAACAACCGAATAATTATGTTAAACATTATCTTACCAAAATCTATGTAGAGGAAGACGAACACAATAACAGTGAGGTAAATTTGACACATCGTATCCAAATAGAACCCGAACGTGCATCCGCCACCCAAATAGCAGTTCCAGGCTGATGTGTGTAAGTCCTATGGAGAAAAAGATATGATCACTTATTATACTATATTGTTAATGTCTACCTTCCAATTTTATTATAAAATCATTTTGGGCTTTCGTCGGACCGTCGTAAAGGGGTTGTCCATTAATCACGTGTGGCTTGAAAGGGGGGGAGGGGTTTGATAAAAATCACGAAAATAACACAAGGGGGGAGGGGGGTATAGTAAGATATCTCGTGTATTTATTTTTTCGTCAAACGCGCGATTTTTAAACAAACACGTGATGTTGTTCTCAGGGGGGGGGGTTGGTCTTAAACCTCACTACGTATCACCAATGGGCGAGGGGGGGATTAAAAATTATAAAAAAAGGTCACGTGATTAATGGACAACCCCCAAGGAGAACGTGCAAAGTCTAGAGATGTCATCAACTCGTGATGGCGAAACGTCGAGAAGCTTTCAATTACGACGACCAATAATATAAAATCGCTTAGATGAAAGAACAATTTGGGAGAGACATTATTTTGTAAGGAGTTTTCATTATTTATTTATGCTTGTTATATATAAAATATAGTTATTTTTGTGTATGTAAACCTAATGTATATTTTTCAATCTTTGATGTTTGTCTAGCTGTCCGTACGTACCTGTAAGCTTGGCTTTGGTTTACCAAACAAGTGAATGACTGTAAAAGGAACTTTAGTCCCCTTTTAGGCACTTAATGACTTCATAATCAGCAGTTAAGTCTTAGACATTAAATTATTTACAAACCTGATGTCTGTCGAAATCATCAATTAACCTGGCCTGAGCTCCAGCTGAACGGATGGTGGCAATGCCATTCAAAGACGACGTTACCATCGAGAAGACGGGACTCTTTGCTAGAAAACAGAACTAAGCTTATCTCTCTAGTTAAAGAATGCAATAAATGTCTACAATATAATTTGAGAAGTGTTCGTCTAGTAATATCGAAGTTAGATCAGAGCATAAAACATTTAATTAAAACACTTTAACGGTTAAAAACGCGATATATATTTTAGTTAAACTTGTTTGAAAATTATTTTTAACTACGGCCCGACGTTTCGGATGCTTTGCAGCAGCCGTGGTCACGGGGTGACTCCGTTACAGGCTCCGGTCAGAGACGTAGTTAAAAATAATTTTCAAACAAGTTTAACCAAAATATATCGCGTTTTAAACCGTTAAAGTGTTTTATTTAAATGTTTATGTTAACGCTAATACAACAACTTACTTGTTCCTTCCAATCTTTTGACACCTTGCGCAGTCTTAAGATACACTTTAACAAATAGGATGAAGAGAATCATCAGAACAGCCGAAGGAATTAATGTCCAGTACAGCGCTATGGCGTTTAGAACCAAAATGGCCAACAGAGTACTGTAAATCTGCAGAACGTCTAACAGGGTACGCGGCAATATCTCGTCCAACGCACCCATGTCCTTTGTGAAACGGTTGAGGATACGACCTGAAACACAATAACGCAACATATAATAAACAAATAAAACATCTTTTAGTGTTATTTATTTTAGGTCTTTTTTAAGACGTACAATATGATAGTGGCTAGTATCGTCTGTAGTTAACGCTAGTAGTACACATTTAACTTTACTTTAAATTAAAACACTCTAACGGTTCAAAACGCGATTTATATTAGTTTAAAATAAGCTTAACTAATATACATCGCGTTTTCTAACCGTTAAACATTTTATTTAAAAGGCTAGCATCTTTGTATGGAAATAAAACATTTGTAACGATTACAAGCACAAATTAATAGTAATTAAGAAATGTCGTAGTTAAAGTAAATTTACGAATGTATTTCGTTTTAAACCGTTTGTAGTGTTTTAATTTAAAGTAATACCTGCGTGAAAGATAGAAAATAAGTCGATTCGATTTTAAGAGCTGTCATATAATTAATTTTATCTAATAAGGTAATAAAGTTTGCGTTTTAAACTGTTAAAAGTGTCAAAAAATTTGTCTTCTTCCAGCATTTGCGAAGTATTGAACAAAAAAGGAGCTTTTGGAGTTCTAAGCCTTAATGAAGAAGCTTCGTAACTATATACTAGTTACGAAGCAACTTTCAAACAAGCGGTTAACTATCAGAATTAATAATAAGCTTTTACATATTACTCGGGAGCCGCAATGCGCTATCCAACGTCAAAGTACGACAATATTTAGATGTATAGACAAGTTATAATATGTACTTGCTGGTGGTGAAACCGAATCCAGTTTTAAATGTCTGAGAAATGGCTGTGTCTTTTAGACAAATGAAAGTTTTAGTGATTCCGAATCGTACTTGATTTTTCATCAGTACAAATGCCCGTACACCTTTATTTTATTCTAATTTATTGCATAGCTAGCAATAATCATAAATATTCACGTATTTATATTAAAGTCCAATATTCTTTTTTCCATTTCTAGCATTCCACTTTCCTAATTTCCGTGTAATCTCAATATTATGTTAAAATAAAATAAATCATTTGCAATACATTCATTGGCTCTGGTTACTCGCTTACCTCTTTAACATCGACTTAACACGACTTTAACTTAACGTCAATTTTTTAACATTTATACTTTATCTATAAAAATATTTCCTCTAGTGTTTAAAACGCATGAGAATGTAACTAACGGTATAATTGCAATATTTGATAGTGTACAAAATGTTGTAGAAAGACTCCTAGTTCCTCACCTGAAGAACTGGTATCGAAGAAGCGCATAACTCCTTTTATCATCGTGGAAAACATGAAGTCGTGGAGGCGCCGGGACGCCTGGGAGCAGAGCGTGGCGAACGGTATCACCCTGATGTTCGTGAAGAGGATAACCGCTGCTACTATACAGCCATGGATGATCAGATATTGGCCAGTTGTAAACGGACCCACTTGGACGTCCAGACCGGGATCTGGAAAAATAATTATTACCTAAATTTTGTCCTTAGTTTACGCGAGTAGTAGTAGTTTCAAGTCATCGTTCCTTTTCAATCCCCCCATGACCGCTGCTACTGCAAAGCATGCATAACGTTGGCCGTGGTAAAAATAAAGTTAACTAGTATTTAAAGTTATTGCTGCGTATTAAAAGCAATGAGTTTTCAAACCCGAAAAAACGTCTTATCAAGGATACAGAAATGTGTACTTTAGCCACGAGAGGCCGCCTCTGTAGCTTAATGGCTATAACGTGTTGCCTAGGAGTAGCATTGCGTTAAGCGCGAGAGGTCGTGGGTTCGGTAAAAAATAGATTATTTCGATGGAGCAGGGTAAAGAAATCTGATCAAGCCGATCAATGAGACGGGCAAAAATATATAGTTGCCCCATGTCCCACGGAGGGGAATGGGATTACGTGTTTACACTTTTCACAAGCCTCGAGTTACAACAATGAACAATTACATTTGCGGAATACATTTTAAATTTGAATGTAAAACGTTTTTGTTGTCTTCGCTTGCCAGTCCGTATATTGGCCCAGTTTCTTGAAATGGAACGTTAACCTTCTTGTGTTATTAAATTGGATACGATTTCTACAATATTAAATGCTTACCTAACTCAGCTCCTTGCATATCCTCTTCATATTGTGCCATTTGATTGGACCTAGAAATATCAAACCGAAATGCATCACATACTTTCTTAATATATATAACTAGCTGTGTCAGCGACTTCATCCGCATAGAACAGTTATTTTGGGCATCCGAATTTGTTTTTGCAAACCCCCTCTTCATCTTTAGATTTAAGCTATTGCCCACGACGTTTTTCAAGTCGAACCAGTAGTTCCTGAGATTAGCGCGTTTAAACATACAAACAAACTCTTCAGCTTCATATATTAGTATAGATTTATCTGTATAGTATGTACATATATGATACCTTACAAAGCCAGTTACAATTTGACAGGCTGTTGGTTTAATGCTAACAATGTAAGACTTATACTCTGACTATAAGAATATAAGACTTATATCGTGGTCAGTTCGATTCCCACGTGTTTTAAAATCTATTAATAATTTTTCTAAATTATTTTCAAATTCGACAAAATTAGTGTTAAAGATATTAAAAATCCAATTACAGTTCACAGATAAAAGCTATAAATTTTAGTTGCGTTTCGACTTCAGTCTGTAGATCTTCAAAATGTCAAAAGTCAAAATCGGTTGACATCGCATTTTGCTTATAAGTTATATGATATACAAATACTTTTAACCTCAAAAAATTAATTTAACATTAGTGCAGTTTATATGTACACATTTAAATAAAAAGTACAAAATATTTTAACTACGTCTTGATGTACTTAAATTATTTGTAAATAAGTTTAAGATATTTCGCGTTTTAAACCGTTAACTTTTTTTATTTAAGGTTTATTAAAATTCTTTGAATTAAATGAAATTAAATTACTTATCTTATCTATCAAGAAATGTTCTACACATTTCTTGATAGATAAGCTTGACTTGGCCATATTTATGAATACATATATTAATATCTAGTTTACAAGTATTAATGTCCAGTATTAAACACTTCCCTTCAAGCCACATTTTTGCATATTTTGTAACAGTCATTGATTTGTCATACTTAATACTAATCGAGTAGTATTTATTCAATAAATATTATTGTAATATTAATTTTAAAATGACTACGTTTGTTTCTAAATAGTTTTTTTTTTATTTATCTAACAAGAGATAGCGAATAAAAAAAGATTAGATTAAGTAACATAATATGCATCGCCAGTTTGTTTATTATTTAATGAAATTAGAGCCAAAACAACGCTAATCTTAAATATTGTCTGTAGTTTACGCGAGTAGTACACATTTAAATAAAACTCTTCAACGGTTTAAAACGCGATGTATATTAGTTAAATTTATTTAACAATTATTTTAACTACGGCCCGACGTTTCGGATGCTTTGCAGCGGCCCTGACCACGGTTTTAAAAGTTTAACAAACTACCACCACGTTTTAAACCGTTAAAGTGTTTTATATAAATTTGTACTCACGTAAACTATGGACAATATTTTAGGTTAACGTAGTTTTGGATCTAATGACATTAGATTATAAGGAGATTGCCGATTTATGTCGATATTAATTTTATGTCACTATGCTAAAAATGGGTACTACAATGGAATTTCCTTGAGTCGTTGTAGGGTTATATTGCCTCTCTTGATTGTAAAAAAAACATTATATTTATATTTATAAAGTTATCATAGTATTTAATTACCAGAAACTGATCCAGTAATCAGCAGCAGCAGCGGAAGCAGCGGCGGTCAATATTATTCCCATAGTGAACAGTATGAACCAGATGCTCCCCCCTGACCTGAAGTACGCAGTAATCACCTCCCAGCGTAAGTTTCCTGATTGCCTTTCTTCGGCTGCCATTTTCTGGGCTTCATATTCTTCTAGATCCTCACTGTCCGTGCTTGACAGAGCTCTGATCAGTTGTGGCCGTTCCTTATCATCGCCCTTCTGTAAATATTTCAACATATTAATTAAACTTGTAGTAATGTAACTTAAACACTCTCTGTAGATTACGCGAGTAGTACACATTAAAGAAAAAGTTTACGGTTTAAAACGCGATATGTATTAATCAAAATAATTTTAACTACGGCCCCATGTTCCGGATGCTTTGCGAAAGTCGTGGACACGGAGTTTTATTTAAATGTATCTTATGAAAAAAGTCAAAGCAAAATAATACGGATAGCCATACATCGCTACCATGGCAACGGGTTCGTTGGTCTTATGGTAGCAGTTATTTAATCAACAGGTCATGATTTCGATACCCAACGAGTCCATCATTTTTCTAATTAGTCTAAAACTTTTCTGGGAAATATTGGACTTCGCCAGGAAATTCCGTACGGGTCACAATCCTCCGTTCACAGATGAAGAACCCGTAAATCGCGTTTCGGTTGCAGTCTGTTAAATTCCAAATATTTGGATATTATACGACTGGCGTATTTTATATACCATCAAAGAACAGCATGATTTTCTCTCCTCTATACAAACACATATTTGCAACTCGAATTTTATGTCAACGTTTATTTTAATAAAAAATACAGCAATTATTAACAACGTATCCTAATTTATAGTTATCTGACATTTCTGGTATAAGCTAATAACTTACCAAGCTTGAGTTGTCATTTTCGTCTTTCCCTTCTTGTAAGTTGGACAGCATCAAGGCGAAATCCTTTCCTGAGGACACCAGCTCGTCAAATGTTCCCATATTCTCGATTTGACCCTTGAACAATTAGGAATAACATTAGTTAGTTAAAAAGATTTATAAGACAGATTATTTGGGTTTTGTTGTGCAATCGTAAGTAGTAAAAAGTAAACTCAAGCTCAAACTTTTATTTCACAAGATTAAAAAAAAGAGGAAGAAAAAGAACTTGGAAGAGTGCTGGTGAAATGGGGGAAAGCACTCGGCGTGTCACCACTCAAGAGTAGAGAGGAGAAGCGCCGGTTTTCAGCGCCCCTCCGGGGAGAAAAAGTGACCAACAACTACAAAGTGTTTTATTGAATTAAACTTTAAAATATTTAAACTTAGAATAATGCATAGTAACGAATATCTATCTCGTTTTCTTTAAACGTGTCCTAATATAGCTATATAATATCTTTGCCCGCGACTTCGTCCACATAGAAATCGGATATTTTCTACATTCAACTGTGTTCTTTGGTCCTTCTGATCGGATCGTGAAGTTTTATAGCTCAAAGCCTTTTCGGTAAATGCTCTAACCAATACAACATAATTCTTCAATTCCAACTTGTAATTCCTGAGATTACACATTATTGTCAACAGTAGCGTCAGTAATTCGATTATACTCTGAATCAATTCTTAAAATAATTGCCAGCTCATTTCGGTTTCGGATTCGGTTCTAACCGTATCCGAACGCCCATCTCTACTGAGAACAGTTTCAAACCGTTTCACGTTCAGCGAAACATTTTAAGAGCTCTCGCTTATTAAAAACGTCATTACACAAGATCAATTATGGTTTCAACTGAACCGGAATAGATTGCTCGCTCGACACTGTTCGCTGCATATCCGAATTCCGATATTAAAATAATTATCGTCAGTGCACCGAACAACTGTGTGGCTTTTAGGGTTCCGTACACAACCGGTGGAAAAGGAGCCCTGTCATTATATAGATTGAATCGAAAATAAATTGAAAAAAAATTTCGCCTCGGCCACGAATCGAACCGGTATCGTCAGCGTTCCGTGCTTTACTTACTAATTATTGCTCTAATCGATTACTGCTACCAACTCTGTTACTAAGAATTTTACGTCTCGTTGGTAGGTAGTTGGTAGTAGTCTCATTCGAGCCCCATTTGGTCCACATTTTGTAAATTATTTGTAAGATTTTTGTAAGATGTTGGACTTTATCAGGGAATCTGGACATTAAATGGAAGGTAGGAATATCGAATCAATCATCAAGTGAATCCTACGCCTGTCTGTCTTCCTCTATCATAAAAAACCAAATCAGTCAAAAATCATTTTAAAATTTATAATGATTGAATATATAATTTACGCAATAATAGTCCATATTATAATGAAGTCCGTTTTGAGAGTATGCGGTCTCGCTTGTCATTACTAATTTATTAGCGGTAAAGCTTGAACCCACAGTGGAGCAGCCTAGTGGGTCTACGCTCCTAAGCCCTTTGCCCAACTGTGGGTTGGTTAATATTATTTTATTGAAAATTACATATTAAAACATTGGAAAACTTTAATATTTTTGACTCACATGATGGCACTATATAAATTATAAATCGGTTTTAGATAGACTCGATTTTAGATAGACTCGATTTAAGGTAGCTCAATTGGTTAGAGCAACAGCTCGAAACGCTGTTGATGCCGGTTCAACACCTGCCCGTGTTGTAATTCCCTTCAATTTATAATAACATTTTAGTTTATATTTAAACATATTATTAAACGTTTATAACGTGCAACCGTTTCCGCAGTGCACGCAACGGAAGTCAAAATCTTGAACATTTTGCCCCAATTTTTCACATTTCTCTCTTACTCTTCGGAGTACTTCGCCTCTCTTGGTAAATGGTCCCAGTAACACAAAAATCAGTAGTTCCTGAGATACGCGCGTGAAACAAACAAACTCTTTTAGCTTTATTATATTAGTATAGATATACATAGACGAAAGCTTAGTAGGGTTACCTTTACTGTCTTTGAGTACGGAACCTTAAAAAGTGATCTCTTATACTTGCTATTGTTAGTATAACAGAATGATAGTCATACTTAAAGACCATTGAGACATATCTCTATTCAGTAAAATCTACTTTAAATGAGAATTGTAAGTACAAAACCGCGGAACGAAGATGTGTCTAGATTTGTACGAAGCAGCACAATAACAAACTGCTCTGTTCAGCGAACAATTACGCGGTTTCCCGTTGCGGCTTATATCTATTTAAAATAAATTGATATTGCAAGCGAAAATAACTTATTATTGTTGTGATATATCGAAGTGCCTCGTTGGTTAAAGGTTATTGCACACGACTAAAGACCATTTAGTTTTGATCCTGGATCGGCGAAATTTCTGTTCGATATTTGAAATTATTCTAAGATTTTAAATATCGAACAGAGTTTCAAAGTAGATTTAGTGGTTATTGCAGAAGATTAAAGACCATTTAGGTTTGATCCTGGATCGGTCGAAATTTCTGTTCGATATTTGAAATTATTCTCAGATTTTAAATATCGAACAGAGTTTCAAAGTAGCTTTAGTGGTTATTGCACAAGATTAAAGACCATTTAGTTTTGATCCTGGATCGGTCGAAATTTCTGTTCGATATTTGAAATTATTCTAAGATTTTAAATATCGAACAGAGTTTCAAAGTAGGTTAAGTGGTTATTGCACAAGACTAAAGACCGTTTAGTTTTTAATTCCGGATCGGTCGAAATATCTGTTCGATATTTGAAATTATTCTAAGAGTTTAAATATCGAACAGAGTTTCAGTAGGTGACAACCCACAGTTGTTTTATAAAGCAACTTTATGATAGGTTGATTTAAAAGCTACCAAGGATAAAGTTAATGATAAGCACTTATCCTTATGATAGCCCGCCAATCCGTACTAAAGCAGCATGATGGGTAAGCATAAGAAACCCTTTCTCCACTAAACAGAATACTTGTGGAGATGTTGAACGATAAATAATATTACCATTTATAACTTTTAAATTAGTTTAATTATATCTCCTTTCACTAACTGTTAAATACTGTCTGTAGTTTACGCGATTAGTACCCATTAAAATAATACACTGACGGTTTAAAATGCGATTTTAGTTAAACTTACTGGGACTAACTTATACCTAACAGAAAGACTCCTCCTCAAAAAAAGTTTATGTGAAAATTAAAGTGTACATTTTACTTTTATCGGAACACAATTAATCGTACCCACCTCGTTCAATACAATGATGTAGTCGGCGGCCTTTAAGAAGTGAACTTGATGTGTCACCAGTATCCTAGTCTTCCCTTGCAAGTAACCGTTTATACAGCCTTCGAAAAGCTGACGACCAACATTCGCGTCCACAGCTGATAAGGGATCGTCCAACAGGTAAATGTCTGCCTGAAATCAAAATTAATTTTTCGAGCAATCGAGGAACATCCCCTGATGCCGCCTGCTCGTGATGACGAAACTTCGAGAACCTCTTCTCGCTCACGTCGGCCAAACAGCCCGAAAAACAATGAAATGCTGAACGATGGCCGTTAAAGCCTTACATAATATATCAAATTCAAAGCTAAATTATAATGACATAGTTACTGCTGTTTGATCAACCTAAGAGCTAGAAGTTTATTAGTGTAGGTATATAGCTCTTAACACGAGACTAATTTTGTTAACTGGTAATCGAACTCCTTACAAAAAAATACTTGGTATATATGCTAACAAGAACGATAGCGACGACTCATTGGTCTAAGTAAGTCTGTTATAATTGTGTGTTCGTTTAAATTTTACGTAAAAATACATGCTTACAAATTTAAGGCGATGGGCTAGTTAAATGTAATTGTAGCAATCAACGGTCGTAGGTTCGAATCCCACGGAATTTAACATGTTTCTAATCAATTGATAGCTTTTCTAAAACGTGTTGGACATTTGGAAATCTGGATACGAAATGGGTGGTAGGAATACCGAAAGTCCGTCCGAGTGACGAACCACACCCACAAAAATCCGTTTGATTAAAAACTTTATTAATTTTTACATGTTATTGCACATGAAGGCACTATATAATTTAGAGCAACAGCACGGAACGCTGACGATGCCGGTTCAAGTCCTGCCCGAGTCGAAAATGTTTTCAATTTATTTTCGATTTTTAAATTATCCGTTTGATTAATCAAGTTTTGGCTTCAGTCTTTAGATTTCCGAATGTTGTCTGAGTCGGGGTATTTTACCTTCAATCAAGGGAACCCTATGCCTATCTGTTCTCCTCTGTCTACTACAGGCATTCGAAAATAAATATTATATTACGCCACGGATAAATAAGGAAGAAATTATATCGGAGATGAGCAAAGTAAATTGGATTCTTCGAGAGGAGCGTTGTTTTTGCGAATAAAAAAAATCAATTACTTCTCTATAGACCGCTCGTGCCAAATTGATTCTGGCGCGCTGCCCCCCCGACAACGACACTCCCCTCTCTCCTACCAGCGTCTGGTCGCCGTACGGGAATTGTTTGAAGTCTTTCTCTAGAGCGCACTTTTTACATACCTGGAATAAAGAGAGGAATTTAATAAGTAACTTATATATTTCGCGTTTTAAACAGTTAAAATATACCATAAAAGAAAACTTTTTTTTCTTTGCTAATAATATTTCAGCATTGTTTTTACATACAACACATACACGACTTAATAGTATTTATACTAAATACTAGCTGTGTCAGCGACTTCGTCCGTGTAGGATAGTTATTTTATGCATCAGAATTTGTTTTTGCAAACATTCCGTTCAAGTTTATAAATTTACCTGTTACCTTTATTTAGCTGTTACCCATGTCCTTCTTTGTTTCATCACCAGCCGGTAAACATTCCCAGCGCTGGGAATTGGGCCTCCTAATAGTTCTATAAGCCTGAATCTTAGAGACTTATAGACATTATTACTATTCCTAAAATGCGCTGGTATCTTTAAATTTTTAAGTACTTACTCTTTTATATTTTTCTGCATCGTATGGCAAGCCGAAGAGAATGTTTTCTCGCACAGTACTCGGGAACAACCACGCTTCTTGGCAAGCGTACGACATGTCCCCATACACTGATACGTTGCCGGTGGCTGCTGGCAATTCCTTCAGCAGCAGTTGCAATATAGACGACTAGAAAAAAACACAAATGTTAGTACAGCTATGCAAAATATAGGCGAATTTTATTCAACATTCCCGAATACTGATTACCACAGTTTTAATAACGAAAACGTAGATGGATTGATTTAAAAATTAATTTTAGATTGAAATAATTTTACTACATGGGCATGTCTTGAATCGGCATTGAGAGCGTTCTGTGCTGTTGCTCTAACCAATTTAGCTACTATGTACTTCACGTCAACGTCGAATTTTTCGACGCTGAACGCTGTCGTTGCCCGTTTAAGTCCTACCTATGTCTTAAAATTTAAAATCGATTTTTAATTTATGTAATGCATATACTTCGCAATGTATATATTTCGCATTTCACAATGATGTGCAATGTGAAATATATACAAGTATCCCCATATTTCAATTGATGGATCTATTGTTTAATAAAACATTGTTCTTGATTTTAAACGTGACATATATTAGATTACTTTTTAAATACGACCTATCGTTTTCCGGAACCGTGGTCACACGGGCTTCAAGATGGACGAACCGAATGTTACCAAATCTTCCGCGTATATTGTACCTAATGAAAAACAAGTAACGTCGTGTTCTAAACCGATCAAAGTGTTTTATTTAATGTAAACTACAACCTGTTAAAGTCTACCTGTGTAAACAACACACTTATGTGGTGCAAAAAATTACTATCATTGAATAAAATCCTACATGTGACGACTATTTACGTCAATAATGTGTTTTTAAAGTTATCTTATCATGAATTTTAATTACAACTTAAACGCGAATAATTTATATCTTAACGACATAGAGTTCGTGAAACTGTTAGGTTCTTTACCCCTGTTAGAATATATTTATGTTAGACAATTTTTAGCTTAACAGTTCCTACTGAAAATCTACAACTTGAGAGTACATAGACAAACGCGTATAAGCAGTGGAAATATGGCGTATTTTTTTTGTTCTAGGATAAGTTTTTTTCCAATATTAATCAGAATAGAAAAATAAACATTAATTAAGATACGCGAACGCCAGTTAACGCATTCTTGACTACAATTTTACTCATTTCAATAAAACACTTTAACGGTTTAAAACGCGATATATGAGTTAAACCTCGTGTCTCCCCGTGACCACGGCTGCTGCAAAGCATCGGAAACGTCGGGCCGAAGTTAAAAATCATTTTCAAATAAGTTTAACTAATATATCGCGTTTTAAACCATTAAAGTGTTTTATTTAAATGTGTACTACTCGCGTAAACTATAGACAGTATTTTACAATATTACTTGTTTTTTAACCGACTTATAAAAGTATGGCTTAAGCATGTTTTCTTAAACAGTAGATTTTAGACAAAAAGATATTTTTTTTTGTTCGCTGAATGGGTATTGAACTCAAGACATCGCGTGCATATTCCACTAGCTGTGCCAGCGACTTCTTCATGGGTGTTTTTACAAATCCTCCACATCTTTATAAATTAGAGCTGTTAAGTGTTACATAGAACTACGGTCGCGTCTAGTCGTTCTTACAAGTTAATTTTAAAAGATAGACATACTGTCGTTGACATTGTTTTAGAAAATTTCAATTCATCTTAGGCATACTTTCCTAGTATTTTCTTTCTTCACTCCTACTAAACGCAGGGTGATATTCTATAACCTAAAGACTACCTCGATAAAATGTTCTAACCAAGACAAAGATGATTTTTAATTCGATAGAGTAGTTCCTTAAATTAGCGCGTTCAAACAAACAAACATATTCTTCAGCTGTATAATATTAGTATAGATTAGCTACTAGACAAACTCGTTACTATAATAAACAAAACAACTAATAAAGGCACTTTATACCAGTTCTTTATAATACCTGCTATGTTAAAATAAAATTACCATTTTCCATGCATCCACGATGAACATTTTACGTGAAATAAAATTCTGAAATTGGAACTCACACTCGAAAACCTTTCATCTTAGCTTATGTAACATTTGAATAGTGCACTTCAAGTAATTGTAAGTAAAAATTGATTCTACTCAAATTCCGGCTTTTCTGGACATTCAGTTATTGAAGGGAATGATGGATGTAACCGCGGTTTCCGTCAACTTCCAAATGACAAAAATTAGAATAGGCCAATGACGCATCTTTTTATGATAGAGGACGACAGACCATGGAGCTCAATGGATGGTAGGTGAAATACCACACACCCACATATAAAATGGGTGGTAGAAATATCGAAATTCAACCCACCACAGATAAAATATCCGACAAGTTTAATCGTGTTGCGATTTGAGTATGATTTCCGAATATCCAAAGTCAATATCGTCGACAAAGCAGCTTGTTAAGATGTTATATGGAGGGGGTAAAAATGTATAATGATACTATATTAATAATCTTTTAAATATAACAATAACTAGATAAAGTACCTTGCCAGATCCAACGGCACCGATGATAGCGCACAATTTTCCTTTGCGTATGCGCAGAGAAATATTTTTGAGCGCTAAGAAATTAGGATCGCCAGTCCAGCTGGCTGACACATCTCGAATCTCCACTATCATGTCTCCAGGGTGGGAAAGACTTCTTCGTATCCTTTGGCTTGCCCGTATACCTAACATAATAAGAAAAAAAAATTAAATACATTTTGTCTAAATTAGAATGATAAATTAACAATGCGGGTGAGATATAAGTCATGAATCCGTTTTATTATTTGATAGAAGTTGAAATATAATTGAATACAAAAAAACAAACAAAGTATATTTGAGTTAAATAAAAGCCGTGGTCACGGGGAGACGGTTGCTGCTAAGCATCCGAAACGTCGGGACGTAGTTATAAATTCCTAACACCCGAAGTAACATTTCGCCCAACCCAGTATTCGAACCGGGGATATGCTGGTCTGCAGTCGAGTGCACTAACCACAAAACAAACGAGAGGGAATCATTGTACTCTAAAAAAACTATTAAACTTACTATCCTATTATGGACGAAGTATAGTGGTAGATTTTATGGTACTAACCGTTAGTTGTTCCATTGGTTGTTCCATTGGTTGTACCATTAGTTGTACCATTACTGAATGGTGTATCCGCTTTCGCGATATAAGAAAGCGGTTTAACTTCTTTGCTTCTCGATTTTCTTATACTGTTATTAATATTATGAAATAGGTTCGACTGTGGCGCCACCAGCGTCGACGCCAAGTCTGGACGGTCCTCTGCAAATAAAGGCAACATAACATCTTGGCAAAGGATTTATTCGTACAACGTTTTATGCCAAAGCCTACAAACGATGTTAAAAGATTACAACTTAACTAAATACCTATAGTTTACGCGAGCAATATACATTAAAATAAAACACGTTAACGGTTTAAAACGCGATATATTAGTTAAACTTCACATTCGAATTGTTAACTGCAGCAGCCGGTGGTCACGGGGAGACCTCTCTCCCCGTGACCACGGCAGCTGCAAAGCATCTGAAACGTCGGGCCGAAGTTAAAAATCATTTTCAAATAAGTTTAACTAATATATCGCATTTTAAACCGTTAAAGTGTTTTATTTAAATATAACTTAACTATTGACTTAATTTTTTATAATTATCACAGGTTAAAAAATTACGTAAACAAAATATTTTTCCGTTGAGCTTCAAACATTCCAAAACTTCACATGATGGCATTAAATAAATTAAAAATCTATTTATATTGAATTTGTTTTACGAACTGGCCGGGATTTACCCGGTAGCTCAATTAGCTAAAACAGCAGCACGGATCGCTGTGGTTGCCGTTTCGTGTCCCGCCTGGGTAATTTTTTTTACAGACAGTGAACTAAAAAGTAATACGTATTTCGATTTAGTTTTATATAACTCATTTAGATAGTATGAATAATTTTATCTTTTGAAGGTTGAAAATGTGTACCTACTGTCTAACAATCAAATAATAATTTTAATCGATTCATAAACGACGCAAATATGGGTGAACAAACATAAAATAGCATATATACAATCCTTATGGACTACTTTTTTAAAGTTACATAAGGATTCAAGTAACGGAGGAAAAAGCTTACACTAATTCGTGAATAGAATCGATACAAAATGTCAAAGAAGTTCGTGTTTTATGCCACTTGAGAGAGTTCACTTGGAAGGTAACACCACAGCCATATGACACCTAAACAGCATAGACTGTGTACCTATTTTGGCTTTAGAAATCTTGAAATCTACAGACTGAAGTGACATACCTCATTTAACATCCAGACATAAAACATATTCCAAAAATTATAAATTGATTTTAGTAAAATGCTGGAATGGGAATCGAATCCACGACCCATTCATTAGGGTCTAATGAATGGGTCGTGGATTCGATTCTTACCATTGAACCAAACGTCAAAATATACGTACGGTATGCGATTAATGACTCAAACTACTTATTGGCATTATCTGTAATCGTGATGCAATATACATAGATATAATTGTGTGTGAAGGTTTATATGTTAAATATATAATATGACGATTAGATATGGCTATCGTTGTAAACCCTAAAGATTAATTTTGTATACGAAGTTACCCGACAGCGTCAATATATGTATACTAGCTGTGCCGGCGACTTCGTTCTCGTAGAATAGTTATTTAAAATTCAAAATTAGTTAAGTTTAAGCGGTTGTCATTATTCTTGCAAGTCATCTTAAAATATACATATTTTGTATCGGACATCTTTCTAGATATCGAAAGAGAATTCATTCTTTCATACATATTTTTTGTATCTCGAACCGTTGTCGCAGCGCACGCCGAAAACTGTCGATTTAAATATTTTTTCCCGTTTGATCCACTATTACTACTGTTTCTTGGCTCCTATTGTTCATAACGTGATGTTTTATAACCTTTAAACTTCCTTGATTACTTATTATTTTTGTAATAGATACAAAAATATATCTTTTATTAGAACCAATACTTCCAACGATAACTGCGTTCAAACAAACAAACTCTCCAATTTTATAATATCATTGTAATAATACCTACGTAATAAATTGTGTATGGCTTTCACAGCCATCGTTTAGCATATCATTGTGTTTCGGGCTGTTCGGCCTAAAAGTTTTGTTAGTGTGTTTATGTCGAAATAAAATACGAACGAAATAAAGTTATAATAACTATTTCGAAATTCAAATTTGAAACTGTATTCGCGAAAATTAAGGAGATAATAATCTATGAAATCATAAGAACACATACAAACATACACATTATACACACACTCAGCCATACACACTTACACATACCCTTGTACATTTGCTTCAATATATGTAATTACTTCATCAAGTTTTAGTTTTTAATTACATTAACATTCCTTATATTTACTTGTTTACTTAATTATGTATGTACTACAACAACTGGATTTTATAATCAGAGTTGCCAAGAACGACAAGTAATACTAAATAAATGTGGAGCAGGCCTTTGTCGAACGACAAACGAACTCAAAATAATAAACTAAATTGCTTATTAGTATGTTTATAATAAATTTCAGTATAGCAGTTTTTTATTTTATGTAGTTTTTTTTTTGTATATTTCAACCTAATCAGATAGAATATTATTTTTTTCTTATTTACGTTGATAAAGTTATAATATAATTTATATCTTTAAATTATATTTAGTGTAGTCTGTGTAAGTTTAGCGCACGCGATTATAGCTTTCCACTTATTGCAGGGGATTATTTTAGGAATATAACTTTAAAAACTTACCCAAATTCATAAAATCTTGCACCCTCCGAAACGACACTACGAGTTCTGCTATAAACGTAATCACTAGTGGTAATATCAAAGTAATGTTGATTTGTGCCGCTGCTATGAACTGCTGCAGTGGATAGATCTGAAAATTAATGAACATGTTACGAAGCTGCTAGAATAAGTAACATCGTGATTTATCCTAACATCATTGTTTTTCGGGCTGCTCAGCCGATGTAAGCGAGAAGAGGTTCTCGATGTTTCGACGAATTCATTCATTCATTCTTCGAGCAATCGAGGAGCTAACATCTCCTGATGTAACCGTCCGCTGGTGATGGCGAAACGTCAAGAACCTCTTCTCGCATGATTTAAATGAACTCTTTAGTCCTCTCTAATCAACTTTAATCGTTTTTGCAATATGCGTGCGCGCAACACAAATTGTTTGATACGAGTGATTAAAAATTTAAACAAGTGAAAACTAGTTTAAATGAATTTAAGTTTCGTTTCCGTAGTTTTTCATATACCAATACACTAGCTTGATATTTTTTATAATTATTTACGTTTTTTTAAGTTTGTACTAAAATATCGATATAACACTACCACGAAGTACAAGTCAAAGTAATCACTTAAATGATAATTAAACGACGGAAGGAAATAACATGGATGGAATGAAATGGAAAAATAATGGAAAACACACTTTTGTATATAAAAGTCATCATATAGGTATCCGTAACACAAGCACACATTTTATTACTTATAACATTATATTGCCACATGAAAGACTGCCACCGTAGTTAAATAGTTAAACGAGCTCGATAGCTCCTGGGTTCGAAACTCGGAAAAATAAAAATAAAAAAAGAAATATGTTAGAGGACAATAGCTTGTCTATTGGAGTTCACAAAATGGTATTGTTACCACCGTTTAAATATCCAGATTTGGTGATCGAACTCACCCGTTTAACATAAGCCATATATTGCTATTATTACACCAACGAGCCTGTCAATTCAGTCTAGCAGGGCACAGAAGCAGATCAAGTAAACGCATTTCTGTTATTGCGTTTTGTTTTCCATTGGGAGATTTCATTTATTTGTGACTGAGTAGACTGTTCAATCACTAGACACTATACTTAGTAAGAAGAGAGATATACATATAAGGGAAGGGATGGTCTTATGAGCTCTAACTTATCCATGTCGTATTAACCAAGTACTTCATCTCGAGTAGCAGTGACTTGCAGTGTTAACTACTCAAGGTGACGCGTACTTAGAAAGTATCTTATCGAAAATTGTTATAGAAATTTCTCTTCCGTCGCTGTGAGTATGCGCAAACGTTGAAGGCTATTCATATAGTTATTGTCAATTATACATTTAATATAATAACTGTAATTTAGTGTTGTAGAGTTACGATTTTATGATAGAGGAGGACAGATAAGCATGGGTTCTCTGGAAAAAATCCTCAGCCAAATAGGATCATATGGAAATCCGCAGACTAATACCGAAAATCGATTAAAACGACGTTTTCATCTCTGTATGTCTGTTATTGGCCCATTTTCCTATCACCCAATTAATATCTAGATTTCCAGAAGAAGACCAACATGTTGAAGATAATTTATAAATTGCTTGCTTGTGGACCGATGGGGATCGAACCTCGAACCCACGAGCTCGTCAAAAAAATATTCGCGATTTCGCATTTGTTACGAATATTTTGTCTAAATTCTTTACGATTTTCGTTTATCTATTTCTTAATCCTATTTTATGTTACGTAAAATTATCTATTTAAATTTGAGTTCTCCGCACAACATTTATCGACCTTAAAGATTAATCTTTTATAGCTGTTATGTAAATTTGAGGCTATTGGTGTAACTATTATGAACATGAATTATTCTCTGTACTTAATAAATTATATATGTATTGTGATAATATACTGTACGCAGAGAAGTTGAGTGATAGAAATCTTGAACAATAGCTGTTCCAGCGACTTCGTCCGCGCGAATCGTTATTTTGGGCATTCAAATTAGTTTTTGCAAACCCCGTCATCTTTATAAACTTAAGCTGTTAGCCACGACGTCGGTCGCGTCCCTTCCCGTCGTTCTTGCAAGTTAATCTTAAAATATAGACATATAGGGTCTTAGACTTTTTTTTTTTGGTCATTTAAAGAGGAATCATTCTTTGATACACATTTTTAGGTATCTTGAATCGTTTTCGCAGCGTACGCATCTGAAACCCACAGAGATGAAAAATTACCCCCGTTTTGTTCACATTCCCCGGTGTATCTTCGCTTCTATTATTTACAACGCAATTATAATAAGCTTCCTCGATAAATGCTCCAACCAACACAAAAATATTTTTTTCAAATCGAACACGTAGTTCCTGAGATTAGCGCGTTTAAACAAACAAACAAACTCTTCAGCTTTATATTATATTAGTATAGATTGTATTGTTCCTACGGAAGTTGATAGAAATCAATTTTCAAATTTATTTTGTATTGAAAATATCTGACACAGGCGGGGTCCAAAGCCACGATTATTATTTTTTAGGATTTTTGTTGCATAAAATACTATCTGTAGTTTACGCAAGTAGTACGCATTTAAATACAACTTTAACGGTTTAAAACGCGATATATATTAGTTAAACTAATTTGGAAATTATTTTAACTCCGGGAGACAGTATTCCCATGACGGCCGTTGCGAAGCATCCGAAACGTCGCGCCGCAGTTAAAATAAGTTTAACTAATATATATCGCGTTTTAAACCGTTAAAGTGTTTTTGTTACATTACATCCGAAGTTCGTTTCGTAACAGCTACTGTCGTTTCCAGTTAAAACGACATCAATAAAGGAAAAACAAACAATGCAACGGTTATAGCATCTTGTTTATCTTGGTTGCAGTCAATACACGTCTGATAACATTTAAGACTATATATGGAAATAAACTAATTACTAAGGTAATGCATAATTCAATGAACCTTATTGTAACGCAGTTAAATGTCCTTAGGCCATGGTACCTACATTGTATTACTTGTAGGCGGAAAACATATTTATTATCAAATTATCTAACAATATATAGAATTGGCCTATATGACTTTGGGATTTTTATACTAATAGGTAAAACATAACACATAACATTAACAGATTTAGGTTAAATCAAAAATCTATTTAAATAAAACACTTTAACGGTTTAAAACGCGATATATTAGTTAAACTTATTTGAAAATAAAATCATTTTCAAACTTCGGCCCGACGTTTCGGATGCTTTGCAGCAGCCGTGGTCACGGGGAGACGTCGGGCCGAAATAAGTTTAACTAATATATCGCGTTTTAAACCGTTAAAGTGTTTCATTTAAATGTGTACTACTCGCGTAAACTATAGACAGTATTCAAAAATCTATTTAAAATAAAAAAAACAATGACGACTCGGAAGGACTTGAACATCCATCCACAATGTTCCGTACTGTTGCTCTAACCAATTGCCCACCAAATCTCATCGTCGAATTTTTTAACCATTTGATACATGCACAATGTAATTATGCCTATGTCAACCTATCTATACTAATATATAAAGCTGAAGAGTTTGTTTGTTTGTTTGAACGCGCCAATCGCAGGAACTACGTCTTTAAATTGAAAAATTATTTTTGTGTTTAGATAGAGTCAGATCATTTACCATTCATACTATTATAGACTATAAAACGAAGCAAACGGGGGAAATTTTTCATCTCTGTGTGTTTCTGATGCGTACGCTGCGAAAACGGTATGTGTATAGACGAATGATTTTTTGTGAATAATCTGAAAAACTATATGACTATCTTATAAGATTATCTTGCCCGAAGACGGGTCACGAGCGACGGGACGCGATCGAGTTCGTGGGCAGCTTAAATGTATAAAGATTACAGGTACCGTAGTGCTATTTAGGTATCTATAGTAGGTCTATAGACTACGCGCGGCTGCTTAAAACCAACATAAATATTAGCATTGTTATCATTGCAAATTTGTTATTAACAAGAGGGCAATTAATGTATTATCTCGCGATTTATATGCTTTCTATTTTAAGGTCATTGAACTATTTATTAGCTATACCTAAATATAGTAAAATCACCAACCTCGCAACAATTACCTCTTTTTTTATAACTAACAGTCAGTTCTTAAGAAAATAGTGATGTGCATAAGAATACATGTACTATTAATATATCTAGCTTATCCGTTGTTTTGTTGTCCAGAATGATATTATGCTGATACAACTCTAATAATTGGTAATAATGTTTGTTACTGTCTATAGTTTACGCGAGTAGTAAACAATGTTTGATTAACATAAAAACAGTTCCTGCATAATCATAAGAGATAGACAGACATATAGATACTGCTCTCGAACGTTTTTTTAGATTATTTAAAGTGGAATTCATATACTGTTTTAGTTTCTTAAAACCGTGTTTGCAGCGCACGCCACGTCTCTCGAAAAAGAAACATCACATGAGTCATTAAAATATACTTTGAATGTCGTTTTTATTTACAAGTGAGTTATTAACTCGTGTTATTGTAAATTAAAATTTATTTTGTTTTAATTATGAAATCTTATTTACATAGCTTTTGTTTATTTTAACTTAACAATTTTGAAATTCAGATCTTTTGTGTATAATCAAGTAAATCATATATTGAAATGAATGTCTTCATATATACACACTAGCTGTGACAAACAAACAAACTCTTCAGGTCTTATATTAGTATAGATGTAACACTTTTCATTGATAAATTACGAAATTGTAGAAAACACTGTGGAGTATTTGTAGTAATACCATGATAAAGTTCGTCCACCCGAGTTTATGACGTGGACAAACTGCAGCGAAGCGCTTATGCAGACGTATACCAGTTTCCTAAGAATATCGTTTTTATTATCTCGCGACTAGATCGAAGGATACCAGATCCTGGCTTCTCGTTATCTTACATTCCTTGAATCATTATTATTTTCACACGTTATTGCAATAACGGAGATAATTTTAAAATCGTAAAGTTTCATTATTTTGTTGGTCGGGTTGATTATATGATAGGGATACGCGGGACACCGTAGCTCAATTGGAAAGTGCACTGCATGCTGTGGTTATAGGATCAAGACCCGACCTGCAACTACAGCTTTAAACTTTCATACACTATTTTTACCGGCTTATGAACGGCCAACTACGCTAAAAACACTATTTATACATACTTTAATTTAAGATTTAAACAAAACACTATAATCGCATAATATAAAAATTCTATTCAGTAGCTCAATAGTTAAACGTTTAGCTTATATTTGCAATATTGCAAGAGGTGCTGGGCTCAAATACCGAGGACAACAAATATCTTCTTTTAGAGTGGGTATAGAAGTCTGATTAACAACTCTATATTACTTGTTATCTTATTAAGGACAGACTGAAATTCAGCGCTCAACGAGCCTTGCTGAGCCTGCCTTTTAGCACAAAGATAAAATTGTAATTTTTCATATTATTAAATTTAGTTGTAAGTAGTTAGTACACGCAAAAATACTCACAACATTAGCCGTTAACACGTTTCCAAAGACCAGGGTGTACATCAGGATGGAGACGAACAAAGCCGACCGTTCAGTGAACGTCATGAAGCCCAAGAAAATTGTTCGCAGTATCGTCGCCGTTTTGACCTCAACCATCTCCTCGCTCCTCCGTTCGCCGACAACTTTTTGAAAGGGGATTTCCCACGCGTACATTTTAATAACCTGTAAAATTATAACACATTATAATCAAACATTGAAATTCCCGCGCAAAGCTATCTTTTCTCCTTTGAGTGGAACGTGTTCCAGAACGCAACAAATAATTAAATTCAGAAAAACAAAACAGAATCGAAAACAAATTGCGTCAATAATTTTGTAGAAAGTTTGTATGTTTGTCTTTCTTCCACGTCCATATATTACGACACTCAATTACATAGTTTGAAAACTTTAATATGTTTCACATGATGGCATTGTATAAATCAACACACTACGTGTGACACAGTAGCTTAATAGTTAGAGCACCAGCACGGAACTAGTTCAGATCCTGCCCTTATCATGAAACTTTTTAATATGAGTATATTAGTTATAAAGAGTAACAAAGTATACTTTTGGCCCCAAAATACCAGATCCATAGCAAAGTAAAAATATATATCCTCCACCCAGAAAAGTCCTTTTCACTGTCTACAGTACTACCTAATTGATGGTTTCATTTATATAGACTGGTAGCAACATTAGTTGGTCTAGTATACCAGTGTACAACAACCCAAAGGGTAGCAAAGATGCAACAAAAAGCCTTATGACACTAGCGATTCGTGAGTGTTTTCAAAGCGGAGCGGACAACAAACAAGCAGCGCACGCGCAATAAAACACGATCGCCGCGTAAAGCAACATGAACGTTTCGTACTGTCGCTTACAAAACCCCAGCTCGTGTTTTCACTGTGCGCCATATTGGCCACGCAGTTGAAGTAATGAAGCTTTTTTATTATAGAGGAGAACAGACAAGCACGATGTTCACTAGATAGGGGATGAAATACCCCAGTCATATAACATCTAAAGAAGATGGGCGGTCGACCTTATTTGGCTTTGGATATTCGAAAGTTCTAGATTGAAAAGTCTATTCACAATGCAAAAAAGTTTTTCTTTCATTCATTTATTCATTTATTTTGTTTCTTAATACAATTCTACCTATAATTGCCGGGCAGAGTTTAATTTATGCCACGGATACAATATACAGTTCTATCCAAACGTTTTTGCCGGGCTGAAGTTAGCGCGACCGCCATCTTGTGCTTGGTGTTTACCATACTGTCAATTTTAAGCAAATAGTCGAGTTGCCCCGCACCCGCGCACCCCCTTTGTCGCGGCTGATACTGATTTTGCGTTCTGCGCAACCATCCGCGCTAACTTCAACCCGGCCAAAAAGCACTGTACCTAATTATCAACTAAGTAAATTATACTTAATTACCTGTATGCCATTGATCACTTCGCTCATAAGCTTTATCCGTTCGTCTGTCTTTTCAGCTGTGCGAAATCTTACTTTGCCCATGAGACTACCAACGCCACCTGTAAAAACACAGTAAATTAATTGACCTTAAATAAGCAAATTGACACTCGTAACTGCGCCGACTCTGGTAAAATATTTTTTTTATTTATTATATTACTAGCTGTGTCAGCGAGGTCGTCCGCGTAGTATAGTTATTTTGGCATCCAAATTTGTTTTTGCAAACCTCCTTATCTTTATGAATTTAAAGCATGAACACACGACGTCGGTCGCGTCCCGTCGTTTATTAAAGTTAATCTTAGAATATAGACATATATAGTGTCGCAGACATTTTTATAGATAAAGTGAATAAAGTAGTTAGAGTGAATTTAAAGAATAATTCTTTCATAAATATTTTTGGGTATCTTGAACCGTTTTTGCGACGTGACAAGGATGAATAATATTTCTCGTTTTATTCACATTTCCCGTTGTTTCTTCGCTTCTATAAGTCACATCGCGATGTGTTATAGCCTATAGCCTTCCTCGATAAATGCTCTAACTAACACAAAAATATTTTTTCAATTCCAACCAGTACTTACTGAGATTAGCGCGTTCAAATATACAAACAAGCTCTGCATCTTTATATATTAGTATACATTAAAAATACAATGACGGGCACAGATGTGTATCAGTCCGATACCTTACGTATCCAACATCACTATCACAAATCTCTAGAATGTTTATAGATAAAAAAATAACAGTTTTACTTTGCAACACAGTAATTAATTTTAATTATAAGAACATATAAATAACTTAAATAATATTAAAATAAAACATTTTAACGGTTTAAAACGCGATATATATTAGTTAAACTTATTTGAACTACGGGCCGACGTTTCGGATGCTTTGCAGTAGCCATGGGGACTAAGTTGTGCTTGATTAAAGAAAGTTTAAGTTTAATATAACGCGTTTCATTTATTAATGTGTTTTACTCGCGTAAACTCAATACTTTAAAACAGGTAGTTTAATTCTTAATTATAACTCAACTTAACTAACTAATAGTAGTGAAAGCAAGAACGATCATTATGTTTCAGTTAAGATAAATTTAAGTGCGGTACAAGTTTGTGTCGTTAACTGCTGCAACTCTGGGAAGGTAATCATGCAAAATAGTTACTAAGTTGAATATGATACTCTTTCTTCTTACGTCATCGTAGTATTACAACGACTTAATCTATAATAAAACACTTTTAACGGTAACACGCGAAATGTGTTAGTTAAATTTACAATTTTAACTACAGCTCGCGTTTCGGCTGCTTTGCAACAGTCGTGGTCACGCATCGCGTTAAGCGCAAGAGGTCTTGGGCTCGAATCCCAGGGACACAATAGATTCCTTCGGTTGGGCAGGGCACTTGAAAGATTAAAAAAAAATCAATCCTTGCAAAAATTTGTCGATATGTCGTAAAACTTTGTATTGTTTTTATTTCCTCAATTAGTTGTAAGAAGAGTAACAAAGTATACTTTTGGCTTTAAAAATTATTTTAGGTAGATTTTAATAGTAAATACATATACCCATAAATTTACTTTTGAACCTTGATCCACGTGTTATCACCTAGATAACATTAGGCTCTCTAAAGATAATACAAATTACTACTTATCAAAAAATCATTACCTTGAATGGGAAGGGCGATAACAATTAATGCAGCTATTCCCAACAAGGCAGCATATCCAGCTTGAATATATCCCAGGTAGCAGACGGCCACGAGCTGTATCGGTATAATCCAGACATAGTGCAGGAAGAGGAACGCCAGGTCAAACCTCTGGAGATCGTTGGATAATATGTTGACAACTTTGCCAGCGGTTGTTTCACCTAAGGATCCATTGTTCATCCTCATGATCTAAATATGGAGAACAAAAGATTATTTCCTGTGGGAATTCATATTGACGTCTAATCGTACCTACGACTGTGGTATAATGGGATTTTAGCTAAATCTTTTATCTTTAGTATCAAATAATGTCAAACAAAGTATCTTCTTCGTATTAAAAATATATATTATATATGTACTTCATTTTATCTTATATTGACGAACACGTTGGTGTAATGGTAGCAATGTATGGCTAATAACCAGAAGTTCGATTCCCAGCGGGTTAAACGTTTTTCTAACCAATTTACAATTTTTCCAAAACATGTTGAACTTCGCCTGGAAGTCTGGATATGATATGGGTCGATATTGCGCCCCGGTCACAAAACCACTTTTTATAAATAAAAAGCCGTCAAGTTTAATCGCGTTTCGGTTTTAGTCTGTGGCTTTCCGAATTTCCAAAAGCCAAAATCTAAGAGCTATGTTCGTCTCCATTCCCCAAATCGATAAACGGTATTGTACTCTATCAATGTTAAAGTGTTTAGATATAAGACAAACCGTCCGTCTGTTGTTTTAGTACAAAATATATTTAAATAAAACACTTTAACGGTTTAAAACGCGATATATTAGTTAAACTTATTTAAAAATGTTTTTTAAGTTCGGCCCGACGTTTTGGATGCTTTGCAGCAGCCGTGGTCACGGGGAGACTGGTCGGGACACGGTCGTGACTACGGCTGCTGCAAAGCATCCGAAACGTCGGGCCGAAGTTAAAAATCATTTTCAAATAGGTTTAACTAATATATCGCGTTTTAAACCGTTAAAGTGTTTTATTTAAATGTGTACTACTCGCGTAAACTATAGACTGTACAAAATATACTCTCATTTTTTAACTAGCTCCTAATAATTTTAATATAAAAATTAACTTACCTTCCTAAACATGAGAGAGCTGACGGCAACCCGTAACTTCATTCCGAATTGTTGACAATAGAAATTGCCCTGGTGATTCAAGAATGCAGCAAGCATGTTCGCCACGACCATAGCAGCGGCGTAGTATGCTGCTACTTCCGTGGTCATGGTGCTGTCGACCGACCAGTAGTTCAGCAGCTCAGCGAACAGCAGTGGAGAAACAGTTCTGATATTCAACCACAATGATTCTTTTAAATATAACACTTTAACGGTTTATAACTGTGACCACGGCTGCTGCAAAGCTATCGCGACATCGGACCGTAGATAAATTAATTCCCAAATAAGTCTAAAAATGGACAGTGAAGTGAAATTTTCAGTCAAAAATACATTTTAAATTCGATAAACGCAGACACTTTCATAAGTCTACATACGGCACAATGTTTGGTCATAGTTTGACATAGAATCTTGGACAAACGGTGGAACCTTCACAGCAAAGACGTGGTAAGCTGTTAATGCCTCCAAGCCCCATCTGTGCATTTTTTTAATCAATCCCCTATGACCACGGCTGCAGCACAGCATTTAAAAATTAGTTAACTAACTAATTTCCCTTTTTAAACCGTTAAAAATGTTTCATTAAAATGTGTACTACCCGACTACTAAAGGCACTATAATTATATCTCTACTTATCAATAGTAATTAACAAAGTCATCTTTTGCATACTTCTGTAAATATCATAACATTTGTTTAAATATATAATAAGACTTAATTTATTCCATCGCTTGTAATAAATAAACTCTTTGTTTGGACTAAGACAACAATGAATTGCTATATTAAAGTTTATTTAATATAAAACGTATTACACTCAACGCCAGGTTTACAATTTAGTAGATCTGGCGCTGAGTCTTTTGCGATGTCTCGACAAAGGTTGGGATTTTGATTTCCTGTCGCGCACTTTAATATTTGTGCATTCTGATACGAAGAACATCGTGAGGATCTTACAATCAAAATCTGGTGAAATCATCTTCTAATGTTGCCAGCGTGGTACTTTTAGAACGAAAGAAAGTAGAGAGATAGTGTATATAAGCTACACGATAACGAATAAAATTGATTACTTAATGTAACTAAAATTACTTATATTAGGTGAGACTGCAATAAATCTACGATAAAGTGTAGTACACAATAGCTCAATGGGTAAAAGCACGGAACGCTAATGGTGCCGGTTCGAGTCCTGGCCGTGTCGTAATTATTTTCAACCAAGAATGTATTTCTAAGTTACGATATATAAAAAGAAACGAAAACCATAACTTCATCAATAATTAGTGAAACAATATTGTGTGTTGCAACTTTTCTGGTCTTGAGTTACCATGAAAGTGATTTCAAGTCCATGAGTGTGGACAGCTGTTTAAACCGTCTCATTTCAGAAGGCTTGAGTCCCAGCGCTCGGACTACAACGCTGAACCCGATGACGATAACGAAACAATGTAAATTGATTAATAGTTTTTAAATTCCATCCAATCCAAAGGCAAAATAGCTCGATAGCGCACCTTGTTTAGATGCTACAGGCTGGCGTATTTCATTAAAAAAAACCAAACTAATACATACCGCAACGCTGTGTAAATAAACTGCATGACCCCACCCCACATGTAAGACCAAACGAATGTTCTATAGAGAACTTTTACTATCGAAGGCTGCTTTCCCGCCGCTTTTGCTAATTTCTCCTCCAAGAACCAATTTCTGAAACAAATACAACATTTATAACAGATGTTAATGTCAATTTGTCATAGAAGTTATCTTTCATAAAACACTTTTAACGGTTTATAATACGACATGTATTAATTAACTTTGTAACAATTATGCATAAAAAAATCTCAATTGTCAAACACATTCCGTTAGGAAGTAAGGACTTGGGTTCGAACTCTGGAAAATATTAGTATCAGAGCATACAAGGCTGTTCATTTACTTGTCCATGAATCGATGAGCGAAATGGACACAATTATATGTTTGTATTCTGCTCTACATAGATTATTAAATGAAATGTATCATCTATTTCTTACGTATTAATATATAAAGTTGAAGAGTTTGTTTGTTTGTTTGAACGCGCTAATCTCAGGCACTACGACTTTAAATTGAAAAATTATTTTTGAATTCCTTTTGTTGTTTCATCATTTATCGAGGAAGGCTATAAATCGTCGCTCTGTGACTAGTAAAAGCGAAGATGCAGCGGAAAATGTGAACGAAAGGGGTGATTTTTTTCATATCTGTGGGTTTTAGATGCGTACGCTGCGAAAACGGTTCGAGATAACTAAAAAATGTGTAGCAAAGAATGATTCCTCTTTAACTAGTCTAAAAATGTCCGCGACGCTATATATCTACCTTTAAGATTTACTTGCAAGAACGACAGAAAGGGACGCGATAGACGTCGTGACTAACAGCATAAGTTTATAAAGATGACGGGGTTTGCAAAAACTAATTTGGATGCACAAAATAACGATTCTCGCGGACGAAGTCGCGGGCACGGCTAGTTTGTATTATGTACAGAGTTGTTTAATATCTGTATTGTAAATTTTACGAGTTCGTGACTAAGTAATTAAGTTATTGTTGTAATAAACGAATAAATTAACAGTCAAAATCTATTTTGAAGTTACAGCTATATTGGTTTAAACTGTATGCGCACTTGATTTAGCTGGGGTCGGGAGTTCTATTACGGGTGATCAAAAATGTTAGTACTTGTTATTACGACGAACTTCGTATAGCAGTGGATTATTAATTTTCATAGTTTTGATAAAACCGCAATGTTATAACTTTTATATTTGGGGCATTAGGAGAACTTAAAAGAATATTTTAAAAAATCTATACTACACAAAATATATCAAGCTGAATAAAAATTATATTTATTGAGATAAAGCAATTTATCCAGGAAGGCTATAAAACATCGCGCTGTGATAATAGGAGTGAAGAAAGTGCGGTAAATGTGGAAAATCGAGGAAAATCATTCTTTGTGGGTTTCCGATGCACACTGCGCAAACGATTCTACATTACCAAAAATTATTTGTTAAAAATTAAAAATTATTGTATAAAAGAAAGATTCATCTTATCGAGCTATATAAGTCTATCTTTTGAAATAAACTAGCACGGACGATGGGGAGCGACCGTCACGACGTCGTGGGTAACAGCTGAAATCTATAAAGATGAAGAGGTTTGCAACAAACAAATTTTGATAGCCAAAATAACTATTCTACGCGGACGAAGTCACTGACATATCTAGTATATACCGGCATAGTTAGCAATATAAGTTAAAAGTTTCTCGTTATAAAACAATCAGCGATAGATTTCTTTATTATGTTTGATTCTGATTCGTCAGCTCTTGGTTACGTGTAACATCGTTATCAAGACACCGACAAGATACTATTGAAAGTACTAAGAGACTTATCTTATGCTCTAATTATTCGAGTCTTAAGCCATTTGTTTTTGCCGGGACTTGAATCCATCAACAATCGCAATCAAGGCGATACGGACAATGCGTATAACTATTGCGCCACGGAGGCAGTTTATAAAATAAAAATAATTTATTATCGCTTACTAGTATAACCACAAGTGCTACAAAACATCTGAAAAGCTATTATACTTAAACATAATGATTATTTATATAATTTGCGTTTAAAACCGTTAAAATTGGTTTAAGATGTTTATAACAGTCTCAATATATTTTTAATTAAAATCTCTGTAACATGTAAGAAATATTTAGTTTTAAAAGATTAAATAATGAAAAAGTATGCCTCAACGTTCCAACATCTATTAAATAAGTACAAGAGGTATTTACTTATTAAAATAAGGTAGTTTTAAAGCTAAGATCGGAACCAATTGTGTGTTAATATATTGTCAAAAATGATTGTATTTAAAATGGAGCAAAGAACATTTGCAACGAATTATTTGTATACTAACACTTAAATGATTTATTTGTTGCGAAAATAAATGTCTTGAAACTTAAAAATTAATGACGAGATAGATTGATAATTTACAGACATTATTTTTTAAAACATTAGTGCATATTATATATTCCCTTAGATATTATACATAAAATATAAAAACGGTTCTGTTTATTCCAGTATGAAATATTATTAGGTGGGACCGGTTGAACTAGTAACTACAAGTCAGCAAGCTAACATAGCATCTTCGAAACGGGTCTCTTACCAGCTGTTTTGTTGTTTGCCAAGTTGATATTATATGTTGATACAACAAATAATCGATGGTAAGGCATTAATTTCGAAAAAAAGTTCTACTTTCAATAGTATACACATATTAAAGACTATCTGTAGTTTAGTACACATTTAAATAAAACTAACGGTTTAAAACGCGATATATATTTGTTAAACTTATTTGAAAATTATTTTAACAACGGCCTGACGTTTCGGATGCTTTGCAGCAGCTGTGGTCACGGGAAGACGACAAATAAGTTAAAAAAAATATATTTCGCGTTCTAACCCGTTAAAATGTTATTTGAATATGCACATATACTGTTACAAACATTGTTTTAGATTATTTAAACAGGAATCATTCTTGCATGTATATTTTTTTGGTTTCATGAACCGTTTTCGCAGGGCACGGAACGGAAGCCACCAATTATCAATAATTTTTCCCCGTCTTTTCTACATTTTCCTCTGTTCCGCAGCGTGATTTTATATAACCTATATATATTTCTCGATAAATGGTCTATACAACACAAAAATATTTTTTTCCATTCGAACCAGTACTTCGTAAAATTAGGTCGTTCAAACAAACAAACCTACTGTAACTTTATAATATGCAATATAATAATTTAAATAAGGAATGTTATTGTGACATTGTTTATTTGATGTTAATATTTCATAATGTAAAAAGATTGCGTTATTATAAAGCTTATACAGACCACACATTTATTTCTAAGTACACAAAACAAACAGATACACAATGAAATTTTACAACTATAGAGTTAGAGGCAGCCTTATTGATATAAGCGATCTCTTCCAGGCAACACGAGTAGAAAGTGAACAAGTAAACTAGGTAATTAGGATTTCCAGTGGTTAAAAATCGTTATTGCAACTGTATGAAAGACACAAACAACCGTTTATAACAGAATCTTTTCATCCGTGACTATTGAATTAAAAATTACATAATCAGTAACGCTTCACACATTTGAATGAATTATAAAAAGAACTAGAATTTTATCTGCTTAAAAGACAGGTTTCAATGTGGTTCTTATTATAGATATTTCGCTTACTCTCGTTTTCAACCTATACTAATATATAAAGAGAAGAGCGCTAATCTCAGGAACTAGTGGTTCGAATTGAAAAATATTTCTGTGTCACTCATCATCACTGCGAAAATATGTGCGCTGCGAAAACGGTTCAAGATACCCACAAAATATTTATGAAAAAATTATTATTTGAATGATCTAAGCCGAATCCGCGACGTAGATGTCTATCAAGTTGCAAGAACGACGGGACCCGCCGGTGACATTTTAAAAGATGAAAAACAAATTTGGATGGCCAGAATAACTTTTTATCGCGGATCAAGTCGCTGACACAGCTAATTCGATATAAGAGCTTGAAAAAAGACGCAAAATTTGTTAAATAACTTAATAATGTGAACAAAACGATGCAGACAGGTTTGTCAGGAAGCAAGGAAAAAATAATACTAATCACATAACTTCCAAGGCTTCAAATAATTTAGATAAAATGTCGCGTGTGTGTTACTAATAAAATAAACCGGGGGTTTAACGGATTAAAACACGAAGTTTCGACTCGTGTCGAATACTTTGCAGCACATAGTCACTGGTAAGAAAGAGGAGAAACTAAAGCCTTTTATTTTCTCAATACTACACACTTGTTCTGTTTTAAAATTGGAACATTCAATATGTAGAAGTATCAACTTCAGTTTATCAAAACATAAATGGGTTTTTATAGTTTAAAACGTGAAATTACTGAACACTATTTTTATCAACCATCGGTAATTAAAGAAAATTACATAATTCGTTTTGTAAACCATTTAAATATTTTATGAATTTGCACTATTCGCGTAAACATGATACAGACAATATCTAAAACTAGTTTAAACATAAATGATAATTATTAATAGTGGTTTCAAATGTGTCGTTAAAATGTGTTTAAGGCACTATTAGAACAAAATACCTCGCCTTAGTCATTTTCATTGATTACAAAATATTATTTATTACGTATGTGTTTCTTACAATAATCGAATTTATTTATAGGGACGTTGATCTCACTTCTGTGACCCACCGACATAATTTAGTTTTGCCAGGTTTCAAGCCTAGGACCAAACAGTTCTTAATGTTAACCATTGAGCTATGATTCTATAAGATTTTATATTGTAATATTTATTTTTTATAATTGTGAGGTAGTATTATTAAAATAGCAAAACCGACTTTGCATCTAGACACTTAGGTGATCTAGGCTAGCGACACAGATTTCTCCTAGGTATCCTGCTTCAGAACCTAGCTCAGAGAAATCCAACATTTCTCTTCCTTACCTTTCCAAATCGTCGCCAACCCGTTTCGAATTGTATATATTTAGAGCTGGAACTAAATCGTCGTCCTCCAGATCCCGTCGGTTCCCATAGTAGAACAGAGGGAAGGTCCAGGTGTAGAACAGGCGCGCGAACAATCCAGGTGGTGAGGGTCTTTTATTCTTCCACTCATGGTCCTTTTCCACATCGGGACTTTTTAATTTAACCATTTTCACTTCACTATTTAAAACGGAGACGCGCGCGCAGTGCGTCACGTCAGTTGCGCGGGCACATCACATTTAATTTTCCCTACGGCGAAGCGCTCTACTTAATGCCATTAATATTATAAGTAACGTAATCTTTATCGACTACACGTTACGCGAGTGTGATATTATGCTATCGATAACGTTTTTCGTTACTTTTTTTCTTGTGTATTTATTTGGAGCTAGGATAATGTAAGGTTTTAATTTACAAGTAAATTTTAGGACTGAATTGCTAATAATCAATGGATCAAACATTCAATCGATTTATAATTTTTCTAAAACATGCTCACTGATTAAAAAAAGCCGTCGAATTTAATCGCGATTCGGTTTGTGTCTGTTGATTTTCGAATATCTAAAGCCAAAATACTTCGGTAGCGCTCTTGTTTAGATATTATACGGCTGATTTCACTGTGCTTGTCTGTCCCCTTATCAAATAGACAAGCTGAAATTTTTTCATGTGTGATCGGTGGTTGGATCTAGAATTCTACCAATCCCATTTTCAGACGAGTCCTAACATGTTTAGAGAAATAAATGATATATAGAATGTTTAAACTTCAGGGACGCTCTTGAAAAGCATAAATTTTCACGTCTTTATTTCATTTTTTTTTAATGATATTTATGGCTTGAAAAGTGATTTTATTGCGTAAGGTTAATTAATTGATATGAATGCAGCAGCTGCGCATTCCTGTATAACTTTTCCTATGATATCATAGAATTAATGAGAAAATAATAAACGCAAATATATTTTATCCTCATAATATTGTGTACCTATAAGGTTTTTAGGTACGTTAGTTACTTATACATTTACGATATTGTCCACTATAATTATTTATAAGATTGTTATATTTTAAATATCTATATTAATATGATAAAACTGAATTTGTCAAATTGGTCGTTTGTTTATTTGTAGCATAGAATTTTCTGAAGCTCTGAAGGGACGGGACTTCGTCAAATGTTCAAAAATTCCATATTTATATTGTAAAGCTGAAGACTTGTTTTCGTTGTTTGTTTGAACTTTGCGTTAATCTCAGAAACTAGTGGTTCAAATTGCAAAATTACTTTTGTGTTATTTATAAGTTGGGGGTAGATTTGAGGACCAATATAAAAGAAACATAAGGATATCTTGTATATATCTTTGAGAGCTTCAGCGTTACGACAACGATTGATTGAATTAAATAATATGTTTGAAAAGATTACTATTTTATACATGTGTCTACATTTTAAGATTTACTTTTGTATGGTAGAAGTTTTTATGGTAATCACATTTCGTCGAAATATCGCAAAAAAAAATCTGCCAGGTCAGCTAGTGAAAAATAAAAAAAATCACTTCAAATATTCAATTATATTCTTTTATTGTAGTAAAAATACATTTAATTATATCACCAAATAACAAAAGCATAGCTTTTTATTGGAGCTCATTTTGATGTTATTTCAAGTATTTGTTGTTATTACATTAACAGATTATAGATTTGTAGTAATCACTAGTCGCTACCTATCGCGTTTCTCTAGATCTATTCCTGGTGAAAGACAGCAAATTCTCAGTATGGATTAGGGTTCCGCTTTTATCTTTTGGCTACGGAACGACTGATTAAAATCCCCTACAATATTTTTGAAATAATACCATCAATCAAGAAAATAGAACGATACGAAGCTATCAGCGCCTTACAATCTTATCTAAAAATGTTAACGATTAATTATTAATTATGACGTAGGAAACGAAATACGATATAATGTCAGACATGCAGATAATGTGTTCCCTTATAAATATTTATTTGTTTCATTAACGTTGTATTAACTTAGCATATAAAACAAGTTTGATTAAAAAATACCAACTCAGTTGTACCTTAGTGGCTTTTCCACCGTTAACGTTATTTTTACGTATACTACAGACATTATTGAAAAATCAAAATTAGCGTTTTTTAAAAGTTAGAAAGTGATTAACTGTAAAATTTATTTAGGTAAAACGCTATGATTACAAATAATTTATCTATAATTGTCATTAACTATCTATATAATAAATTCAATAAAAGCTCATAACATTTGCAGCCAAATAGTGAAATAATGTTAGTAAAATTCAGTAACTAAAAATAATTTTAATTTGATCTTTTTTTAATTGATTTTATTTTTAGTTAGATAAACTTACTACTAAAACTGCAAAGCAATTGAAGCGGTGAACTTTATTCAAATATTGTTTAAAACAATTGAATAAAACTGAATGTGAAAAACAATTGAATGGAAATAGGCGTCCAATACAATCGCCCTTTATAGTAAGGAATTAATATAAAAATAGCGATCGCGAACAAGAACAAGTTTTGATAACGAGTTTGTCTCTGCGATACTTCTAAGCTCCAGATGCATCGTATGTTATTTCTTGAGCTCCTTTACACATTTATTATATTCAACACAAATAGAATGATTGAAGGTCAAAAAACGAATGAGCTCGTTGGAATAATGGTAACAGTGTATGTATGGCTAGTAATCAACGGGTCGTTCCATTCAGATTGGGTCCAACATGGTTCTAATTGATTTATATTTTTCTGAAATATGTATATCGTAATTCCGTCCGGGCTTTAGGGTCCAAACCTATATCCGCAGATCAAAAGCCGCGAAGTTTAATCGCGTTTAGGTTTCAGTCTAAGTAGGTTTTATCTAAAGCCAAAAATAGGTCAACAGCAGATATTGTCGAGACGTTAAATGAGTGGGGTTATCCTTTAGCCTTCCTCTATTGTAAGAAATTACTCAAAAATTAATTACATCTACTATACTTAGTTTGTAGCTTACGCGGGTAGTGCACATTTAAATAAACTTTTAACGGTTCTAAGCGCGATGTAGACGACTAAGTTAAATTACATAACATGCGAAACATTGGGCCGTACTTAAAATAAGTTGCCTAATATATTTCGCGTTATAAACCCTTAAAGTGTTTCATCTAAATACATGTACTCAATGAAAGAGTAACCGTTTCATTGTTTTGTGAACTCCAAAAAGTTATTTTCTTAAATACAACTTCGACGGAACAGATGGCGCTAGCGTAGCAATTTTTTACTTTGACGTCAGAGACATCCTCCGTCTTTAGTCTCCCCGAGACCACGGCTGCTACAAAGCATCCGAAACGTCGGGCCTTAGTTAAAAATAATTTTAAACAAGTTTTAAATATATCGCGGTTTAAACCGTTAAAGTGTTTTATTTAAAAGTTATTTTCTTGTTCTAAATACATTTTAGGACTGGCTATTAAATTTGGCATATGTCTGAGCTCACATCTAACTTGGCTTCTTAAATGTTTATTTTTCTCACCCAACGTTATAAAGGTTGTGACAATGACCTTGATATTGATTTATTACAAACAACATTGTCAAAGGCAAAAGTTGTTGCTTGATATTTTTGTGTAAGGTATTACATTGTTGATTTTTTTTTGTAATTAATTAGTAAGTAGAGAAAGAAGTGAAAAAGTGAAACACCGTACCTTACGTGTCGGGCCAAAGGCTTATTACACGACAATACAACGCTTTTAACGGTTAAACATGTGAAATATAAAATTAAATTTAGTTTTTTCTTTTCATCTAGAGTTTTTATAATAGTATTATTTATCTTTTTATCATGATAGATATAGATGAGATGAGTAGATGGTGGAATACCCCGGCCATGTGACTCCAAATAAAAATGAGCTGTCGATCTATTTTGGGTTATACCAAATCTTTAGGTAAAATGAGATTATATTGACATCGTCTGGAGATCAAATAGTAGGAATATCGTAATTCCGTTCGGGTCTTAAACCTTCGTTGACAAAAAAAAAGCCTGGAAGTTTAACAGCGTGTCTTGTTTAGAATTTAGATGTATATGGAGAAGGAGGGAAATTAGTGGAATGATTGAAAAATAATTATAGATGTTTTATGGATCGAGTATTTCACCTTCCATCAAAACACAGTCCTCTATCATCTATGCCAATAAAGCCGAAGAGTTTTGTTTGTTTGTTTGAACTCGGTAATCTCAGGAACTACTGTTTGAATTGAAAAAGTTATTTTTGTGTTCGGTAGAGCATTTCGAGGAAGGCTATAGGCTATAACACATCGCGATGTGACTAATAGGAGCGAAGAAACAACGGGTAATGTGAAAAAAAAACGGGGACATCATTATGGGTTTCCGAGGCGTAGGCGTGTACGAAAGAATTAATCGTCTTTAAATGATCTAAAAAAAGTCCGCTACACTATATGTCTATCTTTTAAGATTAACTTGCAAAAACAAATTTCGATACCCAAAATAACAATTCTACGCGGACGAAGTCGCTGACACAGCTAGTAAAGGTATAGATATATTGTCGCTTAAATAACCCGCTAAGCGTATTTCTATGAAGCAGAGAAGTACAAAACATTGTCAACAGCGAAGGGTGTTCGCAAGGGATGCACCCTTCTCCACGAGGGTGAGTACGGCGTTCAGTGCTGTACTGCGACGGCCCGTGCCACTCGCCGCAGTACGACGCGACCCGCGAGCCGGCCCGCTGCGTCACAAACCCTCGAACAATGTTTAAATCACTCCCGCCACGACCCTACACGCAGTGCCTTAGAAATTGTTGTACGATTTTGTAACGATCATGTTGAAAATTTGGCCAGCTGCAATGCACCCGCGGAACGTTTAGTGGAAGGACGGATGTGTTGTCGGAATGTTGCATGGCAACGGATGTGTTTTATAATGACTTATCATGAAAAGTGTAATGTAATTAAAAGATCAGAATGCCGCCAAAATGATATTTTAGATTTTGTTTTTACATTCTTATGATCCTACGACAATCGCTTAATATTTTTATACTAATAATATTATCTTAAGTAATTTATTTCTCTTTTGTAGATTGGCTTAACAAGAAAACAATTTGACAATACAGCTTTTAAAAGTAATTGTTTCAAACAATGCAGTTTCTCACTTCAATAGTAAAGTCATAATAAATATGTTTACAGTCATGTAAATAAGCATTG